CCCACTTTCCCCGGTTTTTTTCCCCGGTTTTTTCTTTCCCCGGAATTTGCGGGGTCTCCCTCCTCACAATTCCCCCTAGCAAATGCACCCCGTTGACACGCAATAGAGTGCAGAGACGCAGAGCGAGGTCGACAGGAAGGCCGTTTTGCTTCCGAGTAACTGATTTATTTGCACTTTGCCAGTTTCTTTTATCATCGATTTGTTCAAATCAGTTGGCTTGTCTTGTTTTGAAAACTTCAATGAAATTCCGGAAAAATGAAACACTAAAATAGGGATTTCGTAACTTTTAAAGTTTGATATTTTTCATCATCCTGTCTTCATGCTCTAAATATTTCTATAATTCAGGTAATGTCTGGCACAGCGAGTTTAGTACACAACTTGCCAGCTAGCGGAGATTCCAATCATCGAGGGCTGCATAGCTGTAAGTTGTTTCTGATTGTTCTCAAATTCCATTGCATTCTTTTGTTTCTAGTGAAAAATTCGCGTCGTGTCGCTGACAATGAGCCGCTTCTTCGTTTCCGAGAAGCCAAAAAAGTTTTAGGAGATGTTTATGGAGAATTGAAAGATAACGTTGCTGAACTGGAAGGTGTTTACAAAGGTGAGGATCTTCGGATTTGATTGAAAAGCTTTGAAACTGTATTTTCAGAGATCAAAGAAAATGACTTCGTGAGTGCTGAGCAGCGAGAAGAAATCGAAGCGATCCGTGATTCAATTAAAACTATAATGGACACATTTCAAAGAGATAACATGAAAGTTGTATTTTTCGGAAGGACCAGCAATGGAAAGAGTACCACAATCAATGCGATGCTTCATGAAAAAGTTCTGCCTCAAGGAATGGGACACACAACGTGTTGTTTTCTTCAGGTAAAAATATAACCATGGAAGTTGGGGGTTGAAACTAGAAACTCTAAAAAATAAAATAACTACAAAATCAAAAATTATAGGTGGAAGGATCAGAAGACGAAGTTGGACACCTTCAACTAGATGACAACCCGCAGAAAATTGACATGAAAATGCTTGGAAAAATTGGACACGCACTCAGTGACGAAAATTCGGATCTTCCAGCAATGGGTCAAGATTCTCTCCTTCGAGTATTCCATCCGAAACAAACAGAAAGCGGGGAATGCAGACTTCTTCAAAACGATGTTGTCATACTGGACAGTCCAGGTGTGGATCTTTCACCAGAATTCGATAGCTGGATTGATAAACATTGCCTCGACGCAGACGTCTTTGTTCTTGTGTCCAATGCAGAATCGACACTGACACAAGCCGAAAAGAATTTCTTCCTTCGTGTTGCCAAAAAATTGAGCAAACCGAATGTGTTTATTCTAAACAACAGATGGGATGCCAGTGCTGCTGAAACGGAAAACATTGAAGACGTCAAGAAACAACATTTAACAAGATTCCGTCAGTTTTTAGTGGATGAGCTGGAGGTGTGTTCAGAAAGAGAAGTGAACGATCGAATTTTCTTCGTTTCTTCAAGGGAAGTGTTGGAATCAAGACTCAAAGCAAGAGGTCTCGTGCAGAAGGCATACCAAGCAGAAGGACATGGAACAAGAGCACTTGAATTCCAGAATTTCGAACGGCATTTCGAGCAATGTATTTCTCGTTCGGCTATTCACACCAAATTCGAAGCGCACAATAGAAGAGCTCATGAGATGATCGGCAAGATGCGTCTCAATTTAAATAGTGTTCTGACATCAGCCGCAGAGCAACGGAGTAAACTACAAAACGAGCTTAATGAAGCAACCAGAACTTTCAATGAATGCCGTGTTAACTTCACTCAATTTGAAAAGGCGTACCGTGAGCAAACTGAGCAACTCCGCGCTGAAGTTCATCTAAAAGTGTCGGCGGATTTCTTTGAAGAAATTTCCCGACTCGATGCTATCATCGACCGATTTGATCAACCCTTTGATGGAAGTTCTTCGGGAATGGCAAAATACAAACAGGATCTCGCAATTTTCGTCGACAAGTGCCTCAGTTCGGATTTAGAAGCCAGATGTACTGGTGGATTGATGTCTCGCATCTGGAATCTAGAAAACGACATGTTCCGTAAGTTTCAGACCAAGATAAATTTCATTTTAACACCTTTAAAATTTTCAGAATATGTTACGAAAATTCTCGCAGAACCTTATCAAAACAAACTGGAAGAAGTGTGGAGGTACCGTGCCCCATTCAAGTTTAGTATTTGCGTTGATGTTCCTGCTCTTGTAAAGTAAGTTTGTAGATGAAAATCTCAAGTAATATGTTTGATAAATTTCAGCGACTTCCATGAAGATCTAGAATTCCGTTTCACATTCGGTCTCCATGCTATGATTCGGCGGATAATCGCCTACCGCAGTGGACAGCCAGTCACCGCTATCAACACGAACCTCTTGACACCATTGTCTTTGAAAGCACAAGCTGAGAAGAATGTAGTGAGAGATGCTGATGCATCTGCTGCTGCCGAGGAACAAGCAATGATGACACAGATGGTTTTGACATCGGCTGCATTTTTGGCGAATGGAAGTCTCGGAGTATTAGTGATCGGAGGAATCGTATATAAGGCTGTCGGCTGGAGAGTTATTGCCGTTGGAGGAGCCGCCTATGCTGGACTTTATGCTTGGGAACGAATGCGTTGGAATTCCAGCGCTAAAGAGCAACATTTGAAAGAGCAGTTCCGATCTCATCTTGCGGCTCGTATGCAGCAAGTCTCCACAGCTCACACCCACCATTGTGAAACTCAGGCTATCAGGTAGAAGCACAATTTGAAGCGCAAAATGTTGCATCGTTCTAATGTTTTTCAGAGAAATGGACCAAGTGTTTGACGGTTTGAAATCAACAGTTGGTGGTGTCCATCGTGAGATGAAAAACGATCTGGACACACAGAAGACTCAAATCGACGCTGTTGATTCAACAATTCGTACATTAGGAACTATCAAGTGAGCTATCCAGGTCTAATTAACAATTTATCGATTTACTTTCAGAGGAAAAGCTGTCTTCTTGCTCCGTAATCTAGAGCAGTTTGCATCTTCGTATCTTCGATCCGACTCACCTTCGTCGCCATAAAAACCGTCGAAATCTAAAAATTTGCTAATTGGTGCTCCTTCTCATTATTCACTCAGACCCTGTAGCTTTTAATACGAGCGAATGTCATTTGTTACAATGTAGATATTTCAATGAGCTCTCTCTTTTTATTAGGTAATTTTCGTTTAGATCAACGTTTTAGTTTTTTTCGAATGAATCATTTTCTCATCTAAATCTTTTTTGCAAGAGAAATTCTGCTGTTGCTTTTCAAAATACTTCTTTTTAGACTATTTATTTCTGGATAATGTTTTAAAAACCGAATTTAGAAAGAAATGAAAGAGGACGAGGAGGATGGTGGAATTTCAGTGGATTTCGATCAATGTACACATGAAGTATCGCTTTAGTACCATCCATTTATAGATAAAAAGCCCCCGTTTCAGATAAACTTCTACACTTCCTGTTTGGAAGATCGAGGGAGCGAATGTGGAGATGTTTCTCGATCCGACTCAGCCGTTTGTCTCAACTCGGCTCGGGAACCATTCCCCACCGTTCTACAAAAGTTTAACACCTCCAGAAAAGATCATCAAGTACACACGTTTCCGGAAATTAATGTAAAAATATGTCAAAAGTATAGGAAGGAAATGGAGAGACAGAGGAATGGGTAAAATTTTAAAAATCAATTAGTTGATAAAAAATTATTGTTATGTGTTTTCAGAACAGATAGCTACTTGCTCACACATCAACGATTGGCGACTCATCTGATTGATTTCGTTGATATTCCGTTGAAGGTTAACATTTTTTGAACTTTTCTTATTATGCTGATTTGAAAAAATCGGTGATATGGAAAAGAAACGCCGGTGGCCGTGGCCGAAGGTCCCACAACGAAAACTATCGTAACCTAAAAATATATTTATTTTCTCAATTTTCGTGCGTTTTCCGGGGAGGAAATTTTCCTGGAAAAAGGGGGCGGAGCGTAAATGGCAAGGTTTTGCCGCATGGTTTTTAAGCTTGTTTCGGATGCGGTCATGTTTTTTCACTGTCATAAAAATTTTTCGACTTTTCGATTTTTTCGTTTTTTTTAGATTTTTGTCGATTTTCTGTTATTTTTCATCAAAAAGTCGGAAAATTGTTACGTTAGTTTTAAAAAATTGACTGAAAACGCCCCAAACTCGAGAAAATAGATCCTGAAAATGAAAATAATTCTAGGTTACGATAGTAGCCGTTGTCGGACCTTTGGCAACGTCCACAGCTCCGATTTTTTTACCAGTGTAATATTGTAAACGTTTTTTCTTCAGAAGAACACTGAGCGTCGGATATGGACGGACCGAGTAACTTCTCCGTTATACACAATGAGTGAGAGTGGGTTGGAAGTGAACTCGGATTATTTTTTCCCCGGAGAATCTCCATACGCAGCTATCCAGAAATCATTTGTATGTAAGACTCTATATAGACATCTCTAAAAACAACATTCACAGCTCCGATCCATAGCGGACAATCTCACAAGAAGCCATAGAAAGCTGATAGAAATTTGTGACTTTGTGGAGAGATGTGAAGAGCACAGTCAATTGATGCTGCCTACTCTAATTGCGGTTCTCTGTGATTGGGTCAATGGATTTTTACGAGACCACACTATGAAGTTGGACGGCTTGAGAGCAGAAAGATTGGATGATCCTCTCCAGACGTTGGCCAGACTCACTGAAATTGTAGAAGATGTGGAGATTGTGAGAGCAATGATTGGAGAGGATGCAGAAAGACACGTATGGTTGTGGGAAGATATTGAGAGGTCTTGGAATCGGGTGTTCATATTAACACAGCAAGAAGCGATTGTCAAAAAAAGAAAAGTTGTGGAGAAATTTCAAAAGAAATGGATCGGTGCGCTGTTGTCAACGATGGATCACATTTTCGAAACGGGAAAAGTGCCGGCAGGAATTGTACATTTTGTATTGCACAAGTGAGTTTTTGAATTTTGAAATTTGGTTACTGTAAAGGTCCCGAAACGAGCGGTAAAGACCTAAAAATGTGGATTCATATTGAAACAAAGAAAAAATTTCGCTTCTCGTTAATTTCTGAAATCTTCTGGAATGTTCTCAAATATTTTTTTTAATTCCTGCAAAAAGCTGAAAACCCAGAAAAATTGGCAATTTTTTATTAGAATTATTCAATATTTTCAGACCTTTCTAGGTTTTCAGCTATTTTCAAAGGTTCTTTCCGGATTTTTCCGGGTTTTTTGTCTGAAATTTGCTGAAGCGGTTTTCCTGAAGATTACTGTAGATTACTGTAGAAAACGAATTTTCTTTTAAACAGAGTCACGTTTTTCGCAGGTTTTCTAGAGTAATCTTTACATGAGGACCCTTATGCGTCGCCCAGATTATCAGTTTCAGGGCCTTTTTCAAGAAAACATTTACTACTAAAAGATTTATATAAATAAGAGAAAATAATAAATAGATATTGTCTAGTGACGTCTGTTCTTGTATCCTTGGTTGGCGTTGACTGGAGCACTCTCCTGTCTTTGTGGGCATGGACAGTACTCGGCGTCGGTTCCTGGCTCTCCCTCCTCTCCAGCAGCTCCTGCGGCTCCATTCTCTCCATTGTCTCCCTTGTCTCCACGTGGTCCACGCTCACCTGGTGCTCCTGGAATTCCTTGAGCTCCAGTGTCTCCTTGTGGTCCTTGGTCTCCTGGCTCTCCAGTTGGTCCAGAGATTCCCTTTGGTCCTGGGAGTCCAACTTGGTGCTCGACATCGGCTCCTGGTTCTCCCTCGTTTCCTGGCTCTCCTTGTGGTCCGAGTGGTCCGACAGCTCCGAGAGTTCCTGGTTGTCCTGGAGTTCCATCGCGCCCTGGCATGGCTCCTTGTCCACGAGCTCCGCGCATTCCACGAACTCCTGGCTTTCCTGGAGCTCCTGGTGGTCCTTGTGGTCCTTGTGGGCAGGTGAAGCATCCAGCGTATTGTTGAGTCTGAGCTTGAGCATCATCGGCGTCTTGTCCGTCGACTCCTGGAACTCCTGGGATTCCATCGATTCCGTCAGCTCCTTGGGCTCCCTTTGGTCCGGCTGGTCCAGCTGGGCAAGAGTTGTCAGCTTGGCAGTTGCAGGAACCTCCTGGAGTTGGTTCTCCTCCTTGAGTTGGGTTGAATTGAGGTGGGACTCCCACAACTCCTGGGAAGCTTCCTGGCGTCATTGGGGAAGATCCTCCTGGGAATCCACCTTGTGGAGTTGGGTTAGGGGCAGCAGCACCATATCCTCCGTACTGACGCTTAACACGTCCAAACTTCTGCATGTCACGGTAAAGGCTATCAGTCTCGGACTGCAAGAAAATAGATATTATTTGACTTAATTTCTTTTCATTACCTTCCAAATATCCATCTCAATGTTCATTTCATTGCGGATATCCTCAATATTGTAGCTGATAGTTTGGACTCCATAGAGGATGCAAATGATGGAAATGATTCCGAAGGTAATAGCGGCATAGGCAGAAGCTGTCGACGTCATGATGACTAGACATATCTCAACCCTTTTTCCATATCCTTTTATATCTTTGCCGTAAGTCGGTCACTTTTCCTTCGACCTGTTTTCAGATTTTCTCACCAAATTCCTTTTTTTCCAAATATCTCGGGCGTTTTTTAATTTGATTGGCTGGTCGAAATAGTAGACAGAAGTGAAGAGAACGAGAGAAAATTACGCATTTGCATATCTCTCTTTTCTACTCGGATGACCATGAGATAAACCGGGCTAATATTTGGGTGTGATAAGTGATAAGTGATGGTGTTTGAAATGTCTGATTGCTTCTATCATATTTATGAAAATATGTAAAAAGTATTTGAGTTCGCAAAATGGATATCATATTTTTCAGCGACGTAAGACCAGATTCCGAACTTCTACTTTGTCGAAATATCACAGAAGTTGGATCTCTTCTTTGGGATGAAGAACTCATCGAGATAGTTCTAGAAGCTGTGAAGTGTCGAATAAGAATTGGAATAATTGAATTTCCCTGCAAAACCTTTACGAAGGCATACCACTCCGTAGCAGCTGCCACCAAGTACAACCCAGATCTTCTACCATTTGACGAATTCAGAAGTCTTTTTCTTGAGACGTGTCTCATGTTGAAAGATAGATTCGCCAACGAATTGCTCGAGGAGTTACATAAAAATGACCGATTTGTAAACCTATGGGTTGATTTAGAGGCATGTGATATTTATGTGTGTGTGTGTGTGAGCTGATAAGAAATAATACTATCAGTTCCGAGAATTGATAGTTTTCTGACAGGGAGTATTCTACAGAACGTTGTCATTGGCTCGATTTCTCAACAGTATGCAACAACTGTATTCCGATCGGATTCCAATGTCACCAACTTCTCCGATGCTTTTTGGTTGGCATCGCGAGGTCGAATGAGCAAGGAAAATCTGATGCTCTTCTCCTGGATAGCTATCAAGTCCGAGTTTACTTGCAAAGTAATTAATTTTCCATTAAAACAGAAAAGGTTAATTAAAAATGTAATTTTCAGCTAGGTCATTTGCTTGCATCTTTCATTCGTCCCGAGATGATCGATGTCATGAATCAATGCATGAAGTTTGCTCATAGTGCCTACCGTACTCGTGAACTATTGGTAACAATGGCAAATGATAGTTAGTGATCAACTTTTGAATATAGTAATAAACATTTGATTACAGAAGAGCTAATGTTCCGAATGAAATGTCCACAGTCAACTCTTGATATCTCAAGAGCACACCAGAACATCAACGGCACCGACAGTATGAATAGAGCACTTCGGACAAGGCTTCGCTTTTTTGTTTTCACTCTGGAACAAGTCGTATCTCACTTTCGTGAACTTTTCTCTGATAAGGTAGGATAATATTGAGATTCTGAAAATTCTGAGGCTCGGAAATTTGAAAAGTATAAAAATCTGAGATTCTGATAATCTGAAACTCTAAAATAATGGAATTCGAAAAATCTGCAATTTGGAAGTTTCAAGTGTGAAAATCTAATCTAAAAAATCTGAAATTCTGAGAATCGGGAATTTCGAAAGTTAAAAAAAATCTGAAATTCGAAAATTCTGAACTTTCAAAAGTATAAAAGTATAAAAATATAATTCGAAGCTAAATTAGAGCTAGGATTTGAAAAAGTTAAAATCTAGAACTCTGAAATAACGGAATTCTGAAATTCTGTGAATTGGAAACCTTGAAAGTCTGAAATTCGGGAAATCTGAAACTCGGAAATTTCTCAAGTCTGGAAATCTGTGATTTCAAAGTTTCGCAAGTCAAAAAAAGTCAAAAAATCTAAAATTATAGGATTCTGGAAATCTACGAAATTTTCAACAAAATAATTTATAATTATATTTTCAGGTAAGATACGTCTTCAAAGAAAAACGAGAAGAAATCGTCAGTGCGACCAGTCTAAAAGATGTAGAAACCGCGATGGCTGACGGTTACAAAAAGATGTCAGATCTGGTGATTCGAGTTGGTGTTCGCCGAATGGTTCATGAAACGATGGACATGTTTATGAACATGACAGATGAAATACGATTAAGGTAAAAGAGAAAAAAACAATATCATCACAAGGATTTATTGATTCACTCAATTTGGGTTAGTTCATGTTAGTTAGTTAGTTAGTGTTGGGCTTATCCACAGTGGGAAGCCATACGGTGGCCTCTGGTAGATTTCCCTCTGGCCATCTTGCGAATGATGCTTCTGCTTCGGGATCTGCTGCTGCTCGAATTGCGTGATTCACTGAAAGAAACGGAAATTTGGAGGGCTCTTTGTTCTACTAGTGGTACCGTGCAACACGACGACGGCTCACTTTTGGAGTGGCCCGACGGTTCGAACGTCTTGAGACGCTTCTCTTGGCTGAGCGGCGAGAAGATGGTCGACGGGACGAAGAACGGCTTCTGCTTCTGCTTCTACCCGAACGGTTGGTCTTGACGGCACGTCGAACACGGCGGCGGCTTGGTTCTCTGGCAGTGGACACTGAACGGGAGCGAGAACGGGAAGAACTGCGAACACGAACTGTTCTCCTGAAAATAATTTACTTAGTTTGCAAAATTTGGTCAATTTGCAAAATTTGGTCACTTACTTCACAATCTTGCGTGATCTTCCGTCTCTCTCTCCTTTTTGAGAGACCGATCTGGTCGAACGCTTCGAGATGGAACGACGACGGCGGGGCGTGGAGCGTGCAGAGCGGGAACGGCTTCGACGACTGGAGGAGCGGTAGGTGCTGACACTACGGCTTCTGCTGCGACGAGACGAACTTGATGCACGAGACACGGATCGGGCTTGACGACGACTTCCTCCAGTAACCTTCTTCCTTGGTGTGAAACGTCCATTGCTGTCGCGAGGAGCCACTGATGCGGCACGACTTCTTCTTCTCTTTTCGGCTGGCTTCATCTTCTTCGAGTTGAGACGATTTGAATACTAACCGTTCATTGCCGTTCTCGCTTCTTTTATGCGGAATTCCAACGCGTTAGTAGGACAACGGAATCGGGGCTCGGGTACAGGTTACGTAGTTTTGAAAATATTAAAATTGTATATGTAAAGTTCACGGCTGAATTCGAAAATACGTTGAAAAATTGAGCTAGCTGGTTACTGTAGTTGATATTTCAGGTCTGTCTCCAACACACTCGACCTGGATTATCTACAGCGATGCGAGGAAAGTGTTCGGAAGAATCTCCAGAATTTACTTTCACTTCGTGAAGCATGGGGCAATGACAAGGATTCGATCTTCTTCCATCTCTCTGTTCGATTGGGAAAATTAAAAACGGGCAGCTCTTGAAATCAATTCACTTTTTACTTTTTGCATAATCATTACTTTTTATGGGTCATCAATATAAAGTCATTAATTCTTTCAAAATTCCAAAATTTTTAGATCTTCTAAATTGTTGAATATCAATACAGATACTTTCAATTACAGTAATAATTTTTATGAATCTTCGATCTGTTCAGATGTCTAATTTTGGCATCTACTTGTTACAAAAAAGTCTAAAGACCGCTGCCTCTGATATCGAATATTGCAATTCTTCAGTAAGTCTGAACAAACAAAACGAGTTAACAGAAGCGAGTATTGCCGCGGTCACCAGCTTAAAAGAGTTAGACACCGAAGCACATCGATTGGAAGTGGTCGTCAATGCGATGATCGAAAAGTACAAAAGTATGGATGATTTCGAAATTCCCATTGTGAGCAGATCTTGTTTCATAATTTTTATACTCCATCATTTGTTCTAGACCAAGGAAGATTACGAAAAGCTGTTCAAAAAAATCGAAAAGACCAAAATGAATGAAACCGGTGACACTGCACACTTCCAGAACATTCTAGATTCTCTCAAACGCGGTTTAGAAGGAGACGAAGAGGAACCAGAGGATGAGGACGCTGATCAGAGTCAAGACGGAATGCAAGTGATGCAAATTCAACACAGCAGAAAAGATCCAATTTCCAAGAAAGATATCGTCAATCCAGTCATCTATAAGGTATGACTTTTTTTTTCGAAATTTCAAACAAAACCATTTATGAGTCATCACTAATGATTGACAGCTGTCCATACTCTTTTTTTTTCAGCCATGTGGCCATGTATACGATCGAGATTCAATCAAAGAATTTGCTGGTAAAAAGCGCCAAATCAAATGTGCAATGCAAGGATGCTCTCAAACAATCACCATCTCTCGTCTCGAGGACTATCCCGACTACTGGAACAATATAAAACAACAGCTGTGATCTTCATTCTTTTAATTTGTTATTAAATATTTACAACCATTGATCTGAATCATTACTATACATCTCATTTTCCTCCCAGCTTCTCTCCTGTGTTTCTTTTTCGTGAGTGTGTGTGTGTTGTTTCATAAACATTTCGATACTCTCTCCTCCTCCTCCGTTCACTGCCTCCTTCTCTCCTCTCGGTGGTCGAAAAAAAAACCAGTTTGTCGTGCGATGAGTCGTTGAACATACGATGCAAATACTCTCTTTCATTCTAAATCTCATTGTTTTTTCTTCTTTTGCAATGGTCAATGCTTTCAGAGATTGATTTTCATCGTGTGAATGTCTGCGACGGCGACTATCAGTCCGCCAGCTCGTGAACTCAGAACTTCCTCTATTTGTGGATATTTACATCGGGTATGTTTTGAATCCGTTTTCTTGAGATGTTTTCATGAATCTTTTCTTCAGATTGAAGTTCGTTCTATTGGTTTGATAACCCGCCGTCGCTACTGGTTTGCCCTCTGTGACTCAACACCGTACCTCTACTGGTATAAAGACTCAGATGACATAAAATGTATAGGACGAGTCTCTTTGAGTGGTGCAGCATTCACATATGATCCGAAAGAAAAGGGCAGATTTGAAATTCAGTTAGTTGATTTTTATCAAACTTTAAAATTAAATTTAAAACGAAGTTCTACATTTTCAGCTCTAATAGTGAGGTTATTATATTGGAATGCAGTTCGGATAAGCAAAGAAACGAATGGATGAAAGCTCTTCAGAGTACACGAAAAAGAAGTTGGAAGACGGTGAAATCCAAATCAGATTCAAGCCTCGATATATCATCACTGACTGGTCGTAACTCGTCTGCTGTTCTAGAAGAATACTCTTCTCTTTCTCCTGTGCCACCTCCTAGAAGTCCGAAACCCAAAAAAAGAACACAATTCACAAATGAAGAGTCTACAGAATCAACAGTGGAAAGCTCTGAAAACGATGAAAGCGTAGCTGAAGAAGTCAGCAAAATAGAAGAAGTAGAATCTGAAGAACCACCAACACCGACGACAGAAAGTTCAGCAACGGAATGGTACTTGCATCCAAATGGACAATTAAATGAGAGATCTTTACAAATGCCAAAGACGATCGAAAGTCCAGAAAGTGTACTAAAGCGACTTGCCGATCAAAGTATTGAAGCACCATTTCGAGCAATTCGAAGAAATCTATCCAACTGGAAAGGCAGTAGACAGAATACTGTAGATGAACCTGTAACTAGTAGTAGAGTGAGTGTTTTTCATTTATTTTAAAAAGAAATATGTTGATAGTTCCAGAAATCAACTGCATCATCCACTTATTTATCACCAGAAGAAAAAGTGATCGAGCTTTCTGATAAAGTTTCAAGTCTAGAAGAAGTAGTGGATTCTTTAAGAGCAGCACTTCTCCTGGCTCAACGGAATAACGAAGCACTGTGAGTTGTTTTTTAAAGTTAATAACAAAAATTCAAAATCCAAATTGCAGAAAAAAGATTGAAGACATGGGAGAGAATAACGAGGAGATGCGAGAATATCTTCTAGAAAAAGAACGACAAGTCACCGAACTACACATCTCAAATAGTATAAATGCACGCCGCGCTCGTGATTTCGAAGATCAGAATCTGAAGTTGGAGGATACGATAAACGATCTTCAACAGTCTGTGGAAGCTTTCCGAGAATCACTTCGAACAAAAGAAGAACTGATACTACGAATGTGTGAAGAAGATAATCGAGATGATTTACTTGGATCCATGGCTGATAGGAATTTGAATGTCTTGGCAGACGCAAACGGATTAGTTTCGGATGTTGAAGTTCCCGAAGGCATTCTTGTTGATGTGTCTTCAGTTGATTGTGAAGAAGCAACTCGCAGGTATCTGATTGGAATACAATAAAAAAAGTTATTTCGTTTTTTCAGAGTCCTGGATGAAGAGAACGTTCGAGATGTTGGTGAACTTCAAGATCTTGTAGAAGGATACCGCACCCAAAATCAATTTTTAAATGCCGAAATCGTCGAACTCCACGCTATCATCCAATCGCTAGAGACAAGGGAAAAGAAGTTGATTCGTCAAAACTTTGATCTCGAAGCCTGTTATTACCAACTGAAAAGTCGGTATCTAATGGTTCTGAATCATTTCAAGTCCCCAACGAAACCAGGGAAAAGTAAGTATTTGAACAATGATCTCGATAAAAACCCTTTGGTTTCAGTAATGGAGCCTGGCGTTCTAAAAGAGCTTCTCGAAGAATCGGCAAGAACTCCAAGAGAATCTCAACAAAACCTGACCGACCAACTTGGATTCTATAAAAAAGATGACTTCTCAGCCAGCGATGACCTTCTTGATACTGCTACATTTTATATGAAAAAGGCCGGAGATATTGTAGAAGCAACGAAACTGGAACAGTCGGAAGAGTATATGAAATGGCTGCAATCATGGGATTCATTCCTTGTCAATAATACAGTATCCCGTCCGATCGGAATAATGTCTTCTCCTGATTTAAAAACTTTGATACGAACCGGAGTGCCACCAGCTTACAGAGGTCGTGTTTGGAAAAGTATAGTGACTCATTGGGTGAAAGATAAACAAGCGGAACTGGGAAATGGATACTATCAAAGTATGACCAAGAAAGCGAGCACTAAAAAGCAAGACGGCAGTTATGATGCGGCTATCAAACAGGTTAACATTGTGTTTGTACCAAAAGTATACATTTTGGTTTTCAGATTGACCTTGATCTCGCGAGAACTCTTCCCACCAATAAACTCTTTGATGAACCTGGATCTGCAAACATTGAAAAACTTCGAAACGTTCTCTACGCTTTCCGCTACCACAATTCTCACGTTGGCTACTGTCAAGGGCTCAATCGTCTTGCTGCCATAGCCCTTCTATATTTAGATGAACAAGACGCATTCTGGTTTTTAGTTGCTTGTGTTGAACACCTTCAACCTGAAGGATACTATACAAGTTCATTGATCGGAGCAGTCGCTGATCAGAAAGTTTTGAGGGATCTTGTAGCTGAGAAACTTCCAAAACTAGCCGCCCATTTGAGATCTCTCGAAGTCGACCTGTCGTTATTCGCTCTTTGCTGGTTTTTGACTTGTTTCGTGGACGTTCTTCCCCATTCCATTTATCTCACTATATTCGATGCATTCCTTTATGAAGGCAACAAAGTTCTCTTCCGATTCGCGCTGGCGCTACTCAAAATTTGTGAACCCCATGTCCTCCAGTGTAAAACTATTGGTGAGAATTACTTCTTTTTTTCCATGACCAAAAACTTGCTTACAGGCACAGTACACCAATGTCTCAGCAAGGCTCAGGATCATATCACGGACTTTAAGTCACTAGCTCAAGTGGCATTCAATGAGCTCAATCCGTTTCCACAGAAAACAATTGAATCCAAGAGACAGCAGTATCTGACGCAGTTGAAAGTGAGTCTTGAAAAAAGTAATCCATTTCCAACATTACCCTTTTTCAGGACACTGGTCACTGCATGTAAATTCAGACGAAACCTCTTCTCATACTGTACATCAAGCCTGTAATATCAATTCGATACCCGCATAATCCTCATTTTTTATTCCGTTTTCCTTTTAATCTCTCCTGTGATCCCTCTTTTCCTTTTTTTCACTTTTCTTTACGGTTTCTTTCCCCCTTTTCCGTGTGCTATTGTTTATCACTAGTCAACAATCAGACATTGAAATAAAAATTTGAATTAGGTCTCGTCTCAAAAAGGAAATTCATTATCTTCTTTATATATAAAACGCTAGGTGCGTGTTGGTCTCGGGGTCACGCTGTCATCTTTTGAAAAGCATGAAAAAATAAGTATAGACTTCCAAAGTGCTTCAAAATGACAATGAGCATTCTTGATGAGCCGCGAAATTCAAACCGAAAATTGATTTTTGCGTGAACTTTTTTTTCTTAAAGAAATTGGGTCATCCAGCTGGCTGATGACTTCGAAAATCCAGCTCATCGTTTAACGAAACGTAGCTCACCCCGCAAAAATTATATTTTACACCAATAACTTCTAGATGACTGAAAATAGCAGTTTCATTAATCTCAGTTGCGTCTAAATCAATTAAAAACTCTCAATCAAAGAAGGAAAAATGAAAGGTATGTAAATATAGCATCCCTTTGACATTAAAAACCGATTTTTTTTCACAAAATTAACTAAATTTCAGTTTTCAAACTTCTATTTCTCGGATTACTGCGCCAGTTGAGTGCTTCTTCATCTACACCAACCAAAGTGACGTCAGAAGGTACAGTACCCCATAAAAATATCTTACCTAAGAACTCCTATGAACACAAGTTTGACCTAATTCTGAGAGATATCAAAAATTGGTCAAGTGATGAATTGTTTATCATATTATCACAAGCATTTTATCAATTGACAACTTTTTCTATTTCTGATAGGAGCCGAGATAATCAAGCTCAAAGTTAAGGGGCCATCTATTTCAGCTTTTACGTCCCTAAAAAGCAGTATTTCCAGACTCTGTCTTCCTGCGAATCGCCACATCTCTCGATGCTCATTCACAGCAGCTGAACACTTTTGCTGAGCTCATAAATCCAACAAAACCAAATTCGGCACTTGGAAAATATTTCCTTCTAGACGATTCCATAATCTCTGAATTGACAAATGTGGATGAGACGCATGCAGCTAGAATTATGAAGGAATTGGCCGATTCGAAATACAATTTGACGGCATTCAATGAGAAAAGCGAGAGATTTAAAATGTTTGCGAAGCTACACCAATTAATAAATACTACCGTAATCCCTGTTAAATCAGAGAAGGATGAAGTGGCAGCGATAATTGGAGGATGGGACAATTGCGATATACTGGATTTGAATCTATTGAAATTCCACGAGAACACATTGGACAGTTTGACGTACTCGGAAGACGGAGGTGTTGCACACAGTAAGGTTCGAGGAGCTGCTGATGCTTTGGCGGCGATTCCAACTCTTCTGAAGGCTATCACGGATGGAATTACAAAGTTGGATGGGCGTCATCGAGTTATGGAGATTTTCGGAGATTTCGCATTTTTGGTTTTGAGTCTGAAGAATTATAAGGAAAAAAGTCCACTTCGTGATGATGATGTGGCAAATTTATCGAAACTTTTTTCGAAATCTCAATCATATCGAACTGGCAACAGAGTCGCTATGATGTTGAAAGAATTGGCTCATGCTTCAAGTGAGATTCTTTTTTGAGTTTTTGGAACTTTTCGAACTTTTCGATTTCAAAAATTTCAAAAAATTTCAACTCTTTTGAATTTCTAAACTTCGAATTTCGGATTTTTTTTGAACAGTGATTATTTGAATTGCTGGCTTTCAAGACTTGAAAAATATGATTGAAACTCAATTTTGAAAAAAAAAAATATTTAAAAATTAGGAAAAATAGGAAAAGCAAATATAAAAATTTCGTCAAAGTTTAAAACATTGAATTTAGTAGCTATCGTTTTTATAATTTAAGTTTTAATAGTTTAAAAAACACTTCATTGAAAAATGGGAGACTAATTTATCATAAATTTTCTCAAACTTTTTTTTCAAAGTAAGCGTCTATTTTGAACACAATTATCTTGGTTCCTATGAAAGATATCATAAATTGCACAACTGATAAAAAATTGAAAATTTTATAATAAAAATCTTGTCTGTTGACTGCATTTTGATATCTCTATTCAGAACTAAGGTAATTTGGATCAAAGTTGGTCGTCTACTTTAAATTCTGTCGTATTACTGCAGTCTGAAAATTTAAAAAGAAGTTTTGAGTCAATTTGTCAATTTGCAATAAAATTAGCGATTTCTATAAATTTATCATTTTTGAACATCGAAAATTTTCATTTCCAGACTTTCCACAGCATATGGGAATACAACTGAAACAGAATCTCGACGGTGAATCTCTTCGAAAAGTTCTGAACAAAGGAGAAACCTTAAGCTGCTGAAGAAGATTCTGAATTCGTTTTTCGAAGTGGAGCCAGTACTGTTATCCATCTGGAAGGACCTACGAACTGATGTTACTACGAAGGCATTCAAGGAAGGATCTGACTCAGTTTTGAGAGTTTTGAACCTAATCACTTCGGCTGGATACTCATCTGAAGGCAAATTCAAAACCTCTTGGACTCATCTCAATCAAATTTTGAAACCTGAAATTTCGATTTTTGACGACGTGACCCATTTTTTGGATATTTTCAAAAATCTAACGGGCGCGTTCGATGAGTATACGCAAGTTTTAACGATGGTGAAAATCTGACGGAATCCAAAGGGTACAAAACTGCAATCAATGGAGTTGAAAGGGTCAAAAATTTGGAAAAGGCAGTAGTAATCAATACAGTTACACCTACTCCTCCAAAGCAGGGATATTCCACATATAAAGTGGATAGGACGACGTTTGGGAATGCTATAACAAGAGTTGTTCAAGTGCGGGAAGCATTTAGTGTTGTTCTTGATACACTCAAACCGATTTTCAACAATCAGCAATGTCAAAGAAAAAATTGATAGTTTCTCGAGTTGGAACTCGGATGAGTTGGAAAAATGGCTAAAATAAACTTTCGAACATTTAAAAAACCACTTTAAATATCGAAAAACCACTTTAAATATCGAAATTATCTTTTAAAATTTCAGAAAATCAACGGACCAAACTCTGCTTTCACGAATGTCCCATGTATTCAAATTCGTTGATTCACCCCCTAAATCCTCTTCTGACTTCTCCGATTTCACTCAAGTTTGCTCGAAACTCGCTGCTTTCGTAAAATCGGAAGCTACAAAAGTGGAAGGCCTGAAAACGAAGCTGAGCAATTTGAAAGACGACAAATATACTAAGTATCTTATGGAATTCAACGAATACAATGTGACCCAAGAGTTCCAAAGTGGATTCACTCTGTTCAAGTTGTTTGATCGAGTTATGCAGGGTTCGGCAGGTTTCAAGACGTTTTTAAGCAAGGAGACGTGATGGAAAAGGAGATTCGAGACTTGGATTACAAAAATGCCAATCGACGTGGGTGGATAGAGAAGATGAATGTGAGTTTTAGGAATTTTATAGACGACCAGCAAGCTTCGGCGAAAAAAAAATTCAAAAATCCTGAAAGTTCAAAATCTTTTAAAAATCCAAAACATTTGAATTTCAAAAATATGTCAATTCCAAATTCCAAGAAAAAAAACTAAAAAGTTCAAAATTTCCTAACAGTTCAGAGGTTCTGAAATTTTAAGACCCAGACAATTCAGAATTTCCGAATTCCTGAATTGTTTAAAAACTCAAATTTTCAGATATAATTTTCAGATATAATACTCAAATTTTCAGATATAAATTGGAAAATGTTTCACATCAAAAAATCCAAAAAAAAACCAAAAAATTGAAATCATTCATAAATCCAAAAGTATCCAGAAATTCGAAATATTGAAAAATTAACTTTCACCCTTCATCAATAACCTCGCATTATCAGATCTTCCAATCCGTCAAATCCAAATTCTTCGAAATGAAGGCTGAAATCCTGAAAAGACGCGGATTCTACACTCCCGAATCTATTGAAAACCTGATGTCCCTCAGATGGCTTGTCGAGAACCTCGCTGATATTCCAATCCAGAGCTTGTAGTTTCTCAATGGACCGATTTTGCTGAAAAAATTCCACTTTGAGCAATATAACAGCTGCCGATGGTTTTGTGGCTTCCTTGACACCAATCTTCGATTTGAATTTCGCGGCTCACCAAGAAAAATGCTCAATCGCTTATGCAAGTTTTAAAGCACTCTTGATATTTGCAAATAAATTTTGGCTGCTGAAAAAGTCTCGTGAGTACCTTTTTTTTCAGAAAAATCAATCTAAAAATTGAATAATTTTCAGACAATTGACATTCTGGGATTACAATAAAAACTGGATAAAAATTGTTTGATTCTGCTTTGTCACCATTTTAATCAATGCCGTGACACTCATTAGTTTGGAAAGAAAAGCAAAGAAATCACAGGAATCGGAGGAATTGGAAGATTTCAATGAGAAATGAGAGGAGTTTGAGAAGAGAAAGAGAGGACAGTTTATGGGAACTTATTGAATTTTTGGTTTCTTTTTTTTTGGTAAATAAAGTTTTTTGTTTTCTTCATTTTTCATTTTTACTTACATCACAAAATAAGCAGTAAGTTGTTCCAGTTGTTCAGAATCATAAAAAAAAACAAATAAAACAAAAATTTAACGATTTTTTTTGTCTAGAGCTCTTTCAATCTTCCTATTTTTCCAACTTTCGGAATTTCTCATTTTCGGAGTTATTGGAAAACTTTAACTTCTTGAATTTATCAATTTTACAATATCTTGTACACTAAATAAATAAATTTAAACATACATATTACATGCTTTCTACAGTATTCAATATTATTGCTCTGATTTCTTATTCTAAACAAGTGAGAGTTTCAAAATGGGAAGTAATAAATAAATTATGTCGTAGACTTTGGCACAGGTTTTTGAAAATTTTGGGCAAAGTGCAGAAGATGACTGGCGATTGGGGGAAACATTTTGAGCTATATTACTATTCACTATTGTCTACAGATTAATTGAACGCTGATCCGAAATCAGCAAAGTTTGCGAATCCGGCTGGTTGGGATGCTTGGCCTTGAGATGGTCTGAAAATTTAAAATTAGATTTTATTACAAAATGGAATTGACATACGCAAAAGGATCGTTGACAGGTGTCTCCCGTGCAGACTTCGGAGGTGCTGGACGTGGTGGGGCGGGTTTAGCAGGAGCAGATGAATTGAATCCGGCGTCGGCAGGGAATCCTCCCTGAGCGAATGGATCAGTTGGAAACGCTGCGTCGAAATGACCAGAGGATCCAAATGGATCTCCTTGAGCAAACGGATCAGCTGCTGGGTCTGAAAAAGAGATTTCAGGTAATCAATTAGGAAATCAGTGGCTTACTCGTTCTAGCCGACGCAAATGGATCAGGTGGTTGCTGAATATGATTTTGAGATGATGCACCAGCAGTTTCTCCGTAAACCGTATCATCTGACAATAAGGTTTGATCAATGACAGTATTCAAGAGATGAGGTTGTCCTCGGAACGTAGAAATCATTTCTTCTTCAGATTTCTCGACTGCAGCAGAGACTTGCTCAGTTAGTTGAGTAGTTTTTTCGGTAGCTGCATCCAATTTCTCGATTTGTATCTGATCTCTAGCCTCTTTTCTCTCTAAAGTCGTCAACTCGGCAACCATATGTTCGCGTTTAGTGGTTTCTTTGACAACTTCCCCACGAACAGTCTTGAATTGGTTATCGAGCATTTCGATTTCTCTCTTCAATTCCTCCGTTTCCTTCTCATCATTCGCCTTGCATTCTTCTGCATTCTTAGCTTCTTCATCAATTTGTTGCAATCGTTTTTCCGTATCTTCTTTCTTTTCTCTCTGTGCTTTGCATGCTCCTTCCAACTGTTCAATTTGTGTATCATAATCAGCTAATCGTCTCGTTGCTTCTGTTTTCTGTCTTTCCAGTTGTTTAACAGTAGACTCAAGTGTTGCTAATTCAACTTGTAAGTTCTTGATTTTCGAGTTCTTCACTGTCATATCCGCTTCCAGCTGAACAACAGCCTCCTCGGCAGTTTTCCGCTCAATAACCATCGATTGAATCGCTTCAGCTAACTGCTTCATTTCTTCATTTTCACCTTCTAATGCTTCTTTGATTTCCATAGACGTCGCTTCTGGAAGTTGAGGAGTTGATACAGATTGAACTGGTTGATGATGGGCGGCAGATTCTGTCGGAGGACGGAAAGACGGAGGAAGCAGATGTGGAGGTAGTTCGGATGGCAAAGGTTCTCCGCGCTTGGCCATTTCCATCAAGTGCATACTGAAAGTAGAATTCTTTGATATTGAAAAAAAATAAGACACTCACATCAATGCAAACTGTTCCAAATTTAATTGTCCACATTTCTTGATATCAGCCAAAGCCCACACATGAGCTAATATCGTTGGACTCAATCCAGTTGTCATCATAGGCCCTCTCATATCTTGACCATCAACTAATCCATCTCTATTGGTATCAGTTTGAGCGAATAGATCAGCATGATCTGCAGTGTATATCGGCCATTCTCCACCGGACAATGAATGCACTGAATGTGAAGTTGAGATAGGTGTAGATGCCCCACTGGTTCGAGCCCCATTTGGTTGAGCCGAATAGGCACGATTAACTGGTACTTGTTGAGTACGTGGCATTGTTGCGGAATACGATTGACTCATATTGACATCATCCAGCGATGTAACGGAACCTGCTCTCGATCCCATCATCGGACGTGGAGGATGAGGAGGAGCAGCGAAGTTCGGAGATCTGTGAGCGAACATCGCTTTTGAAGGATGTATAAGGTTTGGTGGTAGTTGAGCAGGAATCGGATCCGATTGAAGTGTTCGATATACCAAATGAAGGGCAACAGACATTTCGATTCTATCCAGACTTCCATCCTTGTCTTGATCCGAAAGTTCCCAGATACGAGCCAGGGCATGTGGATCGAGGCCCGAGTTCATGAGAACCGGACGAACATGTGCACCGGATAGTTTTCCATTCACTGGATTGAGGGATTGGAAGATAGAGTCGTACTTTGCCTGAAAAAAAATTATTTGAAAGAATCGTTTCACTGAAGACTAATGAAGGCATTTAGCTATCAAACAAAGCGTATATGAGGAAATCAGAGCTAATTTTTGTTTAGGTATATTTTTCATTGTGTAATATTCATAAAATATTTTTTAAAAAATATAATTACCTGATCTGAAGGCGTTATTGGCCAATGTGGAGGCAATCCCGTTGATGGATGAGCCGGTGACGATTGTTGCGACGGTATCGAATGGGGGTGAGATGGATGTGGCGGTGGGGGAACTGGTGGAGCACGACCAGGCTATAAAAATCTAATTTTATAAAAGAGATGCTATAGATTCTCACTGATGGAAAGTTTGGTTGGAAATGATGTTGCATGTTTGCTGGTGGCACAGGCGGCGCGAATCGAGGCGGTTGGAGAGATGAATCGTACAGTGACGAGCTCGCAACAGGTTTTCCTTCAAACTTTTATTTTTTTTAATTCTAAAATAGTTGTTTACCTTGCTGAGCAGCTGCTACCAACTTGAACGCCACGAATGCTCCTCGCTTGTCCAGTGATCCAGTTTTTTGCGGGTCACTCAACTCCCAAATTTGTCCGAGCTGTGGCATCGGTAAATTCGATTTCTTAAGGAAATTAGCAGCGTCGGCGGCGCCTATTCTTGGTGCTCCATGAGGATTCATCTCAGCGAAAGCCACGTTATAGGCTTCATTATGCGGTGTGGCGATCGCATATGAGTCGTCCATTTTGAACCTGAATAGATAGAAATTTTCGGATGTTTTTTTGTCTCGGTCAAAATTTTAGACGAATAAATTTAGAAATAAGTAAAATTAAGCAGAAACACAGCGAATTTTGACATGCAGAGGAAAGAGAAGAAGAAAAAGAAGATGTGGCGAAGAATAACGACGAGTGTCTTCCGAATGTCGGCTCTCTTCTCTGTTTCTCCTCACTTCTTCCGAGCACTCTAGTACATCGATTTTCCGTCTTTCCTAAGCTTTCTCTTCCTTTTTATGTCGGTCCTTCTCCCTTTTTGGTCCATAGAGGATGTGAAAAATGTGCAAAGGAAAGTATTAGGTTACGTTGAGAAAAGGGGCCATGATAATAGTTACAAAGCAAATATATCGATTAAGAAAAACTATTCAGCTCATCAAATGCGAGTTTATTCATTCGTTGAAGTTGGAAACTCTCGAATCAAAATAAAGCAATTATTCGGTCAGTAAGCGACCAATCCTCGATGACTAATCGTCGCATTTCTCCGTCGCGGTGTTTACACAAATTTTATAGTGCTAACCTTATTTCGTCAAAGTCAATCTTTTTACATATCTCAGGTAAACGATTCTGAATTAGATCTGACTTCATTCGGAATTAGATCTGGGTTCGTTCGTAAATAGAAGTGGCATGATCTAATACAGAATTTAGCTGATCTAATTCCGAACGAACACCGAATGAACTACGAACGAATTAGATCTAATTCCGAACAGGCCGGCGGGATTTCGAAGATTCCTAGCGCGCGCTTTTCAAATTTTGTTTTCTTTTTTATCGCCGGTTGCTTCATTTATGATAAAATTTATTTTAAAAAAAAGGAGAAAAAAACCAGATAATACTAAAAAAGGAAAACAACCAAATGAGTTGGGATACAAATTAAATGGATTTTGTAAATGAGATCAGAACAAGGCACTGACAACAGTAAATGATGAGATAACAGGGAAAAGAATGAAAATGTGATTTAGGGGAAAAAGATAGAAAAAAAGTTGGAAAATGATTAACAAGGAGCCATTGGAGCCGGAGGAAAAGGGTAGAAGAGGGGAGACAAGAGTGGTCTAAGCATCATTGGGTCCACTGGTGCGCTGTTTGCCGATTCTTCGCATGTCTTCTCTTGATTTGTTCCTGAAATATAATTTTTCGGAGTGAATGTAGAATTTATTTTTTCATGTCTCAGTGCACAAGTCGTAGGTTTTTCAATTCAGGCAAGGCAAAACCATTCAGGGTTGATAAAGCATTTGAGACGAATAGTAATTTATTAGCTACGAGGCATCGCAATGATTATTGATAACCAACTTCCTGGAACTTTTTTCAATTTTCAGAAACTCACAATAAGTAGGCCACATGCGCACACCACATTGAGGCCACACTATCCCTAATGATATCACGCTGATCTTCACTGGATTGGAGAAGCTTCACAGCTTCTGAGAGAAGAGCTAGAAAATTTGAATTGTTTCACCTTATTTGTAATGAGCCTCACCAATCTGCAAATTAATGAATCCGATGGGGATCGATCGTGGTGTACTTTCCGCGGGGAGATAGAGACGACGTGAACTGAGCGCGCATAGATTTTTCAGGCATGATCTGCATTAAATAGAGAATTATAGAAATTAGGTAAAAAATGAACCTCGTTAAACCAATGATTGCACGCTTTTTGGACAAGAAGTTGTAGTGGGCAACGCAAAGGTGGACACTTTGACAAAACTTCATTAGCACATATCTCGTCTACAAAAAAAATAATTTTTAAATCTGAAACTCTGGTATAAATAAACCATGAGTGACCGGATGAATCACAGTGATCTGCTCCATAGAAGAAAAAACAAATGGATCAAGAATTGCCATCATTTCCGCCTGAACCCAGCTTATACTGTAATAGACTTCTAATTACACTCACGGATCCTTCCTTTCTCTTCTGAACCGAAACGGCGCTGTCGTGACGAGCTCTTTCAGCCTCAATCTGTAAAATGTCAAAAGTACCGATTTTTAAGATGTTATCGTGATTTACTCACTACCAACATTAGCCCAGAAATACCCTCTGCTAACATCGCCACTTCCAGAGAACCTTCGGATACTAACTGATTCAATTTTGTTAGGTCGAAACAGAGACGACCACGGATTTTCCAAACTCTTCATCTTCTTCACTGCCTCCGCCGCCGTCTCCGACAGTGCCGGCGTTGAATTCGCTTCGATTCGTCACCTTCAACGCCTTCAGCCTTTTCCTCGTTGAAACTTCTACCTCTTTTTTCTTGATTCGATATCGTGTCATGTCTGCAATATTTGAATTGAAACAGTTCTGAACAAACGCGGAAAGTGGACATGCGAGCGGATAACGAAGGAAAAAATAATTTCACCTAAAATTCTGCAAAAAAAGCTCGCTACGCATGAAAATATGTTCAATACAGTTACATTTGACTAGTTACTGATTTCTAGGAAAAAAATCAGAAAAACTGCAAAAATTTGAGAAAAAATTCATATTATTGAAGAAAATAAATATGGGTTAAAAAACAAAAAAAATTCATCCGCGCCAGCTGAGTCACTGGCGCATTTCTCGTGTCAACTTCGGTATTAGATCTAGTCCCGATCTAATTCCGAATGAACTCAGATCTAATTCCGAATTTCGAGTTATTCGATCTAATTCCGAATGAAGCCAGATCTAATTCCGAATCGTTTACCTGAGTAGTTTGTGATTTGTTATTGCTCAAATCACAAAAAAAGTTCCAAGAAAAGACATCACACTACTTTAACACACTACATCGCAATGTGCACAACATAACATTTAAAATATATTTTTATAGGTTCCAATAAAGAACTTTAAAAAGAAACTTGAAGTTCAAAGTAGATTTTGAAAATGTGTGTGGAAGAATTCCAAGAGAATTTTTGTTGTTTTCTGTGAGCAAAACCGTATGCTTCTTAAAGGAACAGTCTTGCAATTGTCTGGTGTTCCTACAACGCAGTTAAAACTTTAGAGTTGCTCCTTTAAGTACCGTATCAATCGGAAAGACTTGGAAGTTCCAAGTTGGAACCTGCAAGAAACGTGAATCAAATGGACAGAGTCTTAATTCGACACCTCCTTTTGCTCTTCAAATTTTTTTAGCAAAGGGGGGACCCCATGGAAATTTTTTCAAAATTTTTTTTTGGAACAAAGTGAAAAAATAACTTTTCCAGATTGTGCAGAAATATTCAAAAATACGATAACTTTCATAAGCCAGCGAAAATTCTCGCTAAGTCTTTTAAAAGCTCACTCCAAGAGTTAAAAATCGGTATTTTCCGAGCTCATAACTTTTTAAAGAGAGGCAGGATTGAAAAAAGGACTTCAGTTCTGTTATCAGCTTGTTCAAAAACATCTGATTGCGGAAAAAATCCGAGCTCTGAAATTTTTTTGAACGCGCTCCGCTGTGAGAGCAAAAGGAGGTGTCGAATTATGACCCTGTAGCAAATGGGTGGGGTTTATCAAAAATGGATCCGAATTTCAAAAATTTCAGGATTTTTTTCCAGAAATTTTATTTATATGTTTCATTCCGGATTCCGAATTTTTTTCATCCCGGATGCGAAATTCAAATATGAATGTTCGAAAAAAAAACCGTAGTTTGAAAGTTTTTTGAACGCGCTCCGCTGTGAACACTGAAACACTGAAAGAAATCTGGAAAGAATAAATGTATGAATATTATCGGAAATTAGAGAAAACAGTGAATGTATGATCAAAAGAAGCGATTCTAATAAGAAAGAAAACTTTCAGTAAATACTATATTTTATTTCGGAAAGATCTATAAATTCAGTTAAATTGACATTTGGGAAGAGGAAGAGTTGGAAGATGAAGAAGTAGCGTCGTTGAATGCTTCGTTGATTCTGAAAAATTTTATAAATAAACTTGTTTCTATATAAACCGTTACCGTTTCTGAGCATTTTTCACATCCGAATCAAGAATTGGGTGCTTCGACTTGAACGTAGTAACGATGACTGCCTTCTTCTTGTTAAGAGCCAGGAATGCTTCGTTGTCAACTTTGTACGACTCTTTTTTAATATTCTGACGACGAAGAGCTGATGAAGATGCAGACATGCAACTCATACGCGGTGGAGAGCACGAACGTTCGGACTGCACTCTGCAATTTCAATTATTAAGTTTCCATCACATCTTCACAAACTACTAACGGCGAAGGAACAACAGTGAGCTCCGATTTGCTCTCACTTCTTTCTCCAGCCACATCGTTACGAAGATTGCTCAGATAGGATTGCGCTTGGATGAATGTCTCGTCAACCTTTTGGAGGATATCCTGGAATGCATCAGTTGCTCCGTGGTATTTCGACATTCTTTGCTGATAATGCTCCGCTTTTTGGTTGAGGCTGTTGAAGAGCAAACTTGTGAATAGTGGTAGATTTCCGAGCACATGGAACTGTGGCAAACTATTGAGGTCATATTTTTTAAACTAGAAAGTGATCACGTTTGAAAATATTCTTTTTAGGAATCGAATTTCTTCTGTTCTCCCTGAACCAAGACCCAACGTTCACGAACAGTTAAAAACTTTCACACGACCTTCAAATATCCGGAAATTGTCAGATTTTCGAACAGAAAAGGAAACAAAAGAAATGCTTCTCAAGTATAACCTGATTCATTCTTACCGTATTCTTTTTTTTCTTTTTGTGTTGTTGTTGCTGACTCATATCCTCACTAAAATAAATCACAAAATCCATTAAAACTCTCCACTCCAACAGATGGAATCATCTTTTCTAGAAACATTTTTCTTCGGTTATCTCATTCAGGTGATTGGAAATGAAAAGAGTTAGAGAAGAGGCACATCCTCTTCATGAAGATGGAGGTGAATGTGATGAGCTAATAGACTGGAATGAAGTAGTTTGAGGTGGAAATGTGATGAGAATGTGATGGGGGACCACATGCAGGTTATCGGGTGCCAGATTGAGATTCTTTGGTTACTGTAACTTTCAATTTTCGGAGTTTTATTCTGGCACAAGAAATGGGAGCTGTGGAAAGAAAACGCCGGTGGTCGTGGCCAAAGGTCCCACAGCGACAACTACCGTAACCTAAAAAATTTAAACTTTCAGTATTTATTCTCTTCTCGTGTTTCTTCAGACATTTCATTGACAAGAAATTTATTTTCCGACTTTTGCGGTAGAGAATACCTCTTTGAGCTCAATTATCTCATTTCCTGTAAAAGATAGCGAAACGTTGCTAATTGACAAAATATTTTTGATATTATGATAAACATTTTGACGGTTGACGACTTCTCGATATCTTTGAAAGGAACCGAGTTGAATTGAATCAAAGTGCAAGTATAGGGTTCTATAAGAGGTTTCACAGTAACAGTTAAACCCGACATGTAGTAAAAAAAGAAAAAATAAATCCGAAAAAATAGTTTTAGGTTACGGTAGTTGTCTCTGTGGGACCTTCAAATTTGTTTTACTTACATTACTCTGCTCCAGAAACCGATTGACCATTAGAACCATATCGTCATGTTTCCCAACTCCACCCTAACCTTATCAAACTTTTGAACTACAAAATTTTTCCGTATTTTTTAGTGATTCACCAGAACTTCTTCCATACTTCTGAAAGCATCGTTTTCAACCACACCCAGTATTGTTTTCCCAAGACGTTTTTAGAATACTCTATTTAATGATACAATATGTCATCTCCTTTAATGTGTTAATGATAAAAATAGAGTGAGAAGAAGAAGATGGGAATGAGCCATAAAAAGCGGAAGAAACGGAGTCAGAGTTCCGTCATGAAATTTGTTAAAGGTGGGAAAAGCTGTTTCGAAAAATAAACATATTTCAACATCTTTAAAGTGGATTGTTTTTCTGCAGAGGAGGTAAGAAAAACTGAAAGTCGGTTTTGTATTTTATCAAGTGTTTAGGTTACGGTAGTGGCCGTTGTAGGACCTTCGGCCGCGGCCACCGACGGTTCTCTTCCACAGCTCCGCATTTTTTGCACCTGAATAATATAATGATTTTTACTTTCATTTCAGATAAAAAAATTTCAGCTACATTTTTTTCCGTTTTGAAGTAATGAGAATGTTTCCAAAGCCAATTATTCATTCGATCTATTATAATGTCCTCCCGAAGTTAGCATCACTTTCGCTCGTTTTGTTACCGTAATTTCCCTTGACATCCATTCAAAACATTTACCTAATTGTACAGTTTGGTAACTTTTTGTTGGAAGCTGTTCTCATAGAATGCTGAAACTAGAACTGTAAGCATTTCGGAAATAACTCCTGATCAAAACATAACCTCTTTCTTCCGTTTTCACCTGTATTTACCCAATAAAATCCTTCTTTTGTCTGGTAGCGGTGGTTAATTCTCACTTTTTGTTTCGAAAAGTGTGCAAATAATATCGTCTACGAGGTAGAACTTCACAAAACAAATTTCCTTTAGTTGTTACTTTTCATTGTTTTTCTTTGACTCACCACTCAAAATGTTCGATCACTCCACTCTTTTTTTTCCTCTTCTCACTTTCATTAGGTGCATTCCATAAATCACTTAGTTGATCCTCAGCTCTTCTTTCAACGAGATAGAACTTATATTGAAGAGAATCCGGAGAAAGTGGGCGGAGCCATGGGATCAAATCGGTTTAAAAACGAATACCCATGTGTTCACCTGTCAGTTTCGTTTTGATCCTCTTAGAAGCGGTTCCTTTTTGATGAAGACATCTTTTTTCCTAAGTCTAACGGCGCCGTGTCTGAGCTACAGTAATCCTATTGTCATCAGTTGAATCTTGAACTACAATATACCTTTTTGTTAGGGCTACTATACGATCTGAAAGTTGTGAAAAATTTTTAGTTCAAGGAAACATCTGACAAAACGATCCATGTCTTTAGGAGCACAAAGGGTAAATACTTTAGAAAAAGTTAAACGAGTCTCGAATCGCTCTTAAGCAATCCCATGAATGCGATTCTGCTAATGACGATTTTGTAGGTTTTAGAAAAATGAAAAGTCCAATCTTCTCGAAGCTTCTATAGTTCTAAGAAGTTACAGACCCAAAAATACTGTTAACCTGTAATAGAAGGCTCTCTGACTTTCAACTTCGAACCAATTTTTCTCAGTCGCTGTTAAAGAAATAAAGAAGTTGTCAGCTGATAAAGTGTTAATCATTATATCAGAAGTGTTTTGTCAGTTGACACATTTTTGATATCTTTCACACGAATTGAGATAATTCAGCTCAAACTTGACAGTGTGGGGCCCTTCTATTACAGGTTTTCACAGTATTTTCTTTTTTACCTACCGTAAGACCTTTTTCCAAACAAACAGGAACAAAGCAGATTTGGAAAAAATAGATTGGAGTCAGGTAATTGAAGAATTAATATACGAAATCGCTGAACTTTTGAAAGAAATTGAAGCAGAAACCAAGAGAAATCTCACAGCTTGGTGCATTATAACCCTGACTAAACTTTGTACTAGCATAAATTTTGAGTAACGCGTTGTACTGGGCTCAAACTTGGAGAATGAATTTTCAAATGAGCTGACTTACCGTTTATCAAAGTTGCTTCATCTCAAGGAAATCATAACGACGTGCAAGAAAATTTCATCTGTGAACAATCATAATGATACCTAGACTTGAGAAATCGCTTTTAAAATTCTATTAGCTTTGAATCAAGCGTAAAACTATATTTCTACCAGTTTTCGCTCTTCCAAGATACTTATGTCTAAAGATATACCCGTTTTCAACCGTCCTGATAACTGTAAGCCAACCTTTACATTACAAATAACTTCTATAAGAGCATTCAACTTTCTTGATTTGTATCAATTTGAATTCAAATGTATATTCAACTTCCAAAAACTATCCGAAATTATACTTCATTCTTTAGTTTGTCGTTTGTGCAACCAATTACTCAAGTGTCAATAATTCATAATTTTCTGTGTTCTGATCGTGAATTTTCGAATTTAACACTCTATTCTATCGTTTTTGGGGTAACTCCTTCTCAAAATGTATTTTTAATTTCTTATCTCTTTTTTGTTGCCCCGATTTTCCCCCTCTCTATTCTCGTATTAGTGATTGCTCTCTTCTCTGCGACACTGATGAACTGATACCCACTGATAACCTCCGCCCGCAGGGGAGGAGAATCGGGGTGGACAGAATTCATGGAATGCTTCTCTTCCATCATTCCATTTGATTTGACGTCAAAAATTCTCGACTCGTCTGCCTATTTCAGGCGTTTTCCGTCTCCCTGACGATCCATTCCGTCTACCCTTTTACCTTCTGACTAACTGTGCTTCAATACTTCTTGACTCTTTGACTCACATTCATTATTTACATGTTTTGTACTTTTTTCGTTGCAGAATTTGGTTGTTGAACTGTCAAGTACTTTATAAGTAAACTTTCGGCAGTGTAGACCGTTGCCAAAACTCAAGAGGTCTTTTCTGAAATGTCATGTATTATTGAAATCATTTGGTATACTGTAGTCAAGAAAGTTTTTACTTCTTTCTGGTTTATAACGGAAACCGTGTTTTTTTTTGGTCCAAAATGTGCCCAACTTTTGCCAAGAACCTCAAAAGTGCAGATTTGTTGAGGCCGTCGTAATCGTCATGTTCGAGGCCGCACAGGTGGTTCGCGAGGAACGGACGCATTGTAGTTCCATTCTAAAATGTTGACCATTCACATTCAACTTTGAGCCCATTTATCTCATTCTCAGTGAAAGATGTCAAAATGTAGCCAACTAAAAAAATGTTCATTATAGCTTCAAGAATATTTTTCAGTTGACCATTTCTCGATATATATCACTGGAACCGAGATGGAATATGGCTGAATCAGCTAACTTTATTACAGACAATATATTTTATAGCTTTTCTTCAAACTCCCACAACAACATTCCATTTCTTTTTCTCAACAATTTCTCACTTAAGTATGTAGGCTAGATTGTGTCTTCGAATTTCAAGAATCAGTAAAGAAGACGGAACGGAGTTAAGAGGATTTTCCCTATTTAGGTAATGGAGAATTGACACTTTTTAGGGTATTTCGTTATTAAAAAGAGACGTTGCTTCGGACTACTGTACACTGTATTCATCGTTTCCAGACCATCCAATCTTTAGTCATTTCCATTTGACCAGAGGGCACTTTTCTTCTAGTCAACGATCTAACTACCGTGTCCAAATCGAAGAATCGCGAGGCGCTATCACAACTAATTGACCAACTTTTATAGCTTTTGCCTCTTTTTCTAACAATAAAACATCATAAAACAAAGGTCTGACAATCACTGAGACCATGGATTACCGTAACCCAACTTTTTTCAAAAAAAGTAATAAATCCTCAAGAGAAAGAAAAAGACACGTCATCATTTAGTCTCCTCCCCTTTCTTTTTCTTCTTCCTCCAAACACCTGCTTCTTCACAAGGGGCCGTTTATTCGTATACCACCAAGGCCGTCACAATTACCACTACAATTCCTCATTCGTGTACTTTCTAATTGGTTCGAATTAGTTGTAGTTTTGGTTTCAATAACACACCTTTGTTTCCACACACCTCTCTTCCCCTGATTCATCGCACATACACGATCGCAAACTCGGGTCGTAAGGTCTGAAAAAAGTCTAATTTTGGCACACACAAATTGAGCACATGTGTAACATTTTTTTGATTGGCTTATCACTTCTCTTTTTTCTTGTTTCTATTCTTCGTCTTGTTTCTCATATACAAACAATTTCAGCCACTGTCGTCGTCATCAAACCATGAGGGTTCTGCTGATGTTCCTTTTATTCACCGTCGTGTCATCAACCCTCTTCCATCACCATCACAACAAGAGAAGAACACCACCAAGACATGTAAGTTTGAGTTCTAGCCTAGAACTTCTAGATTACTGTAGAAATTTGAAAAGATTTGTATGCTCAAACTTGACGACTCTTGAACTTGAATGAATCTCTCAGCAAATTTTTTGCACACTAGGGCACAGAGGGGCACAGGATTCGCGTCCAAATGCCACAGTGCCTGTTCAGAGTGCCCTTAGAACACCGCACCTGTGTCCCTAGCTCGCGGGTATCGTGCCCGTGTTATCGTACCTTTTCTGGGCACCGGTTCCAAAAATTTGTTGAGGTCGACTTACAGTCAAAGTCGTCTCTCCGAATTTCGCAATTGAACTATATTCTAGAAGTTCTAAAATGAATAGACGACGAATTATGTTGAGCGCGGTGAGGGCACGATAAATGTATATGTGCCCCTGTGTGAACGTGTTACCGCTTTGCAGCGGGATCGGTGCCCCAAGGGGCATATGTGCCAAAAACTTTGCTGAGAAACCTTTTTGGAAAGAACTCTCTGAGACACCAATCATCTGACATGCTCGTGAAAGAATGTAACTAATTGTGTTTCCTTTCTAGAAAGCTCGTGGACCAAGCAGAATGAAGCACCACGTCCGATCCGAACGAAAAGCCGAAGAATGTCAGAAGCACGAGCATCATCTCATCTGTGGACCAGAGAGACATTGTGATCGGACGTGTGAGAACTTGTTCAGGTAAGATAGTAAACATTATGAAACACTGTGCGGAAGGAATGTAGATGGAATTTGAGTCACTTGATAAAAACTGTGTTGATTAAACGTAATTGCCTCGTTGTTGATTAGTAGAACCAAGGACTAGAAATTCCAATCAAATTTTAACTATTTTCAGCCCTCCAAACTGCGAAAACCATCTGCACCATGCCAAATGTTACTTCCCTCGATGCGTCTGCAACCATGGATACGTTCGAGACGACAACGGTATCTGCATCCGACCCTCGCACTGTCCCAATACGTACTATGAGCCGGCATCGATGATCATGGAAGACGTGAGTTTTTGGGTTAAACAAAAAATCAGTGATCACATTCTTCAAATGTTTTCGCTGAAATTTTTAATGAGCCACATAAAACTAAGTAGTCAGTTTGATATCTCCCTTTCTAGAATATACGTCGATTGGTCAAAACACAGTGCTCTCTCTGTCTCGTCAAAAAACCTTGTCGCGTCCCCATTAAAAATTACCATTAAATTATTTTACGACCCAACACAAATATCGTTCGATCAACACAATCTATTGCACTTTTTTGGGTTCTCTGTTTAACGCTCTGATTTGAAAACTGATGATGTTTGCGCGTAGGAAAGAAATTTGATTTCGAAACGAAACACCTGATGATCCGACTCACCATTGACGTAGTTTTGACCTAGATTTTGCAAATGTGGTTCTGAAAAAGGGGCTGAAACTGCCTTAAACTGACATGTGATGCTTTTGCGCTCAAATGTGATATTTAACGATTATCAGCAAGCTTTTTTTTCTTAAGCGTCTTAAGGTGTCAAAAAACCTTTGAACTGGAGACGGGGAAAAGTTCCGGAATTGTAATTTATTTTGGGAGGAAATTTTGCAGAGGGTTTTGGCTAGTGACTTAAAATCAACAATATTTTATTCCAGGACAATGATATGATGATCCAATTCAAGCCCGTGAAGTTCTCACGGATTGGAAACCATCGTGTCTACAGAGTCTCCAAAAACCACCGACCCCATGTTCCATCGGAGCTTGCCATCAGAATCTAGCTCTATTCTCTCTTTCCAGTGCTCTCTTTCATTCTCCTTTTTGGTTCTCCAAAAAATCAGGAATTCATTTTTCTAAACGAACCATTCGATCATAATATCTGTAGATCTGTGTAGATCAAAACGACCATCAACGTACTGTGTACTATTTTTCTCTGCCTGTATTTTTTTTTGCAAAAATAAACATGTTCAAAGATGTAACTGTGAAACTAATTGGATTGAGCTGTGAAGCATACTATAAACACACAAATATTGTAACATAATTGGAAAGGATGGGAGGTCGATGGAAAGGGATCAAAATGTAATCCTGTTATGTTTAATTGATGAAATTATTCAATCAGAAAAAAGATCAGAAGATGATTCTTGAATTGCAAAGCAAAGAAACAATTCAAAAAGAAGTCAAAAATCAAAAATTCAGAAAAATGCAAGTTTTTCGAAAATTCCAAAACTCAGAAACTCAGAAATTCAGAAAATCTAAAATTTCGAAAAATTCGGGAAAATCCTGAAAGAAAATAAAAAAAAATTCAAAAAAGTTCGAAAATTAGATAATTCAGAGAAAATTAATCTAAATTATTCAATTATTCAAAAATTCCAAAATTCAGAAATTCAGAAACTCTGAAAATCTGAAAATCCGAAAGTTCGAGAAGACTCAAATTTCTAAAAATTTCAAAATTCCGAAAAATCAGAGAATCAGTAATTCAAAAAACCAAAAATACTTAGAATTTCGAAAATTCGAAAACTCAAAGGTCAGATTTTGAAAACATTCTAAAAATCCGAAAATTCCAAATTCAGAATTTCAAGAGAAGGCGGAACAACGACTGTGTGAACACTAAACACTGTAAATCATTCCCCAAAAAAAACTCCGAATAATATCTTGTCTTATCTCCTCAAATGTATAAAAACCAACTCTTGAAAAAGACTTTTACAAATACAAAAAAAAACAAAAAATAGTTCAACAAATTAAATTTGTCATAAATCCCATATGTTATGGGACTCCAAAAATCTATCCCATTTTGCTAGTTCCGTTCTGAGCGAAGTTTTGAAGAAGAGTGCGAGAAATGACCATGCGTTGGATTTGAGAAGTTCCTTCGTAGATTTGGTAAATCTTGGCATCACGCATCAGCTTCTCAACTGGATAATCGCAATTGAAACCGGCGCCTCCAAAGATCTGAAAAATGGAACTTAGTTTACTTTTTTGACAACGTCTCGAATTACCTGACAAGCATTGGCAGCAGCAATATTTGCCGTATCGGCCGAGAAGCATTTTGCAATTGATGCACTGTAAGAAGAAACGCCACCTGCATCAGTTTCAGCTGCAGCACGGTAGGTGTAGAGACGAGAAAGTTCCAGATTGACAGTCATATCGGCAAGCATGAATTGGATGGCTTGATGCTAAAAAAGATCAATTAGAAATTAAAAATAAATAGTGACCCACATTGGCAATCGGTGTTCCGAAGGCATTTCGTTCCAATGCGTACTTGCAAGATTCATCCAGACATCTCCAGGACAGGCCAACTGCTCCGGCAGCAACCAGTGGACGTGTCAGATCGAATGCACCCATGGCGACTTTGAATCCAGCTCCTGGAGCACCAAGAATGTTCTCTTTGGGAACACGAACGTCTTCAAAAGTAATTGTTCTTGTATCTGAGCATTTCTGACCCATATTCTCTTCCTTCTTTCCTCGTGTAATTCCAGGAGTATCCCCATCAACAAGGAATGCAGTGAAGGCTTTGCCAGCAGGAGTATTCGGATTCTCATCAGTTCTTGCCAAAACAAAAAACCATTTTGCATGTCCTCCTCCGGTGATCCATGCTTTTGATCCATTGATGACATACTCATCTCCTTTCTGCACTGCTTTGGTCTTCACTCCGTTTACATCCGATCCTGCTCCTGGTTCTGTGACTGCATACGATGCAATAGTAGCTTCAGATGCCATCATTCCCAAATACTTTTTCTTCTGCTCTTCGGTTCCAGCCAAGTATACTGGAGCCACGGCGAGAGATGGTCCAACGATAGCGAGCTGGATTCCAGTACATCCATAGGACAACGCTTCAACAATCAGCACCGAATTTAAACCACCCATTCCAGGTCCACCGTACTTCTCTGGGATTATTGGATTCATGAAACCAAGGGAATGAGCTTGACGGACAATTTCCCATGGAAACTCTCCGCTTTTGTCGTATTTGGAAGCATTTGGTAGGAGTACATCTTTCGAAAATTGCAATGCTGCTGCTTGAATTTCTTTTTGAGTGCTTGATAGTTCTGAAAAAGAGACAAAAAGGTTTCGGGACATATTGGAGTGAACGAATTACCAAAAGACATTTGTCTTTTTTGAATTCGTTGACGAACGATAGATGAAGAGAACCGGGAGAGCATATTCACACAACAATATACACTTCTAGAGTGGAACCTTGATGTAAAACTGATAGATGGAGTGTGATGACTGTTCGGTATAGGTGAATCTCGCGTGGATAAGCTTCGTGGATGATTTTTTCAATGACATGAATTTTTTTCACGTGAAAAGCTTTTGATGAATCGTTGATTCTACTTCTTAAGTCTTTTGCGACATCGATGGATCAGCAGAAATGGTCTAACATGCACCTGGTGATACTTGGAGTAGCCCGAGGGGATTTTCTGTTTACTCAGAGGTCCAGAAAATTCAATGGTGGCTACACACATTTTTGATTCATTTGAATATATGTTGTCTTGATTATTCCACCTAAATTCCCGAATAATTTCCTATTCTAAATAGTTTCCTCATTTTCGGAATTCCTTTTTTATTGCCGTCTCATCTCTTTTACTATTAGTCAGTCCATCTATTTTCCAACCTTGTGGTTTATCCTATTGTCTAATCTTGATATCCCTCCTCACCTTTAAGACCAATGTTTTCCAAGGGTCATAAATTACTTTGCCAGGTGAAGACTACCACGGTGGCCTAACTTTTGAAAGTTGAGTTTTCTAGGCCACCATGGTGAATGACCTAGAGATGACCTGATATTCACCCGCTCTGTATTCTAGGACATTTCAGCATAGCGGCCAAACATTTGCAATATGAGTTTTCTAGACCACCCACTTTTATGATTCGGATGTGCAAATAACACACACTATTTTGAGAGCTGTTAAAACTATTTTATACCTACTTGCTGGCATTCTATTTTCCTTAAATTCACAAAAAAAGAGTACAAAATCTATATTTTCATTTACGAACTCAAAATACAGGGAAGTTTGGCATTTTACAGTTGTCCGCGGTGATGATATCAGTGATGTTGACAACTCGTCCTTCGAAACGAACCTGAATTCTCTGATTCCGAAAGAAGCCCAAATTTCAAATCTCTCACCTCCAGAAAAACACTATCCGGACTATTATCACAACCGAGTCTGGTTGCAATTGGTTCTCCTTGTACAATTCGTTTCCTTCCAAATCCGATATCAGATCTCGCCTTCACATTGTACAGTCTGACCTCGAATCCCAGCCAATCGTCGATTCCAACGATAAAAATTCCATCGTTATCACATCCTGTATAAGCTCCATTTCCATCAGTGAACAGACGAATTCTTCCAACAGTTTCTCCAGCGATTGGAGAGTAAATCATTGGGACACGTGGAGAATCTTCATTGTCATCGTTGATCATCTGACACTCAATATCCCATCCACGAACTCCGTTGAATCTTCTGGAAATTTCAATTCGTAATTTTCAAGATACCAATAGAAAACTCACTTGTCAGTTTTGAATGGATCTCCGAGAAGGGTGTTCCGACTGTTAGATTCGCAAATTTGACCAGTGCACATACCTGAAAATCATATTCTGAAAATAGAAACAATGTCATGAATCACTTACAATTTTGAAGATGATGTGTTGGATCAATCAGTTTTCCTTCTTTGTATAACTTGATCTCAACGTGGGGTTCAACATCATGTTGTCCTCGATCATTGAAACAGTACCGATTCAAAGCTTCTCCAATTTCGTCTCCAACCTCAACATGCCCTCCGTAGAAGGACAATTTCACAGAAGAAATGTGAACTGCGTAGCCTGAAACTATTCAAGTTTTTGGTAAAAGTTAGAATCCCTCTCACCTTGCCACTGTCCTGTTCCCTCGATTCTTACTCCGTGGTCTGCACAAGACTTCTCTCGTTTTCCACCAAAAGGTCTCCAAAAGTACATTTCTCCTTCAATCGGAGCGTAGATCGGTTCCCCAACATGGCATCGCACATCGACTCCATCAATAATTTCTCCAGATGATCTGAAAGTTTGAAACTTCGAAAAATTGAAAAAAAAATTGCCGCCAGCAGGGGTCGAACCTGCGACCTTGGGCTTATTAGACCCACGATCTAACCGACTGAGCTATGGCGGCCGATAGACATCAGAGATGACAAGAAAAATATGATAGGAAGGACAAGAACAAAGTATAGGTCAATAACTGATAAGATAAATTTTCAAATTAGACCAAAATTTATTGAAACCAAATATTTGTAACGTAATACGACGGCCTAGAGAATGATTCCAGAGTGTCGTCGAGGAGCCATGTGTCCCATCTTGTTTTTTTTAAGTGAAAAGTGAGTGAGTGTGATATCACCACTATCTCTTCTCTTCTTTCCTCGTCTCCAGTCAACTCATTTTTCGAGTTTTTGAAGGAGAAGAAGAAGAGAAGAGAACAAAATGAAACGGCCCATTGCTACTGTTTCAAAGTTGGAAATTTCTGATTTTCAGTTGCTTGTCTATATTTTGTATGGAAATTTTGATAAGGCATTTCAAGGTGAGTTCATATGTTTTATCTTATTTCAAAATTTATATTTTTAAAAACTGAAACTGACGACTACATTTCAGATACTCCATTACTTCAACGATGTGCTGTTATTGATCGATTATTGATTTACCTGTATCAACAGTCAATTCTAATCTCAATATTTCAATTATTTATTCACTTTACTCTATTCCAAGATTCTGATTTTCTGGCTCATGTACCTGACGACAAATGGCCGTTTCTCACAATTCTTGGTTTGTTTCTTGAAATTTATGCAATTCGATGTTTGAAATTAAGACTATTCACTCAAACTCTTTTCTTCTGTTTATTATCTCCTTTATTCCATATTTTCTTTGCTGGTTTTTATAATGATCTTGTCAATGGAGCGCAAATTACAATCAAGTTGAGCGCTCTTACTGTTCTAGGTATCATCCTATTTCTAATTGGAATTTTTCTACGATGCATAGTGATTTCTAGTGAATCTCAATTGGTGAGAAGTAGGGAGCGATGTACAAAAGAAATCGATCATGCCATTTTCTATGTTTAACCACTTATTTATTTTATCTTGTTATCTTTTTTATCATGTAAATAAAGTGATACCTTTCTGTGTGATAATTACCACACGATCCATCGGTATCTGGACAACGTCGGAACTCATTTTGTGCATTGTTACCACACACTTTTTTCATGCATCCCAATGTGTTGGCTGAAATTTATTAATTAAAAAAATTACTATTTACCTAAATGCTCTCATAGAAGATCCCACACTGTCAAGTTTGAACTCAATTATCTCGGCTCCTATAAAATATATCGAAAATTCATTAACTGATAAAACACTTCCGATAGTTTGAAAAACAACTTATCAGTTGGAATCTTTTTTGTATCTTTTAAAAGAACCGAGACAAACTTAATTTTCGTTAAAACTTATAGAGTCCTTCTATAACAGGCTTTACGGTATTTGAATTTTCTTTTTTGACCTCACCTCCAACGAAAAGAGCAGCAATTAGTATCAAAAGATGAAATACCCTGGATTTCATCCTGCTGTAAAAAAACTGAGAGTTCAATCACAAAAAAAAGTCTGAGAAAAAGAAAAAAAGGTGGAGAGAGAAAATAATAAATAAAATCGGAGAAGGCTCAGTTTGATGGCAACCGGAGAAAAAAAAAAAGAAAAGTTCTTTGGCTCCTTTCTTCCTTACTTTTTCATCTACTCGAATCATCAAATGGCATGTCAGGATACAGAACGGAGACACTTCTGAAGAGCAAAGACAACTGACTCTTTCTCTAGACACTCTCTCGATTCGACATACTATTTCTTCTGATGATCTCAGATCGATTGTGTTGTAGTTATTGTGTTGTTGTTCACGCAGTGTGTACCCCCAACGATAAGAAGGGTCCGATAGGAAAAGAGTGCTCACAGAGAGCAAGTCGTATAGTTTTATGGGGGTCGTAGTACTACAAAGTCTACTCGGGCATATTGTCGTTTTTTTTTTGAAAAGGGTATTTGCCAGTTTCTCACAAGGACATGTGTGCAGATCGCTATCTTTCGTAATAAAACTCACAAAGCCGGAAGATGATCTAAATTGCAGGAATTAAGAACACTGAAAAATTTAAATACTTTAAAATCCACATTCATAAATTCAAAAATGTAAATTCATCAAATTGTCTATTCCTCATTGGAACTTCCTCCAAAATGCTCTTGCATTGTGAATCGTATTGGCTCTCTGATCTCGAAGAAGTCTCTTGGAACCAGATTTTCAACTTGTGCCTTTGGAGATTTTTTATCCACAACTCTTTTGACCTTTGTCGTGGGACGATGAGAATGGTTCAGAAGTTTTGTGCTGTTTGAGAATCCCTGAAAAATTTGTTTTGATATTACCGTAAAACCTCCATTAAAAGGGCCGGCTCTTCTATTACCTTCGGAGGGACTTTCCATTACAGGGGCCTTCTAATTAGAGGGGGCCCTTCTATTTTTCCGGCAGTTTTTACTAAAATTTTTTTATTGAAAAAATCGGTGAGTTGTCGTCCAAAACTCAACAAAACTGTCAATTTCACAAAAATGGAGCCAGTTTTTCAGCAAAAAAAAGGGGTTTCAACAAATTTCTCTGTTTTCTCTTCAATTTTTCCCAGCCCTTTTCGGAGGGCCCTTCAATACAGGTTTTACGGTATTCAAAAAATGTTATTATACCTGATCACAGGTCTTGCAATGAAAGTGAGCTTTTTTCTTCAGTTTACAAAACGGACGAGCACAACACTGTAATTATATGAGGTTTTGATATTAAACAGGTGTTAAAAAACATACATCAAGTTTTGGAGGTGATGTGGGAACTGGACAACAGTGGAGACCAACAATCTCGAACCCCTAGAAAAATTAGATTCTTCATGAATTCTACAAACATCACATACCGCTTGGCATCTGATACAGTGCCAATGAGTACTGCTAGTATTGAATTGACACATGTCAGATGCACATGAAACATCGATATGGTATAATTCCCGATCTTCTGGGATATCTGCATTTTCTGGGTGGAAAACAGAAATATGATTGGATATGATGAGAGGGTCATTCGAAGCGAAATGACAGCTAAAATCAAAATTATCTAGCTTTTCGGATTTCTCAATTTTACCGTATCTGTCCGCAATGCAAGTGAAGCTTATCATGAAACTTGCATTTTGGCTCCACACAGTTGAACTTGAAAAAATTCAATGACATCGGATTCTGAATTTGCAACGTCACTTCCGAAAAAAAAATAACGATGCAGTGAAAAGTCAAAAAAAAGAGAGAATGTTGTCAAGGATTGGTTTCCGTCGTCGTAGTTATGCCGACAATTTCTCCACGGCGACAGTTTGAAGTCAAACTAAAAAAGAAGAAGAAACCGAAAAATGGGAAAAAAAGAGAGGAGGATGAATTCGCAATGAGAAGTCCGTTGGTATGGATACCCAACCGATTCATACTTGTTGTTTTTCTCTTTTTTCGCTGTTCAAAAAAGAAGGATTCCAGTCAACAATACCGTATAGTTGCAAAGGGAACACATCAGACAATAATAGTTTATTCATGAACTTGAGGAAAAATGTACGATTTCAAACCACTTTTGAGTGCTTCTTTCCGTTCAAACCAAGTTTTCGAGAACTGCTAATTACCACTCCAATTTGAGATACCTGGCGACAATATGGCAGCAGATGAGCGCGAGGAACAGAAAACCACCACCGATGTAGAAGCAGATGATCGAGAATGAGATGATTTCGAGAAAGGAGTCCAGAGTGAAGACGCGATGAAGAAACCAATTGATGTATTCTTCTTCGGATAGATGACGGCGAGATTCCTCATTGAAAATGATTCTGAAAGAAAGAATGCGTTGATTCAAGGTCACCGGGGGTGTCCGAAGGGCATCTGCTCTAGATTATGATTGAAAATTTTCAGGGGTGGCAAGACTTTTATTTTACGAATTTCCATTAGAATTTTTTGAAGGATTATTATGGCACATGAACCCCCGACTCAAGTTTGAGTTAGCCTAACATTTGAGTAAAGCGTTGTACTGGGCTAAAATTTGGATTGCGAAAATTCAAATCATTCATTAGTAAATTGACCAGGTTTCAAAAGATTTGATCAACTTGGAGCTGAGTTGTCGCTTGTCAAAGTTGCTCTATCTCATGAAAATCCCAACAGAGTGCAAACATGACGTTCATCTCTGGACAATCATAACAATATCTAGACTTGAGAAATCGCTTTAAAAATTTCAGTAACTTTGAATCAAACGAAAAATTATAATTCCACCGGTTTTCGTTATTCCAAGATACGTATGTCTAAAAATATACCCGTTTTCGACCTAATCCAAGGGAAAACTGTACTACTCGTGTAGTATAAAGAATTTTTCGACAATGAATCTCTGTTAAAAAAATCCATCAAAACGTAGATGGATCACTTTTTTCACCTCATATGACTGCAATTTAGAGCCCATAAGCCGGCCCCATTTATTCCAGGAAATCCGCTATGCTTCTTTACAATCTTTTGAAGACACTGAAGAACAAAATACTACGCTTTAGAAATCTAAACCATGAATTTATCAAATTTCTTTCGTCATTTTAAAAATTTGGGAAATTCAATCGGGATCTCAACAACAGCTGCATCACTAGTTAATAGTCTCTATAATTTCAAAAGGTTTTAAACCTTGTCACATGAAACTAACAAGTACTGTGCTTCATAACGATTACTGTGTTTCTTAAATTGCACACTAGTTTTCAGAAAACACTATCAAAAAAGTGTTCAATGCTTTCAACTTTTAAAGTTCTCACCCTATTAAACAAATTTAACCTTTACTATATAGATTATACCCGTTTTCTTCCCCCACCTGGCAATAGTCTCCAGAAGAAAAATGATGAATGTTGGTTCCCGAATACGACGACGATGACGTGGAGCCAACATGCTTACATCACCAAATAGAAGGCTGAAGAAGAATTTGAGTAAGACCAAGAAGTAGAGACTGGCAAAAGAAGGCGTATTGAGTGATTAAATGGGGAGAAATAGAGTGTGCCTCATTTCGGTGTGTTCAAACGGAAGCAAAGGACAAAAAGTGATGAAAAAAAGGGAAGAATGGTTTTTTATGAGCGCTGTTCGTCATTGAAGCCGAAGCCGTCGTGAAATTTGGGAGCACAAATGGAATGGGAAAGGAGATGTGTGTATGAGAAAGGAATAACGATTTTTGTTGGGAGAAGAAGAAGTAAACTCTACTCTCTTTTCTGAAAAACTGAAACAAACAACAAGTCGATTTCATATTTTTAAGTTTCTAGAATAAGAGCAAAGCACCCATAATTAGGGCGTCGAGAGCTGTCCGGAAATGCCGTAGTTTATTCATTTTCAAATTCAATTTAGTTTTTTTTCCCGGAAAGCGGGGGTGTACAGGATCAATGAAGGTAAGGTTGAAACGCATGATAGTGGACACCAATAAAAATATGAAATTCAATAGATTTGGAGAAAGAAATCTAGAAATTGTAGATTTAAGCTTCCCTAGAGAACTACAAAAACACAGAGAACTACGACTGACAGAAATCAGCACAATTCTTGAATGCACTTCATGTGCTTTCAGCTTTTGAAAATAAAAGAAAGATAAAACATTCTCACCCAATCGTCCAAAGGAAGTACCTTCGTAGTCTTTTTCCGGAATACGCACCAACCAAAAAAAGCAGTTGGATGAAGATAAATGGAATGTTCTCGAGCTCTTCGAAATAAAGATCGTCGGCGCCATTTGTAATCCTGCGCTTCTCTTTTTAAGCCAGTTGTGATTTATTCGAATTGACAAATGTTTTTTTTCAGTTCCAAGAGGCAGATATGGAGAATTGGAACGGATTTGAGTCTACTTTGCATTCACCTAATTTTTTGAGAATTTCCCGTTTTTCGGCTTTTTGCCGATTTCTGAAAGACACTTTTTGGTCCGTTTTTGTACAAAAATGTGCTTTTTAGAAAATGGCGGATAGCTGGAAAACTAGGAATTTTAAAAAAATCCTGTAAATGCAAAGTTTCCAATCTGGATCTATTTTACATTCTCAAAATTTTTTTTAAAGATCGGAAACTTGACAGCCGGGCTCCAGACTCCTGAAAATGGTCAAAAGGGCCAAAAATCTTATTGACATGTACGGTATCTTCCAATTTGTAGGTGTTTTAAAAATTAAGTTGATTTCAAAATGCTAATTGTAGACCAGGATCATTTGTGATAAAAAATCACAAAAAGTACTCTCTAATTTTCGTTGTTCCAAATATTTAGGTCAAGCACAAATATATTTTGAAACGTGTAATATTTTTATTTATCGTGAACTCAAACTAAATTTAAACTGACCTCCGTGAAAGCCTAACAAAATGGGGACACCGTCCAGTATTCAGAAACTTGAGGGATAATCAGTACTAGTTTCAAACATTCAAGTTCAGGGCTTTCTTTTAGGGGTCCACCAACTTCCAGAGCATCGTGGACGTCTACCGAGGCAGCTTCCAGGATTCGCAGGATTCGAACCTACATGGAAGAAGTAACAAGACAGGCTGAAAGGAGAGGAATTTTCAGGATCCGGAAAAAAAACATGAGGGGATTCAGTTGCCAATGTTGAAATTTCAGGATCTTCTTGGTTTTCGGGATCCACCAACTTCCAGAACTTCAGGGACGTCTTCCGAGGCAGTTTCGAGGATTGGCAGGATTCGAAGCAAGATGAAAGAAGTAGCAAAACCGGCTGAAAGGTGAGGAAATTTCAAGATTTGTGAAATAATGATTTTTCAATGTTCAACTTTCAGGAACTGTACGGTCTCCCAGATGCACCAACTTTCATTACTTCGAGGACGGCTTCTGAAGCAGTTTCAAGGATGGGCAGGATTGAAATCGAGATGACAAGAATAATAGGCTGAAAGTGAGATTGACCAAATTTCGAAACTTTCTCGGATTTGGGCAACTATGCTTTTATGAAAGATCAAGAAACAAGCAATAAAAAATAGGTGCAAAACTCGTGGATATAGAAAATAAGGGAAAATCGGTATTGAGTTTTAAACTTTCAAATTTTAGGAGCTGCATGGTTTCAGGATGCAACGACTTCCAAGACGTAGGATGGCTTCTGACGCAGTTTCCATGATGAACAGGATTTGCATCGAGATGAGAAGAATATAGGAGTAGACTGATTGGTAAGGGAAAGGGGAACAATTTCCAGACTTTTGATTTCGGAGTTTTTCGAAATTTTTAGACAGAATTTTCAAAAAGATAAAAATTTTTATAATCTATTGTAATAACTAAAGTCATTTTCAGATTTCGAATGCAATGGTCCAAAGATATCGAGTCGATGTCGTGACATCAACACTTCTTTGTGAACTTCGTGAACTTGACTATTGTGTGATATTTTTCTTTTTTGCTTTCCTTGCGCGCGTTTTTCTTCGGTTGTGGTTTGTCGTGGTGTCCTTCGTGGTTCGTCTTTAAGATTCGGCGTATTCGTTGTTATGGTTTTTGTGGGTCCTTCTGATTTTGAATTCTCTGTTTGACACTGTTTTCTGCTGTCTGACAGTTCAAAAAGCTCATTCTGACTGTTGGTATCAGAGTTTCACAAACTGTCATTTGTCCGTTGTCCGTTGAAAGAATGTTTTGAACGTCCGTTCACCAGCAAGTTCTCGGCATGAGGAGACATTTAAAAATAGTGGATGAGCTCCGTTCAATTTTCTCTCCGTTGTCAGGACAAAACATTTCGCTGTCCATCCGTGCATCTCTGGTTGGTATCCTACATAAAAATTAACAGAAGTCCTAAACCTTGAAATTAAAAAAATGTGCAAAAGAGTTACTGGATTTGCAAAAAGTTATTGAGAACCTGAATAAAAGGTTATAAATCCTGATTTTCAAAGTTTCATAAATTATCCTGGAAAAGCTTCGCGATAGAGTACGATATCTGGAATTGTTGATTTCTGCTTTTAGTAATGTTTTCAAGGCAATTGTACAAATACGTATAATGCCATAACTTGATTTTCCTTCTGCAATTATTGAGCATAAAGAATTTGTCTTTTCCGACTAGTTTGATGAAATCTACTAGAGAATACTCGAAAATCAGTCGAAACAATGAAAAATATCGAAAAAGTAAAAAAAAATCAGGTTACTGTAGTTCTTAGACCTGCGGGATACTGTAGTTCTTAGACCTGCGGCCACGACCACCGCCATTTTTCTTATATAAAAATAAATTATATTGACTAACAAAATAAAACGTGACTATATTTCAAATAAAGACCTAATTTCTGACCTAATTACTCCGAATTCGACCTAGAAAATAGTAATTATTAGAACCAAATAAATTAAGTGTATAAGAAATTGAAAAAAATTCATTAGTCTCACTCAACCCTGTGAGCAGTGTTATTGAAAAAGTGTGACCATTGCAAACCATTGCAAAAATCGGGAAATCCCCAAAATACGGTGGATAAGTAGATGAGAAAACAACAAATACCATTTCACGGGGAGGAAAATAAAATTGATGAGGCACTTTTTTGAGTTGAAGCGAATGATAATCTAAACAGGGAACAAATACCGGATTCGAAATTCTCTGGTAGTTTTGGTCTGATGATGACTAGGAATTGGAAGCGTACCCGATAAATTGAAAAACAACTGAAACAAATGAAAAACTAGAATGAAAAAAAAAACCGATTAGAACAATTCTACTCGTATTGGTGTAAGATGTGAAATAAAATCATGAAAAAGCTCGTTAATTGATTGATGATTACAGTAGGAAATTACTCGTCAGTGGATACCAAATCGGGCAGTTTGAAGTCCGATGGAATTTGAATATCTTGAATATCTTGTACTATTGAATTGGTTCGACTCGCCTGAAATGACAAAAATAAAACAATTAATTTTTTTTGTGTTTTTTTAATTTGCTCACATTTCTAGAATAAATAACACTTGCTCTTTCAGCCATCCTTCTTGTAATTGCTGAAGATCGTCGACTCAATGGTTTGATACTGTAAATTCATAAATTTTGCAGTTGTCAAACCTTTTAAAAACTCACTCTGTTAAATCGGTTGAGCTCGGATTTTCTGTCAAACTAATACTTTTTGTCATTTTATGATGACGATGACCAAAAACTCCGAATCGACTCATCATGCAGTTCACTTGTTTCGTCGGTTCCAGGAATGTAATCGCGTCCTGGAAATCGAAAAAAAAATATTAAGAAAAGGAACTTCCCATGCCGGGAATCGAACCCGGGCCGCGTGGGCGAAAACCACGAATCCTAACCACTAGACCACATGGGATCTGATGCACTATGTTTCTTGTGTGTATTAAAAACGTTTCGCCCCGGTGAGAGACGGAGAGAGTGCCCGATTTGTTAGCATAGACATTCGACCTACATGTCAACCTGATAAACTTACATCTAATGTCTCCGGTAATGGTTTTTCACTGGTTTCCGGTAGAACGAATACTAACATTCCAGCGAATAAAGAGAAAAGAGCGAAGATGATCATAGGAACGATTGGAAGGGAAATATTTGATAAAAGGGCAATATAGGAAGACAGTCCGGATCCAAATCGAGCCACCATGGAAGTAACTCCCACGGCAGTATTTCGAACTACAGTAGGATACAGTTCACTAGTGAATATATAGAGAATATTGAATGCTCCTTGAACCGCAATTTTTCCGAAATACATGAATGCAAGTGCCCACATGTATCTTCCAGCAATCATATAGACCATTGCGATCAGAATGAATACTCCAGATGTTGTCAGAGTTAGCATAAGCGCCCTTAAAAGTTGTTATCTTTTTTCTGAGATTTCTAAACAAAAACTCACTTCTTCCTTCCCAACTGCATCATCCATACACATGCAAAAAGTGTTGGAATTTCAATGGCACCTGCTATTCCGTTGTTGAGATGGAAATATCCAGTGAAAAGTGTCCTTCCTGGAGCCGATTGATCTGAGAGAGCCATCACAAGACCGTAGTATACTAAAGCTGTAGCCATGAATACGATACACACAGAAATCGTCCGATAACGGAGCTCTTTCATTGTGAATAGATCAAGGAATCCAATCTTTCCACCGTTCTGAAATATATGTTTTTTAACTATCAAAAATTGTTTCGTACCTTTTTGTTCAACTTCCTCTCCCGATGAGAGACCAACTCCAAATCCGATGGAAGATTTCCACATTTTGAAGTTGTACACATGTTGAATGGGAAAGGAGGTTCTCTACACGCCTTTCGAATCACTTCTTCTGCGTCTGATACCTTATTCTGAACCATCAACCATCGTGGAGATTCAGGAATGGAGCAGATAAAAATGATGGAAATGAAATGGAGACCAGCAGCTATTAACTGGATGGTTTTCCAACTCTTTGTAAGATAAGCGATCAAAGCCAGCAATGCATATCCAAGCGCCCAGGGAGCTTGGAGCATCGATCCCACCATTGCACGGTATTTGGTCCCTAATTTTGAAAAATTCGATTTATGATATTTCTGGAAAGTTAACCTGTAATTTCCATGCAAAGAGTATAAGCAGCCAGATCAGCTGCTTCGTTGCAAATGGCAGATAGTAATCGAATTAAAAGGAAATGCGGATAATAGTCACTAAATGGAAGGAAAACACCGAGCATCGAGGAGAGAATACCAAAACCAATTATGGTTGGTTTTCGACCGATCCTGAAAAAAACACTAGTTAGATTAGAGTCACATGGTACAAAAAAGCTTACTTATCACTTGCGATCCCTCCCAAAACACATCCCAACAGATAACCAATTGAGTAGAACATGTGGGCGTGTCCTTTTGCATACCAACTGTCACATACCAGATTGAAATCCGTAACGATAGTATCTACCATGACATCTTTTTCAAAATGATACGATTGACACTTTCTTTTCGGTGCCACATCTTTCCAGGCCTCTCTCATAGCTACATCAAGAGGCATTCTTCGAAGTTGACGGTACCGTTCTTCTGTTCTTTCGTAAAAGTAACACTGAAATCGATATAGAACTATAGATTAAAACTTTTGGACAATTACAGAGTCTCGTTGATAGGCACCATCCGAATTAGCGTTCGGGAAAACAAATGAGATATTTTTGATGTCATCTACGCCCCACATGTATGGCCCAAGCGTTTCAACGGTTGTGTCATTGGTGTCGTTGAATCCAGGAACCTTAAGTTAGATTCATTTAGAAAATCTGTTGACATATAGTTTTAGAAATGCTTTCAAATATAACATTTTTCCTGTCTTCTTTTTTCTTGATAATACCCAGATCATTGTTTACTTATTATTCAAAAAATCTCTAGTCAGAAACCTTATCATCAACCCAATCTTCCATAAATCCCGGAAGTCTAGAAATGCATCCTAATCCGAATCCAAAAAAAAAAAACAAATGACTTACCATGCATTGAAATTCTGGATCATACATCATGTAGACCACATTCAGATTGAACATTGCGTGTGGAATCTGTTGAAGTGCAATAAGAACATAAATCCAAATTTGCCACCATCGACATCCTCCGATTATATTCAGAATGCCTTCGAAATCAATAGGATCAGTTGGTTTCCCTTCTTTTCTTTCCTTTTTCGTTACATCTCGATACTTTTGTTGCACTTTTTGATGTTGTTCGCGGATTTCTCGGGTGGAAAACGATGGTTTATGGCCTTGTCGCCTAAAAATTGAGATTTTCAAACTGAAACTCAATGAGATCAAGCAAAAAAGGGTTTACTGGGGGCCCGAAGCAAATGGAAATTCATTCCAGATTAGCATTGAATCATCCAAGTTAGTACTTACCCGTACATGGAAATGTCCGACTGATACATATTCTTGTCTTCTGGAGCTGTTACAGTCAACACACTTGGTGCATGTGATACAGATTGTTCTGGTTCAGCTGTTGCTGATGCTGACGCGTTTCTCATTTCATCCGCAACGACTCTCATATGAGGAAGTAATGTATCACTGGCAGCAAACGATTTGTGAAGATTATAGGCGATATCTGGCATGTTGAATAGAGCGGGCTCGCTGAAAATTGAAAACTTATTTTTTTAAATCATAGATCTTCATGAAATCCGGTAATTTCGAAAATTGGAAATTCAAGAATTCAGAAATTTTGATTGAAAACTCAAAAGTTCTTTTACCTATAAATCAACGGAATGAACTCGTATGCCATATTATTCGGTGTAATTGATCTTCCTTCATCTTCACCTCTTTCTGTTGACACACAAAGACTTTGTGTGTCATTTGGCATCGGAATATCAACATCTTCTGATTCTTCTGGATCACTTCCTTCATACGTGTGATTAGCATGTGCTCCTGGTGATATGTCGAGGTCCGCTATGTTTGTGGGAGTGATAAGAAACTTTTTCTCTTCTGTGGTGGCTGACATGATTTTAGGGTATTCTGAATTGTAGGGTTATTCGAGTTTTGGTTCTTTGGTTTCTAACCTGTTCTAGAGAAGAGATGTTTTCAGAATAACAGATATTTTAAACCCGAATCGGATTTAAGTCAATGAAAAAAATCTAAATGCACAGAAATTCCCAGGACGAGGCGGGGCACAGCACGAGATGGGGAAACCCCCTTGTCTTTCTCTTGTACTCTGCTTCACTTTGGACGCAGATATATGGACAGCTACGGCAGAGTGTACTGAATAGGAATACGCAGACAGTCAGACACTGAAAGAGAGACAGGAGTTGGTTCCTTCTGAAGGCGGTGCTGCAGATGACGTGGCAACTGTGAGAACTTCTGACGACATTCAGAAGCAGAAGAGTGAGGATAGACAGGAGACGTAGAATGTGTGATAATGATCTGGAAAATAATATTTTTTGATCGAAAAAGAAGGTCTTGTGAGGAAAACGGAAACGGAGATAGTGAGATGAAAATGGATACAGTTTTGTTTATAAATTTGGAAATTTCGTTTGATGTTTCTCTACTTGATCTATGGTTTACGGCTTGTTATGCAAACAATTGGACTAATTAAGAGGGATAGAGACGGGAAGAAAAAGAGGAAGTGTCGTTATATCTGATTATCCTGGAAAGAATATTGCAGCAGCTTTGACTGAATGGGCCAGTCGCGACTGAAAACCGGTGGAGAGCCAACGATGATCCGTCGGCGAGCCACTCAAAGATGGGGGAAAAATGGCTTTTTTGATTTTTCCTCAGAATAACGGAGGAATCAAATTTTAGCTACCGTAACACCTTTGATAGAAGTTCCCACACTGTCAACTTTGAGCTCAATTATCTCCGCTCCTATTCAAAAGATCAAAAATGTGTTAACTGATAAAACGTTTGTGATGTTGTGATAAACAATTTGTTAGTTGACAAGTTTTTCATATCTTCAACATGAATCGAAACAAACTAACTCAAAGTTAAAAGTTAGAGTGCCCTTTGAATCGAAGGCTTCGATTACAGGTTTCACGGTAAAACCTCTCTTTTACTCTGAACGGATATTTGGCGGCTGAACAGCGGCTGAGTAGAAGCGAGTGGGCTACTGACTGGATAACAGTCGTTGGAAAAGTAATGTGAGTTTTAAAGTTTTTTTGAAAATAGACATTTCAGAAAATGCCTCAAAAATAGGAAGACGTATCAGAAGAAGAAGAAGGGTTGATATTGGTGGTTCAGTGGTATATGCCTTGCGAGCAGACAACTTCAATTTCCGACAATTGGTTCTGCCTTTTTCTTAGATCCTCCGAACTCGGAACCAGTCTCGATGATCGAAAAGCACCCTACGCGACCCTGGGATTCTTTTTCAAGCTTCCTCTGGGAATCAGGAAGAACCAACACTAAAAAAAAGCACAAACACGCGAAGATGAGCCTTTTGCGTCGCATTTTTTCGGAACAAGGAAAAGGAAAAAATAGAATAGAACATAGCACAAAAAATGAATGACTCGTTTGGCGAGGGTTGGTTGGTCGAAAATTCTGTTTTCGAGAAGAAAAAAAAACGACGAAAAGATGGTAACTGAGGAAGGACGATGATGGCACCGAGACAGAAAAAAAAAACAAAACAAATAAAAAAATTCGAGCTGTGTGAGGGGAAAAGAAGACGCAAATATCGGATTATCCGGAGGGGAGTTCCTCGATTTCTCACATTTCTCACACCGTTCTTCTTCTTATTCTTACTAGGAAGCGAATTCATTCTTTTTTCACATGTTATCCTGTGTTTGGATCAAGGAAATGAGTCAGAATTCGTCTCAAGAAGACAGAGTTCGGTCTCTCCGGAGAGAAGAAGCACGTAAAGGAGATGTTATCCATATATTTATATAATGATGAGGGCAAAAAGAGCAAACAAATGAGCTCATTAGATGGAGAGGATTTGGGTAGAGATGAATATGTATGAGAAAACGAATGTGAGAGCTCACAGAAATGCACGAAGAGAACTTCAGAAAAATATGGAACACATCATTTGGGAATGGAGATAAGTCAAGGATGACGTAAGAAGGGAACACTATGAATATTTTATGGAACTCCATGGAAGCAAATCGGCCGAGAAAACCCTTTTGTTTTCCTTCCGACTCGGCAAGACTTTTCCCGAAGGCCTTGAATTCGTTTTGAAAAGAAAAAACGTTGTTGACAGGATGGTCCATTTGGTTCAGAGCCCAGTAAAAAAACATAGCACAGGTGTAAAGTTTTAAACGGGTCGAGAGACAGAAAATATGATGGAATGACGATTGTGTTGGACCCGCAAAAAAAACAACAATAGTGAATGGATTGGAAAGAGAAGGAATCACTGAAAAAGTCAATTTAAAATTATTATTATTGCAAAATAGAATAGAAATAGAGCAAAGAGAGAAGGATTCCCATCCGAAAAGTTGAAAAAATATAGGAGGTTTTTCTTTAGGGATTGAGAAAATTCAGTAGAAAACGGAAATTTCAAATTAAAGGGGGACTCCGATCAAAAAACTTATCTCATCAAAATGTGTCAAGAGTTTACAATATTGTTGCAAAAAAATCCGCAAGAAATCCGAAATCCTCGAAAAATGCCGTGGAAAGTAAACGAGGCGAATAGGGATGAGGATTTGAATTCCCGCGGAGTGAGAAATCTAGGCCACAGTTGCGGGACGCCTTTTTCACGAGGCAATTAAAAAAAGTCGGTCCTTTAAAAAAGCCGTGGCCTAGGTTTCTCACTGCGCGGGAACTCAAATCCTCGTCCCTATTCGCCACCTATTTTTAAAAATTTTAACGGATTTTTTTGATCTTTTTCGCAATAATATTAGGAAAATACGACTTCAAAAATAATTTAATTGAATAAAAATTTTGGTCAGGGTTCCCCTTCGAATTAGGGTCAAAATGATGACTAGAAAGTTGGTTACATAAACAGAGAGGCGAATCACAGAATTTTATTTTTATCACCACAGAAACACATGTTTCTACGATTAATCTTGACAACACTCTTGAATTTTCACACTGGTCAATACGTCCGAAATTATTCGGAAAACTACTAAAGACGTTTGAATTTCGAAAAAAAAAACCAACTCAAAAAACCAAGTCATTTGCTCAAATAAACCCAAAAAAGTTCCAAAGATCGCAGGGGGCTTTCCTCCTCCTCTTCTTTCTATTTTCATTCTTTTTCTCACACGATGTGTATCTAGTTTAATCATTTTTGTTTGGACCCTCATGACCCAAAAAACAATCGATATGTTATTTCAAAAAGCCTCATCCCATTCTTTGATATTTTCAGCCTTCTCTTCCATTTTCAGCGATTTCCCATGAATAACCGATCATTAGATAACAAGGCACTCGGTTAGTGACAATATAAGAAGAAGAGACTTTAGAGAAAAAGAGGAAAAGAGAGTCGGGATGGGACAGGGAGTGACTGGCTGTGCTTCTTCCTCCAGTTGCTCGTTGCTCCACAGAAAAAGAGAGAGAAAGAGTACTCAATGCACCGAATGTTGAAATAGTGTACGAGATGAAGAGTCGCAGACATTTTGGCGACGACGATGAGGTCACTGAGCAGCTGAAGTAGGAGAGAAGAAGAAGGAGAAGAGCGGTTCTATGGTCGTGGTGGAGCTCCAGAGCATACTACTGGGATGGCGTTGGTGGTCGGATGGAAATTGACGACAACGCCTTCTTTTCCCAGGGATGAATTCAGAAGAAGTGCTGCTCTTGAAGAGAAAATTGGAGTTGTTGGTTGGAAAAGAGAGGCGGGTTTGGTTGGTTTGTCCCCCGATATTTTCTGTTTTTTTCTTGAAAAGGAGTGTAATTGGAATTCAAACCAATAAAAAATATCCGAGAAATGAATTGAATTCATGTCAAAAGTGAAAAGAAACCATGGAACCAAATGAAAAATCAAGTTCTCGTGTTTCCACTTGAACAAAAAAGAGGCAGTCCGTCGTCCCCAATGCTATCTGTTGTCCAACAGTAAACATCAAAGTATGCTATCAATTTGTGACCAGGGACATTGCCCCACAACACAATTTCCTAGGAAAGAAATGCAGTGCAAATTGAGTTGTCAAAAACAATGCACTTGGAGGCGGAACTAAATTTTTCAGTAACAAGTTTATTTTTTGGAAAAAAAAACACATGTACAAAATCCGTTTTGGCGTTTTTGTTTATTGGATTGTTGTTGTCGAAAAATGGAGACATTCTGAAAATCGAATGATGGGTCCCGCGGGGAAAAAGTTTGAGATATGGTATTAAATCTTTGTTACCGTAAATGTTCTAATAGAGACGAACCCTTTCCGTACACTTTGAGCTCAATTATCTCGATTCCTACGAGAGATATCAAAATTTTGTTAACTGATAAAGTATTGGTGATATTATGATAGTTGATTTATCAGTGGAAAATTTTCTGATATCTTTTGAAAAAACCGCGATAATTGAGCTGAAAGTCGACGTTTAAGGTTGGCTTCTGTTAGAGCATTTATGGTTCATGAACATAATTCAGGAAGTTTAAGATGCGAACCTGTTAGCGAATTGTTCGTGCAAAACAGTAAAACTTCCAAATTTTCATTTTGCGATAAAAATTAAATATCAATTACAACAAAATCAAATTTATCAGCATTGTGTAGTTAAAACATTGCTGGGAATTTCAAATTTAGTACTGGTCCATTTGGTTACCAGAGGAGCTAACCAAATAACAAAAACGAAACCAAATATTTGGTTCATTTTTGAGATTTCGTGATAGAACCCTGAACTTCAAAAAATATAAACTAATGGCAAAAGCAAGACTTTAAAATATGCGAAACGTTTGAATCTTGAGCCTGGTTGTGATAGAATTTCAAAATCCGGAAAATTCAGCCCAAGCCAGATCACAAAAATATCTTCTATCAATGAAAATTTTGATTTCAAAATCAGTTTCCATCTCTGGCATCGCCGGCAATTTCTGATCCAAGGCTGGTTAAATTCAGGATAAGATCGCTATTAAAGTAGACCAAACACCGACAAACTTACGACAAGGTTCCAACCTGTTAGTATTTCAACCCATAACTTCCCACCAAAATCTGACCATGGCCCGCTGTACAGCCGTTTTGGGGAAGTTCCGACTAGAACTTGGCCAATACCCGACCAAAAGGCGAAGGTTCTCAACTTCTGACCGGTAGTTAAAAGTCAACAGCCGAGCAGACGGATAAACTGAAAATCCTTGCCCAAACTACTTCATAAATTTGAATAATGTTCCACTGCTTCCCATGTCCTAATCCACTGAAACCCTTCCGGACAATCTCATGTTTGTTGTTCCTGTGTCACTCTCCATTATGACCTAACACGTCCTTCTTATTCTTTTTAGATACCTTCACCTGTTCCATGTTTACACAAAGAGTTGTTCCAAACATTATGCAATTTGTTAGTGACTCTCCCAAATGAAGTGGTACCAACAGACTGTGTCGGCAAAGGGGTATAAAAGGGATGTTTTGAGATCTAACACATTCTTCAAGTGTATTACAGGTGCATCTTACCAACGGATAATATGTCAGAAGATGGGTTAGATAATGATGAGCTGAACAAACAGACTTGTATTAAGGTATCGGAAAACAGTTGAAAAGTTAGCAAGTTACGAAAAAGTTGGGTTTTCCAATCTGGACCATTGATACACATCTGGAATGTTCGAGCTGGTTTCAAGTATGTCAAATCGTTTTAAACTCTCATATCTATAAAAACCTGTTAACCGTGAAATCCGTATTAGAAGGGCCTTCAGGGAGGGAATTGAAAAAATAGAAGGGCCTCTGTAATAGAATGGCCCCTGTCACGCTATTTCAAACAGCCTGGTCGGAAAACGGGCCCCAGCGAACGTGAAAAATCGCTGCGCAACGTGTCAAATTTTTGCTGGCTGAGAATCAAACTTTTAAACGTTGGGTGAAAAAATCGCGAGTTGCAATGCGTTGATTAAAAATATATAGGTCGAATCCACGTCAACTTTTAAATTATTAAATTTCGCCTGGCCTAAAAGTTATCTGGGGCGCGATTTTCGACCCGTTGGTTCAAAATACCGTGCCCCGTAAAAATGTGTTGTTTGAAATTAAACATTTCCGTAAATTTTCAGTGTCCGGAAATTCTAATATTTCACAGAAATTTGTTTTTTTCACGGAGGTAACCTGGAACAATAGAAAAACCGGACTTTCTAATACAGGTTTTACGGAAATTTGGATCTACCTTTTTTGAAATATTTTCCTGTCAGCCCCCACCTTTAAAGCATTCCCACTCAAAATTCATTTTTGTTCTCCTTCTTCCCAAACGTCATTCTTAATATCAATATGATTCTTACAGAATACTTTCGTTCCCTCCTCTTGAGATTGAAAAATCGAAAACAATTATACTGAAGAGCCGAAATGCACACTCTACTTCTTCTTCAATTTCTTCGTCTCGAATCATCTTTATAAATACACACATTTATATATGTTATTCATCCACACACTTCTATTCAATCCATTGAGCAAAAAGACAACACAGTGAGCTTTGTTTACAGTAATCGCGTGAAGGAGGAATCGAGAGAAAGCTAACAATGTGACACCTGCAAAAACAATGTACTACTGTAGAGGAATGCTAGTGAAGTGTAGTTGCAAATTTATGAATGATATGACTTTGCACAAAGTCACCTGGATGTTTCTGTTTTATGAGCAATTCAATACATGATGGAATTTCGTGTCAGGATCAAACAATATTAAACCTTTTTTTGTCTTCGAACTTTAATAAAACCACCTGTACTGAAAGAATTAAGAATGAAGCTTGAACAAAAATACAAGTTAAGACAAGGAATGTGGTTTTTCTATTATATACATAAACCAGTATATTATTATGGTGCCAAAAATCGGACATGTGGAAGAGAAACGCCGGTGGCCGTGNNCGAAGGTCCCCCACCCACAACTACCGCGAACAATTTTTGACCTGAACAATTTTTCTGAAAACGCACGAAAATCGAGAAAAAATCCGAAAAAAAAACTTTTTCAGGTTATCGGTAGATTGTACAGTTGTTGAGACTTTTCTGACCAGCGGGCCACACCTACCACACCTTCCATTTTTTGCACCAGAATGATAGCTTCAAATGAAAATTTCGAAACCATCCATCAGAGGAGCTTAAAAATATTTAAAACTGATACATCCCAAAAGAAGATGCAACACTCTCTCAAAAAACCTTTAGAGTTCTGGACTAATTTTATTAAATTTGTTGAAACTTTGGCAGAAGATACATCGTTTATGACTGATATTGAGAATGTTCCTGAAAATCCAGTGTTAGAATTGAATTGAAGAGTCTACCTTGGTACATTTTCCTAGTTGACACCTTTCAAAAATGTTTTTTGGTTTTTGAGATACAGATTTCTGGCTCTATGAGACGATGAGAAGTCATCCGTTCTCGCTTCTCCGCGTTTTTCGCATTTTCAAAGCTGATTTTTCAACAAAAACTCCGAAGAAACCTTCACTTGACTTTATGGCAAAATCAAGGAGGTTTCAAATGTCGACCCAGGGTATTTCTAATTGTTTTCTACTATGTCTTACTCTCGAGACTGAACATTTCCACTTCTTTATTCTCGTCTTTATCACACTACCTATTTTCATATTTAATGTGTTTATGAAAGGAAGCCGAAAATCCAATCATAAAGTCAAACCTTCTGCTTCTGCTTTCCTAATTTGTAATTACAAAAGCAAAAGACCCTTCTCACACATATGTTGTGATTATATTGTTGTTATGTAAGCTCTCTCTCTCATCATAATATGTTTTGCGGTAACCTCAATTACTTTTCTCTTCCTCTTCTTATTTCCTTTCCTTATGTCAATTACTCATTCAACCCCTTGTGATTATAATAATTTCGGCTCAAAACCCGCCCCTCTCCTTCTTCATTTTCGAAACTTGCAATTATTTTATGTCTAGAGTATAAATATTTACTTCTGCTGCCCAATATTCGTAGTGTAAACTTTTTCACAACAATTTCATTCTCAGAATTCCACGTTGTGACAGGTGAGAATTATGTCTCTCTTTTTTTGTTTGGCACATATGGATTCACGTGATACCTCAGAGGAAGCACATGAGCTGATTCTTATGGATTCATCATAATTCACGGCAACTTTTGAGACATGTATTCCGATTTGATTCTGTTAAAAATGCGTGGTGGTAATGTGTCTGCTGGTTTACACCCACTTTCAAAAAGTTTTCTAGTTTCAATCCAGAATCTGATTACGTAAACCAAACGGAATCAGTTTTCAAAGATTAGGCATATCAATGAAACAACATTCTAATTCTCGAAATTGCCTTTTCTGAACAACACCTTGGCGTTAGACGAACTATAAAATAGTGGAGTAATTCTGCTCTTGAAATCAAATCAAAATAGTTTTTTAAACTTCAGTACCCTTTTTACTAGCATTTTAAGCTCAATTATTTCAATTTCTACAAGAGATATCAAAAATCGGTCAACTGATAAACTGTTGGTTATATTATGACAAACATTTTATCAGTTAGCAAATTTCTGTTATTTTTAATAGAAATGGAGATAATTGATCTCAAAGTACAAGTGCATGGTGGCCTGCTGTTATATTGTTTCCGGTATTTCAAACTTGAGCTTAACTGGAATCCAACTTTTCTGATCCGTCCAAGACCAACCAATATCATCTCCTCTTCTCCTGCCACCCACTTAATTCACACACTATACAATGTTTTCACACTTTTGACCTATCCTTCTAATCCTACAGTAACCCTTTCCTCGTTTCTTCCTTATTGTCACCCTCTTCAAAAGTGGGCGGAGCACCTTCCGGTTGGTGGTCCCTTCCAAGAGAGGAGGAGCTTGCCTTCTAGGAACCTTTACCTTTCACTCGGTTATTATAACTATTCTATTTGTCAGAATGCCTTCTCCGCCATCTTCATCAGCTTGCTCTGTTCTACCTCCATCTAGTCTTGAACAGATTCTCAGAATCCGTGCGGAACGAAATCAAAGGACTCCGAAATGTGCGAGATGCCGGAATCATGGAGTTGTTTCCGCTTTGAAAGGTTTGTCTAGTTTGAGTAATTTCATTTTTCGACGGGTGCAACTGATATTTACTGCTGTAAATCTTATGATGTTGAAATTTGACCAACAGCAAAACAATTATAAATTTCTAAACCGTAATTACGCTCTGAAATTTCGTCATAGATGTTTTATACTTCAGGTCTCACAAGGAAAATATATAATTAAAGGGTTTTGATCATGTGCTTGTATAATCATTTCAGGACATAAAAGATATTGTCAATGGAAGGATTGCATGTGTGCGAAATGTACACTGATTGCTGAAAGACAACGTGTGATGGCTGCCCAGGTGGCGCTTCGTCGTCAGCAATCTCAAGAGGAAAAGGAGACGAGAGAGCTGGAAATCCTGTTTGGTGCTTCTGGAAATGGTAAGATTGATTGAGAACATTCAAGAGTAGCTTTTACTTATTTGGCTCCCATAAGGGTTACTGTAGGTTTACCACTCAAGCTGTTGGGGATTATATCGTTCGAAACGGAAAGCGAACACACCTTAAAGGGAGACATGAGATTTTTAGTTTTCTTGGAGTCACAGTATGAATTCTGACGTAACGGTTTACAGTGTTTAGTGTTCACATAGCGCGTTGCTATCGTGCCGCCATCGTTCAGCCTCCCCAGCTTGCGCCACCGTAACCCAGCTGGTAGCGGCGCGGCACCACCAGCGTTAAGTCCACAAGTTCAACTCCTCGAGGAGCATATATGAACAGAATTGCGTCAAAAATATTTTTCATGTCCCCACACCTTTAACAACTTCCTTGATTACCTTGAAACCTGTAGAAGGGCCCCCACCCTGTCTAGTTTGAGCTCAATTATCTCAATTTCATGTGAAAAATATCAAAAAAGCGTTAACTGATAAAAAACTTTTGACGTTATGGTTGATATTTTATCAGTTTACAAGTTTTCCATGCCTCTGTCAGGAACCGGAAAAAAATTCCCTCAAAGTTAAAAGCAAGGGAGCCCTTCTATTACAGGTTTTACGAGATATAATTCGAGACTCCTAGAGCCAAAACCTCAATCATGATATTAAATTATTTTAGAAACCATGAAAATTTAACTCAAACTTGATTAGAAACCTGCTAACTCTATCTGTCGAGTGTCCTGTCCGGACAAGTGAGTACTCTTCAATGAATTCGCTACCTGCTGCGTTGAAGGTGCTAGACTATCAGGTAACCTGACACTAATATGACGAATACTCGTTACAATAGTTCATTAGGGTCATCCTTATGTACTCAAACACCTCAAACACCTAGTGTAATACAATGACATTTTTCTCGTTTTTTTCCATTGTCAAGTCAATTGCCAAAAAGGATTTTTCAGCAAATGAATTTCTCGAAATTCTTCGTCGAGACTCTGGAGATCAACGGCAAAACCTTGTGTCTCCTACAAACAACAACATATTGGTGAGTCTACTGGGCAGTATGTGTTCGTTGGGGCAGAGAAACGAGTGGATGCGCTCTCTTCTAACCCCATTGTCTCTCTTTTTCCCCAGTAATGTCTAGTCCTCGGAGAGTGTCCTTGTTTCGCCAGCACGATGGCCGAGTGGTTAAGGCGTTGGACTTAAGTTCCAATGGTGGATAACACCGCGTGGGTTCGAACCCCACTCGTGCTATAGCTTTTTTGTTTATTTACAAGCAGGTGCATCCTCGTTCTAATCCCAAAACGGTAGTTCTCTCACACCTGGTTGCGCAACTCAATTAGCGTGAAGGCACTGTAGAGGAAGGCAGCTGGGTGGAAGTGGGGGAATAAGCTAATCACAATATTGATGGGATTAAGCTCGATTAGCACTTATTCCTAGCACTCATAAGTCAATCGCACCTTCTTTAAAAGATTAACCTTTTCTGACCCTGGATAACTGTTCAGATGAAAAAGAGGACGATCTTCAAGGGATGCGCAGCTCTCCGAGCTCACCTACTGGATCAGAGACTATCGTTAGCAACTCATCCCCACAGGCTCTCTCCTCTGGATCCACTCCAAGCAGTACTTCTGGAATGATTCCACCAAGTCCGATCTTCAATAACAATGGATTCCCACAAATACCAATGTTGAACCCGATGATGCAACCAAACAGACATATGATGGGTTTTCCAAGTAAGAGTTTTTAGTCATTTGTAATAAAATAGTATTATAATTTCCTACTTTCAGTGTTTCCAGTGATGCCTCACTTTGGGTTTCCAGTTCAGGCGATTTCTGATTTCGCATCAGCCGCCAGTCTGGCAGCACCACAACAATTCTTCCCACGGCCACTGAATATTGCCACGTCACACCAATCACATACGATATTCCCACAAACTGCTCCATTGGATTGCAGTCACCGTTTATTGAAGAGCGAAGAGTCAGAGGAGTTCCGGGAGAAGGGAAGTGAAGCTGATAACTGATCCTCACTGATTCGAACTCTATTTTAAATAATATTTATGCATCTATATTATTGTATACGTTCCATTTTTACTGTCCAATGTAAATCTCAATGAAAATTCTCAATGAAAATTCAGATTGAATAAAGAATCTTATTAAAGTTTAAAGAGAAAAAAAATAGAATGAGTTTTTTTTCGGAAATGAGCGAAGGAACGGATCAGGGTTTGAACAAAAAAGCAGTGAATTATGAAGAGGGTTGCTGATTTTTTTTGTTGGTTTTTTAAGTTTTCAGAAGAAGCAATATTTCAATATTTTGGTCAATTTTTAGGGCAGTTTGAAAGTAAATCATTCAATCAAAAAGGGGTAGGAACCGAGAAGGACTATATCAAGAGAAATTATGGACAGAAACTAGAGAACTTGAGTGAAATGGGGAGGGCAGGGGTGGGATAAGAAGAGGGAAGGAGTTTATTGTCCGGATTGGATGGTCTTCTGGGTGTGGGTGGCACGTTCCTCTCCATCCTTGTTCACCAATGATGTCACGACGTTGGCTCCTATTCCCCATGTGTTCTCACCGTCGAAGACGAGAGACTCTGGTGGGTTGTTGATGCCTCCTTGGTCGCGGGCGTAGATCTGAACAATCAGAATTTGGGGATTTCGATACTTTTGTTATTCAACTCACGGTCAAATTCTTTCCTGGCTTGATGCTGACATTGGCTGGAATGCTGTAGACGATCTCGCGTCTTCCGTCCAACTTTCTTCTGATCTTGTGCTCACCGACGTTCTCATCCTGAAACAATTCTCTTTTATTTCTTGAACCTCAAATCTTGTCCCTTACCTTGTTTCTGCTCGTGTTCTCAAGTTTGATGAACTTTCCATTTGGATCGCACTCAGAAATGGTCACATTTCCCTTGGCAGACCTCTGGAAAGTGGTCTTAGTCGACACTTCACCGCGAACCGATCTCGTCGAGTCGGTGTTTTCTTGTTGTTGGAGAGAGTGAGTCTTGACGGCTTGCTCAACCATTTGGGTGAGTCCAACTCTGTAACAACATGGTGGAAACTCTTCAGAATACAAGGAATCTAACCTGCTCTCTTCTTGCTCAAGCATCTTTCTGTAGATGGCGATTTCGGCATCCAACATTTGCTTGGTATCCAAAAGGGCTTGGAGCTCAGCAACCAATGTCTGGCATTCCTCACGCATTCTTCTCAAAGTGGCATCTCTGTCGTTGAGAGCAGCCTCGTATTGTCTTTGATCGTCGGCCAACTGGTAGTTCAAGTTCTGGACTTCCTTCTCCAAAAGTGAGTTCTTGTTCTCCAAATCTCCCAATTTTCCACGGAGATCTCCAATGTTATCTCTCATTCTCTTGACCTCATCTCTCTGGAAGTTGGATTCCATGGCAGCACGGTTGGCGGATCCTTGAACTTCGGAGACCTTGAGTTTGTACCACGACTCCATATCTTGCTTTCCTTGCTTGGCAATGTAATCATACTCGTCCTTGATGTCACGGATAGCAAGAGCCAATTCGTTCTTGAAGAACTCGCGGGTATCAGCTGGAGCTTGAGCGAGGAGAGCTTGAAGTTCCTTGACCTCTTGCTCATGGACTCTTCTCAAGAACTCGAGTTCCTCCATCAATGTCTGTACTTGGTTTTGGAAGTCGATTCTGCCAATGGTCTCATCGTCCAAATCGCTTCTGGCCTTCTGGAGCTCTTCCCAGATTCTGGCGTTGTCTCCGTTCAAACGCTTCTCTTCATCGGTCAACTGCTTGTAACGGGCACGGAGCATCTCGAGCTCAGATTGAGCGTCAGCGATGGCATTGGTCCATTGGTTGATCTTTTCGCGATCTCCCTCACGACGATGTTGGATGTCCTCGTATCTGGATCTGTACTCAGCCAAGTCGTCCTTCAGTCTTTGGACCTTGACGTCAATCTCGGCCTTTCTACGAGCAGCATCGTCGATGTCTTTACGGGCAGTCGAGAGAGATTCAGAGTATTTGATCTGAAAATTCAAAATTATAGTCGTTATTTTTGAAATCTGTGAAAGTGAATACCTTGATTTCAGAAGTGTCTTTTCCCCACTTTCCACGGAGCTCATCCAAATCGGCAACCAATTTACGGTTTTGCTCTTCAAGCTTCTTCACACGATCGATATAGTTTCCGAGACGATCGTTGAGTCCTTGAAGTGTCTTCTTTTCCTTATCAGTGGCCTCAAGGAAAGATTTTGCAGCGTTGGCGGAAAGTGCTGGAGAGATTCCTCCGACTGTAGCTGATCCCATTTCGGTGACCATCTTCAGAACGCGTCCTAAATTTTAAATGAGATGATTAAGATGGATTTATGGTGGGAATTGTTGTTTTCAATTTGAACCAGTATTCTATATTTACCTCCTGAAGCTGGTGCTTGTGGTGCTGATTCAGCCTCCATTTTTGGTTTGAAACTCTTGAAAATTCAGTTATTGGAATAAACCAAAGGAAAGTGCCAAAGAGAGAAAAGAGTTCAATTCAAAAGAACTCAAAAAACAGAAAGAAATAAAAATATTGGTGGGTATATAGAAACTAAAATGGCAATGACACAAACACTATGCAAAATAATGGAAACCGTCGACCTGACCCTCTTCTAAACACTCCACCCAAACATGTGAAATAGTGTTGATTTTCGAGAGAATCTCGAGAAATAAAGAGAGAAAGAAATGAAGGTGTGTCAATGGTTTGCCTTCCGATCATCACTGATGATGATGATGGAGAAGAATTGGGATAAGAAGAAAAAGATATCGCAGTGATAAATAGAGAGAATACAACACGGAATTGACTTTGCCTATGAAATGAATAAGAATCTGATTCAGAAGGAGGGACGAGAAACGGAGAAGACGACGGCGTCAAGGTTGGGGTGGGCGGAGTCAAGATAATCATCTCGAAGATATCTGATCAACTCATTTAATCTTCTCAAGTGCGGAGAAGGGGTTTGGTTTTTTTAGATTGACAGTTAGCAGGATCTAGATGTTCGTATAAGCTCCTGAAAAGTACTAAAAAACTAGAGCTTGAATATTTTATATCAGTGTCTCAGAGCCCTTAACTTTTAACTTTGACCCAATTTTCTCGATTTCTGTCAAAGATAGAAAAAATTAATCAACTGATGAATTTTCAATCGAAACATGACAAACATTTTATCAGTTGACACATTTTTGATATCTTGCGTAGGAATTGAGATAATTGAGCTCCAAGTTGACAGTGTGGGAGAGTCTATTGGAGGTTTTACGGTAAGTTTATAAACTTTACTTAGAATTAGAGTTTTGTCTGACCAGTAGATTCTTTGAATTGTCTAATACTATTTTCTGAAGTTCAAATTTCAGTTCTCATTTAGAATCATAGGTAGCAGTTCAACTGTCAAGAAACTAGAAAATTTCAAAAAATCACGCCTACTGGAACTTTTCCAAGACCATATATAGCGTTTCTTCGTTTAATAATAAATCTTATCATCTCGTTATCAGGATAAATGTTCGATTGTCACTCCCATTTCTTCGTTCTGTTCCTATATTTCAAGTTGACATCGCCTGGTGACTAATCACATAAAAAATGGGTGTTTTCTCATTTGTGTCACTCAAAACACACGTCTACTTCTTCTTTTAGGGTGTGGTCATCTCATTCCTTTCTCACCTATTTCTCATCTATTTTCTAACAAGTAACTGTAAATTTTTAAATTTAAAAGGGGAAGGTACAGGGTTCCGAAAGGCCCTGCAGGAAATCGCGCCTCAGACAACTTTTTGGCACTTTTAGAACCAAAAAGGAAATGCTTTTTTTGCAGAATTATTATAATTTTGAAAAAAAAACAGAGTTAAAATCGATGAAATGCCTTAAGTCCGTCGCGTTTTCAAGTGCATTCGAGCCGACAGGAAGTGTGCTTAAGAAACAACAAACTAAACATTTTGTTGACTCAATCGGCTCAATGTCCCATTTTTATTATATATGTCATCTCTTTTCTCAACTAGTAATAAAAACTGAAAATAAAGTTTTTGAAATGTCTGAAAAATGTTTTCTATTTGCTTTTTGAGGTTTTATTCCCTTTCAAAATGTTGCCATTTCTTATTTATATGCCAAAATGTGTATTTGCCAAAGAACTGTGGTTTTTTTGCTGGACTAGTAGTGCACTTTGAATTTTCGTATTCTTCAGAAATTGATTTCGCTATTCGAATAGTTTGATCCGGGGGCGATTCCCGGAGGATTATGTTAATGAAAACTAATTCAGGGAGACAGATTTATGGGATTTTCGGGATTGATCCGATGTGGTGGTCTACTGACTAGACCGTATGGGAATCTTGAAAAGGGATTCCTAAATTATCTCCGATTCTTGATGTGTTTTCCCTATAATCTCGGTTTTTTTTAATTCTGAGTTTCAAAAATCGTCTTTCAATAAATTTGGCACTTGGAAAGAGTACTTGAGAAAACTAGTTTTCAGTTGTAAAATTTGTGATTTGTTGAGCAAATAGGAGAGTTCCAATCAAACCGTACATATCAATCAAACCGTCCATATCAAGACACGAGAAGTCTGATTTGGTATAGTCTCGTACAAAAAATATCCCATTTTGACAGATTCTGTGGAAAATAAATATTGTTTGGTTGGCCAAGAAAAAATATCAAAAACTTTTCGATCAGAAAATTTATTTCAAAGACCGTATTTCCTCCGATAAAAGCCCAGCCGTCAAATTTTAGTTCAATTATCTCGGTTCCTGTGAAAGATATCAAAAACTTGTCAACTAATAAAATGTTTATCATAATATTAGCAACATTTCATCTATCGACAGGTTTTTGATATCTTTCCCAAAAATCGAGATAATTGAGCTCAAAGTTGACGGCTTGGGTGGGATTCAATTAAAGGAAATACAGTACCTCCATTTTTGAATGTCCATTTTTCAAATTTACGCATAAAACATAGACCGAATGAAAATTTCAAGCAACATGTCTCTGTCAGATAAATTCTTATGGAAAGTTTTTAAACGCAAAAATGAAGATCTGCGTTCTTTCCAACATTCTCAGATCAATCGAAAAATATCTGTGCATGTTCGGATTAAAATTTTCTACAGAAATTGTTAAAACTAGCTAGTTTCCAGAACACATTTATCTGTAATTTTTCCAAAATAAATACTCTGCTATCTACCGTAAAACCTGTAATAGAAAGTACCCACACTGTCAACTTTGAGCTCAATTATTTCACGATAGTTTTTTTCTAGAATAAATTCCACAGAAATCCTTTCCAAAAAGTATTATCTGTGGTCTACAAAGTTTCTATTCCTCCAACGTGTTATCTTTTTTCATTTTCCCCAAAATATCAACACGTTCGCACTGATAACGACTCAAACTCTCTCTCCTTCAATCGTTCAAATCTATTTTGCCACCCTCACTTTTTTTAGTATACAGTACTGTAAAAACCAATATTTACTTCATCCTCCAAAACTGATTTCTTTTTAAAAATGATTTCCAATAAACTATTTTTTTTGTTGATCGCAAGGATCGGAAGTGAACTACAGAATAGTAAAGTGTTCGGTTCAATTGATGCGTCCGTTCACTAATTCGCATTTAATCGAAAATCTATATAATTACGATGGTCACAGGATTCGAGAGAAAAAGAGAGAGAAAGAGGTAAATAATAAACATAGAATTAGAGAAATAGAGAGAAAAAAGAAAGAGAATGTTCGGTTGATGGGGTGGGAACTCGAATTAAGGTCAGCTAGAATTACCTAGAACACCGGTCCAAATTGTTCAAAAAGTTTTAATAAAAAACTGACCTCCAGAAGCGGCTCCATTTCCTCCGGAGACATAGTTCCCAGATTGACGAGATTGCGAACGGACGGCGGTTCTCGGTTGAATCGTGGATCTGTATTGAATCTCATACTCCGAGGACTCCTTTTGAGACGACATCTTCTTTCTTTAAACGTTTCAGACTACATGGAAAATATAAAATTAGAAAAGGTACACTTTAAAAGGACAAATGAAAAAATTGGAAGAGAAAAAAAAAGTAAAACAAGATATCAACGAGCGAGGGAATGTTTCTATCTGTTGCTCCATCCAATTTGTTCCTTATCAAAAACCCAAACGAGGAGGACCGGCCGGTTTTCTACAAACACGCCTCACATATATATGTTCAACATTTTTTTGAGTACACCTCAGCAACAGCAGAAATAAAAAAAAACAGCACAGAGCCCCACAGAAAACAAATAAGGTTGGAGGAGTAGGTGGAGGTAGAAAGGGACAAAAGACACGCCCCTTTTTGTGTTCATGGAAATTAAAATGAGTCATTTTTAACCTGTCAAACAAATTGAATAAAGGGACACATTTGCCCGATGAATTCGGTGGTGATCGAGACAAATGAAACGATCGAATTTCGTGTGCATTTGCATTGATGGAAGAAGAATGGCATGACAAAGAATGTTGCCAGAAAAAATCATTTAGAATACTTCTTTAAAAATTATATAGATGATTTCAGAAATGGGATAGCATTGGAAGGCATGTGGGTGTTCGTATCATTAGTCATCAAGCTCCATAAAAAAAGTAAACCTTTTCTAATTGACACTTTTTTCAAACTGATTACTCACAGAAGAAAAAAAAGAGTGAGGTGGTTGATGGGGGCTAAAAGTAAGGAGCAGTAGAAAAAAGTGAAGCGAGTAAAAAAAAGAAATCGGAAAGACACACATACACAAAATAAGCATTCCTACAGAATACCCAAAGGGTATTGTGAGGACGGTGCGGGTGGGTCGATGAGGCGCCCCCTGAGAAGCCCGAGCTCCGCCCACATTTTGTTGCCGAACCCGTCGAAAAACGAGCTGGGGCTGCTATTTGCGTTCCTCCCATTTCTCTGCGCTTCATTTTACCCCAAAACGATGCTGCTACTCTTGGCGACAGTGATGGAAAAAGTTTTCCCGAGAGAAAGATGACGACTACTTTTGGAAGAGAGGGAAATGCCGATTATAACACAGTCAAGGACAAGAGAAATGAATTGGAATCGAAGGTGTTAGTGAGGGAAAACGAGGACATTGTTAACAATGTGTTTTGGTTTAATCTATGAGAATCGAAGTGGCCAAAATAGGTTTACTATCCAAAAGAATACCTATACCACCAATTCTCTAAAAGAAGCCCTATACGTGCACTTTGAACTCAATTATCTGGGTTGTTTCAAAAGATATAAAAAATATGTCAACTAATGAATTGCTGCTGCCTTTACGAATATAATTTTATCAGTTGGCACATTTGGACATATTTTACAGGAAACGAGATAATTGAGCTCAAAGTGTTTAGGGTGGGGTTCTGTTAGAGCATTTACGGTATGTGCGTATCAAAACTTAAAAATTGAAAGATTTCATTAGCTGGGCGTTGTCAGTTTTACCATAATTCCTCTAATAGAAGCTCAGCGAACCCTTCAACTTTGAGCTCAATTATCTCGATTCCTGGGAAAGATACCAAAAGATTTAAAATTGAAAAAATATTGCTCACCCTACGATAAAAAATTTATCAATTCACAAATTTCAATATCTTTCACAGGAATCGAGATAATTGAGCTCAAAGTGGACGGTTTGGGTGGGCTTCTATTGAAGGAATACGGTAATTTGATCGTTAATCGCATAAACTGCATGATTTAGAACCAAAGCTTTTTTGGTCTATATTTTTTTCAAAAATGAAGCCAAGCCGATTTCGATCAATCATCTTTCATCCTATTTGCCTAGAATCGTACCAGACATAATTCGACTGTTATTTTTTTCGGTTTGAGTTCAGTCTCTAATTATTTAAACTGGTTTCTAGTTTCCGATTGAAAAAGCAAAGAAAAATATACAAAATGATGGATTAAGAAGAGTTTTATACCGTCTTATAGATCATAAAAAGAAGAAGAGTATTTTGAAAAAAATTTTCGCCGAGGAAAATATTTTAGATTCCAAGTTTGGAAGCAAAGAAAGATTTGGGCGATGAATTCTCGAAAATGGGATTTGATGAAATGAGGGAGAGGGAGGGGAGAGGGAGGGGAGAGGCTAAACCTTGAAAAAGCAAATTGAAGTCAGAAGTGATGGAGGCGTTTTACGGTTGGTCGACGTCCTCCTCCTTCTTTCCTTTTTTTCTCGTTTCAACTGGATTCGATTCTTCTACTTTTTCTTCTGGCCGTCCAACCATTTTCTATTCAGAAAACGGGACGACGCCCAATTTTCTGTTTCTTCTGCCGGTGATGATTCTTCGGGAGGAGAGGAATCGGAACGAGGAAAAACGAAATAAAAAAGGTTTGGAAAATAAATGAAAAGAAGAATAAGCAAAAAGTTGGAAAGAGATGATGATTGGGTTTGGAACGAATTGTAGGATTGCATGGAAGAGAGAGAGAGAGAGTAATGTGTGGACGAATTTTGATTTTTGATCATGATCTATAAAAAAAGAAGAGTTTTGGTTTTTTTACGAAATATATCTATATCTACCGTAGGCACACAAAAGCTACGGCAGCTAGAAAAAAGTCTTGAAATTCAATTTCACACATTTTTACAGTTCGCCACTTTTTTCTACCTCTTGTAGTTTTGAGATATGCGCCTTTAAAGTAGGTAGGCGCTATCTTCGTCAGGCGCCCAAATCGCGGTGCCAACTTTAAAGGCGATTTCAGTCTCACGTTCAAAGATGGGGGACATGAAAAAATACGAAAAAAAGTTTTTATCGAAATTCCGTCAAAAAACACTGTACACCATCACACCAGAATGCATACCGCAGCTCCGAGAAAACTCCGGAAAGTCTCCTGTCGTTATTTTCTAGAACTACAAAGAAATCAGATCGACGATGCAAAAGTTTCTAATAGGATTGGCTTAGGTTCATTTATAGTAAACCTCATCGAACGGAAGTTTTCCATCCTCTCGACTTTCAGCCTGTTTACAATGTTTCTACTCGATTAAAGTTTGAAAACTGGAACCCAAAACCGGGTACAAAACCCAATGAATAATTGGTTCGGAATAATAATAATGCAAATAAAAATGTAATCCTGTACTGTACACATAGTAAAAGAGACGGAGACGGACTGTTCATAGTTGAGAGTGAATTCGAGTGACCTGCTTGATTTCAATCGGGACGGACAAAACTGTGAAAACGAATTTAAATGGTTTAGCAAAACGAGGTTAGGCTGCATAAAACAACTGCAAACAATTTCCGGGGGTCCTGGAACATGAGAGTGTGCAAAGAAGATATCAAAATCCACCCAATTTATACTTTTCATCTTCATTTTCGTTTTTTTTTGTGATGACTCAAATGGGTGTGTCTCTCTGTCCCTTTTCATGTCGGAGGAGGAGGACACGGCACAGAAAAAAGTGACAAAAAATGAAAAGAGGGGAACGCCTTCTAATTGGTGTCGTCTGGACACTTGTCATCACGCCTTCCTTTCCTTTTTGTGTAAACAGTTTTACACAGGCGGTACATATACAAAATAAAAGAAACAAACTGTTTTGAAAAGAGAGTGATGAGAGGTTTTGTTGTTTTGGTTTATTAGATTTCAGATGAATATGATGAATTGTTTTGAAGAAAAGAAGAAGATTGCTCATAATTGAATATTTGTGAATGGTATTGAAAAACCGATTAGGCTCTTGGTAACTTGTTGATTCCGGTTTGGAAAGTGGAGCATCAAACCAAAAGTCATTATTGGAAGCTCTCATAGAAAAAACCAAACAGCGAACGTTTTATTCTTGAATTTTAATTTGGCAAAGAAACCCCGGGGGGAAAGTATGACGAAAGTAAAGTATTGAGTATGACGAAAGTAAAGTATAGTAGTATAAAGTATTTTATGGTGAAACCTGGGATTGTCCGAAATACATTCATACCGTATTCGCTCACATAGAAGCCCATCCTCTACGGGTCCTTCGAGCTCAATTATCTCGGTTCCTTCGAGAAATATCAAAAATTTGTCGACTGATAAAATGTTGGTAATTAAAAAAAAAATTTTATCCGTTTACAGATTTTTGATATCTTTTAAAGGAATCGAGATAACTGAGCATAAAGTGCACGTATGGGGGGCTTATATTATACCACTAAAGGTAGTTTTTCAGCAAAATTTCAGCGTTATTGGTTGTCTTACCTGAGCCCTTTTTCATGGGGATTGGGATATTTTTCTTAAAATAATTCCCCATACGTATCGAGAACCCAAAATGGCAATTAACCAAACTTTCAGTATACACTCTAATAGAATCCCCCGAAACCATAAATTTCGAGCCCATATATCTCTGTTTCCTGTAAAAAAGTGATTAACTAATAAAATATTGTTGAAAATATGATGAAAGTTTTGTTACTAGATCACTTTTTGATATCTTCTACATAAAACAAGATACATTGGCACAAAGTTGGCGGCTTGAGTGGCCATATATTAGTGTGTTTACGGTAATTCCCCAAAACTAGCTCTACTCAGACCCGACTAACCGAATATAGCGGAAGTTTGTCGGTATAAAATTTCTGAGAGTTTCCTTAAAATTATCAAATAATCTGCTGAAAATTTTCATACTATTCCGAAGCATATCGATGTCATAGTTACGACATCCGATCAATAATCTTGGCATGAAAAAAGATATGATCTACTTTAAGGCCTGCTCCAGGAATAGTTCTTTTGATAATAATGCTGATAAATTTACAGTTGACCATAAATATCAAAACTACTTTATAGAAAAAGCAACCGGTATACAAAACCGCCGGAAAATTCGTCATCACACCAACAACTACAAAATAGATGATTGAAATTCAACATTTGCTTGTTTCCGTGTCGTCTCCTCTTCTTTTCCTCTTCCAACCCAATACTTTTCGGTACTCTCAGTATACCGAATTCGCGCACTACACAACCGTATAAGCCGGTTCTTTGCTTGCGCGACGACGCACGTCTGTGTGTCCGATGGCAGCAGCTCTCTTCTTCTCTCTCACGTTTCGTCAACTACCCGAGTTAGGCGCATTTACAAACAGATGTTGATTCATGACAAATACCCCTCACTTTTCCATAAAAATTCGACTGCAAAAAAAGAAGAGTTCTTGAAAGTTTTCAACACAGTGAGGAAGAGGAAAGACTATATAGGTTTAGATACGGTAGACAGGGTCAGTCCAGTTTTAAATCCTGTAGATCTGAAGCCGTTTAAAGGATGGCACATGATTACCCGGACTAAAGTTCGTACTAGAATAAAATTTAGATGTGTTGCGATCAAGTTTGGAGTGCAGAAGTTTAAATCGTTCATCAGTAAACTGGACAAGCTTCAAATTATTTGATCAACTTTGAGATGAGTTATCGATTGTCAATGTTGTTTCACCTGATGAAAATCACAACGGCGTGCAAGAAACATTTCATCTTTGGACAGTCATAACAATACCTAGACTGGAGAAATTGCTTTGAAAATTTCAGTAGCTTTGAGTCAAGCGTATTTATTTCTGCCAATTTTCGTGCTTTGATAACACTAATGTCCAAAGATATACCCGTTTTTATCAGTCCGGCTAATTGGAAGCCCCAAAGGTAATCTGAAATAGTGGATTCAATGTCAACATTCATACATAGATTTTTTGCCAATTTGACAACTAACATTTCATGACAACCTATTGTTCGAATTGTATCTCATTCATAATTTCAAGCCAGTTCATCTCTTTTATAGAATCTCTCTTCTTTCGATCGTTGACACAAATACAATGTTTCATCGCCGGATTAGTGGAACATTGGTTCGTTTTTTCCACCGCTTACTCCGATACGTTCCTCGTTTCGGCTAATCGGAATTGGACTGAGGGACGAAAAGATTGAAAGGCAAACAGTGGGGGTAAAATATGCGTTTTGGAGTAGAAAGAAGATCAGAAGAAGATTCTGGGGAAAAGTTGTACGTGAGAATTCAAGAGATGGGATCCGGAGTTTATGTTCGGAATTGAAGAATTCTAGAACTCATAGATAACGAGCCAATTGCATGATTTTTGATAAAAAATGTTTCTCACTGGAAAGTTTAAAATGATTGATAACTTTTTAAAGATACTTTACCGGAAGATTGGAAATGTACAGGATGGCGCACAATTACCCGGACCTGATAAAGCGAGTATATCTTTAGACACAAGCATCTTGGAAGCAAGAAAATTGGTAGAAACATAATAATATTTCGTTTGATTCAAAGCAACTGAAATTTTTAAAAGTCCAAAGATGAACGGTGTAACGTTCCTTGCATGCCGTTGTGATTTTCATGAGATTAAGTAACTTTGACAAGCGATAACTCATCTCAAAGTTCACCAAATGATCTGGAACTTGACCAGTGTATTGATGAATGATTAGAATTTCTGCTCTCTGAATTTTAGTCCAGCACAACGTTTCATTCAAGTTTTATGCTAGTACTAACTTGAGTCTGTGTAATTATGCGCTACCCTGTAGACAACTAATTGAATACCTCCCAATGGAAGTTTCAAATGATAACTTTTTGAAGATAGACTTATAAGGATGAAATTCGAATTCCTCATGTACAATCAATTGTTCAAGACAAAATCCAAAGTTAGCTGTTGAACTTTTGCTCATTAATCATTGATCACTCCTTCAAACCAACGGTTTTTTCGATATCCAGTCCAATGTTTCGCAACACAAAAAATTTCGAAATTTTCTCAAATCTTTTTTGCTCATTTCTTCTCGGAAAAGTGCGCGGGCGGGCTAGGAGCAAAAAAAGAAGAAGAATTAATTGTAGAAACGTAGTCCTCCGTAAGCTTCTTTAGCCATTTTACAAACATTTGGCTACCTACCTACGCGCGTTTCGGAGGACCCAATAATCAACGATTTTTTGCAACAAGTGAAAATGAGGGAGAGAGAGAAAAGTACTAAAATTACTTTCGAAATAGGGGAAAAATTTTCAAAAAGATTTATTTATCTCACGACACAATGAAAAAAATAGGATTGGAATGTATGTACGATTTGGGGGTGGAGTTTGGAAGTGTGGCGGATTTGGGAAAGGATTCGGTGGGCATTTTTCAAAAAAGCAAATTTATCGAAAAGAAATCGTCTAGAAGATGGGAGTTTCTTAACGAGAAGAAGCGACCGTCGTCTGAATATGCGATGCCTTCTCAATTCCGTGAGAGTTGTACAGGAATGTCTCAACAACTTGTCCTTGTCCCCATGATGGATGAGATTCCATCACGATTGAGTCTGGTGGAGAGTGGATTCCTCCGGCGTTGCGTCCATAGATCTGAAAATCAAAAATAAGAAATCAACCAAGTTTCAGTTCAAAACTACCTTGAGGTGTCCGTGTGGGTGAATAACAGAGTGGGATGGAAGGTGGAAGGTGAATGCTTGTGTTCCATCAATAACACGGCGGATTTCGAAGTGACTCACATCCTCGGCCTGCAAAAAAAAAGAGATATATAAGATAATTGATAAGATGACTGTGAGGAGGTTTGAAAACTCACGATTGATCCACTGGTGTTCTCCAAAATAATGTACTTTCCGGTTGGATCGCACTCAATGATGCTCACATTTCCCTTGGCATGTCTCTTGAATGTGGAGCGAGTTTGGACCTCACCTTGGTCCCAATGGTCTGTCTCCAAGGTTCCAACTCTGCAAAAGTTATTTTGTTTTTACTTAGAAACAAAAACTTGAGGAATGAAAGCTGAGTTTGCATTTAAAAAAGAAAGCAAAGTGAGAATACAGGAAATGCAAAGGTGTGTAAAATATGGTGCAAGTGTTGAATGCATGTGAGAGTGTAATGTTATTCCTGAAAACCTCGGATCAGGTATGAATACAGTAGTGCCACGACCAGCTTCGTGTTGTTGCTGTGAGTATCTATGAAAACTAGGAATCTAGAACTACAGTTATATGAACTAAATACCTCAAAGTTCCTTGTGGATAAACACTGAAATACATTAAAAAAATGATTCATGGATCTACTCTATTCTAAATTCATACTCCTGGTGTTGTTGATGGAGATCAGAAGACGTCACAGCTATAGATGATCCCCCTTGTCTTCTGAATCCGAAATTGAATCTACTACTATTATTCTAATACTACGTGCACTACTATCAAATTTGATATAGCTATGAAGCATTGCAACGACTACCGAACCTTTGAACCTCCTGGTGTTGAACAGTAACCCCCTGTCCGATGTGATTGAATCTGGGAAATAATTGAGGTTTAAAAGAGAAGGATAAATGTATAAATCAAAATCGAAGGTAAGAATATTAGAGCTGCCGATGTTTATATATTCTCACCTTCCTTCCTCAGACTCAACAAGCTTTCTGTAGATGGCGATTTCGGTATCCAAAGTCTGCTTGGTGTTGAGAAGAGCCTGGAGTTCGGCAATGAGAGTCTGGCAGTCCTCACGCATGAATCGGAGAGCGTTGTCTCTCTTGACAAGCTCTGATTCGTAGGCTCTTTGATCTTCTCCGAGTTGGATTTGGAGGGTGTTGGCTTCTCTTTCCAAAGCGGCGTTACGGGCCTCGAGCTCAGAAAGCTTGGCTCTCAATGTGGTGATGCTCTCGTTCATCTTACGGATCTCCTCTTGGCGGAAAGTGGCAGCCTCGTTCTTGGAAGCAACGGAGGCTTCGACGGCGGCGATCTTAGTCTGGAAGATGGTCTCGAGGTCGACCTTGGTGGTGTGGATGATCTTGTCATATTCAGCCTTGATTTCTCTGATAGCAAGAGCCAACTCGTTCTTGAAGAACTCTCTGGTATCAGCTGGGGCTTGAGCAAGAAGAGCACGAAGTTCAGTGATCTCTTGAGCGTGGATTCTTCCCAAGAACTCCAACTCAATCTTGAGGTCATCTTCCTCGGCTTGAAGGCGAAGACGGTCAGCAATAGCGGCATCAAGCTCATCCTTGGCAGCGGCGAGTTGATGGTAAAGTTGATCTTGCTCAGCGTACAATCTCTTTTCCTCGTCAAGGATAGCGACATAACGGGACTTGTTGGTGTCAAGTTCAGCTTGTGCTTGAGCAATAGCTCCTCCCCAAGTGGTCTTTTCTCTTTCGACTTCACGACGCGCCTCCTCGTATCTGAATACATTTAAGAGATTGTTTAATAGGTTTGTAGTTTGATATTCAACCTGTGTCTGTAATCATTCAAATCATCTCTCAAGCGGTTGACCTTGACTTCAACTCCGATGGTTCCAGCATGAGCTTCAGTGATCTCACGGCGAACTTTGACGAGAGAGTCGTTGAATTTGATCTGAAATATCAAAACTCTTTCCAATTATTTTACAACCATTCCCTCAAAGTTTTAGTCTTACAATTATTTAATTCATGTCACTACTCGCACCCACACCCATTTCAGTTTCAAGCCACACTACTTGTCATCTTATCAATGCCATTCTCTTTCTTTCTTTTTGAAATTCCTTATGCCAGCACACTGGCCGCGCTTTGTTTGAGAACCATTGATATCACTGATAAGATGACTGAAAAAGAGTGTCAACAACTGTGCATGTGCGTATTTATAAGTGTGTGTTTCAGTTTCCATTCCTGGAAGTGACAGAAAAAAAAGCTGACCTTGATCTGACCGATATCATTTCCAAGAGATCCGCGCAGGGTGTCCAATTCGATGACGAGCTCCTTGTTACGATCCTCCAATTGACGGACACGGCTGATGTAAGCTTCCAAGCGGGAGTTCAATTGTTGCATCTCCTGCTTCTCACGCTCGGCGGCGGCCACGAACTCTTCAGCAGCATGGCTGGCTGATCCATATCCTGTAATCAATTAAGCTTGCAAACTTCAACATCTTTGATTGAAGTCCAATTATTGTACCAAACATTGTGAAGGCTATACAGCTACAGTATGACTAGAATCAACATCAGAAAAACGACGGACAATTCGGAGAGTACTACGATTCGTAGGTACAAGGGGGTACAAAGCGATTTAGGGGTACAACGAAGAGAGAAAAGAACTACATTTTGGGTTTTGATATAAGCTTACCGGAAATAAAACCTGTCAAAGAAGGGCCTTATAACATTTAAGTTTCCTGTAACAGATATCAAAAAGTCGTTAACTAATAAAATGTTAATTATAATATTCCAAACATTTTGTTAATGACTACTTTTTTATACCTCTTACAGGAACCGAGATAAATCAGGTCAAAGTTGGAAGTGCGGTGGGCCATTCTATTACATTTTTACGGTATGTCAATATAATCATAAGTAGTCGATAAAAACTTGAAGTTTTGATCAAAAGATCCTGTCGTTTTTAATACCGGAAGTATTTGAAACAAAAAAAACTTCAAATTATTCAAAGTTAGCGAGAATGCCCCCACATTTTTGTGAGTCAACTTAACACTCAATGATTTTTTTTTTGATAAAACAGTTATCAGCAATATTATCCAGAATACTACTTCCGATAAAATTCTTACTTTTTTCTCGCTCCCCCATCTCATCATTCAGTTGTCTACATCCAATCCTTGTTAACCCCACTAGAATTAGATTCAGGATTAGGCGGTACTGTATCAATAGAGAACAAAAAACTGCTAAGAATGCCGACAAAAAGAAGTATATAAGACAAGAGCAATAGAAAAAGATCAATTTCAAATCATCTGTCACATCGGGTTTCACCTAGTTTTTTCGCAATATTTTTCCCGGGGGAAACATCAAGGAACAATTGTGAGAATCTCAGAAGACGTGGGAACACTTACCATGGGAGGTGGATGTGGTGGTGACGGTTCTGTGCATCGAGTACGAAGTCGACATGATGAATTCCCTTGAAATTGGAAAATATGTTATCGATAACAATGGAACAAGATGATAGTAAAAGAGGGTTTCACACCTTGTGAATGTTCAAAAAAAACTTTAAAATCCTATATAAAAATAAACATCGACGTTCAGTCTAAACATGGCACAAAGATGATGGCCGTCGTCGTACAAAATGCGAAGTAGATTTGATTTTACAATGGCATTTTGGGAGAGCAAAGAAAGAAAAATGTGTTATCAGTTGGCAAAATGCTCGATTCCACTCTCTTTTATGGGGACTTATCAGGCAAAAAGGGAGAGAGGGAAAGCGAGAGGAAAAAGAAAAACTACTTTCTGACATTCTTTGTATTTGAGACATTGGGAATGTCTTTTGACATTTCATGAGGAATTTGGCATTTTGATGTGAGAACAGTTCCAGGAAAGAGGATAAGACCCTTTTGAAAATGTCGGACAGGATAGGATGGTCATTTGGATCCCGAATGTGTGATTTTCACAAATTTTCCGAGATACCTTTTCAAACGCTTAGCTCTAACAAGTAAGAATGAGGAACTTTTTGAAGAGATGATTCCATATAAAGAAAAAGAACTTATGTACACAGTCATCTCAAACTTTAGCAAACTTCGGTCACTTTGGCTATCCACAAGAATATTTTTTCATTTCATTTTGTTGAAAAACTGGAAACTAATGCAAGCTTGCCTTTTCTGAGTTTTTTTCATGTCTTTTTTGCGATAACTGAACTGCACATACAGCCCCGGCCAAAAATTTGGTGCTCAGCTGTCAAGTTCCGATTACTTTGGAAACTTTGAACAGACCTAGATTGAAAATTTTGCATTCCCCGAATTTTCGGAAAATTCCTGGTTTTTCAGCTATTTGCCGATTTTAGAAAGACATCCGTTTTTCACGTTTTTAGTACAAAACCGGCTAAGAAGGTGTGGCTTTCAGAAATCGGTAAATAACTGAAAATCTAGGAATTTACAAGAAACTATGTGTATGCAAAATATTCAATCTAAATCTGTTTTACACCCTCAAAAAATTTCAAAATGAGCGGAAACTTGACAGCCAAGCTCCAGACGCCTGAAATCGGTATAAATTAATTGAAAAATACGTATTTGTATATCTCATTAATCGGTGTTGTAGTTGTTGAGTAGATCACCCAAAACCTTTCTGAAATGGAAAAATTAGGAAAAAAATGAAAAATGGTACGAATTTCCAGTGATTTCCTCCTTTTTGCTGTCAGTAGAAAGAAATTGAGAAGAATTCACAAACGTTAAAGGAGGCCAGACACCAAAAAAAAAGTTTTCCTGATATTTTGCATAGAGAACCCCCATGAGGGGTTGAACTCATGACAGGCAGCTCAGGGGTACAGCGCCGCTACCGGCTGAGCTACGGGTGCGCGAAGTCGCCTGACGACCGATGGCCTACATAAGCGCGGCGCAATTTCGTCCCCCGAACTGTCTTCTGAAATTTTTGCTGTCTCGCCTCCTTTAATTAATTGATTAGAAAACCAAAAGGCAACCACACCCACCACAATGAGGGAGCAACTGTCAACCAGGTTCACTGAAAAGGAATTTCAAAAATTATTGGAATGATGTGAACATAAACATGTGATGAATTTATCACTTGGCTACTGTTGAACCCTATTTTCGATGTAATAGTGTCAGATCCTCCATGTGAATTCGGCTGATATCCCCATAGATTCCGCGTTTCAGGACTTCCGTTTGTAGTCTGGTCACATCCTTTCCTCATTCTTATTCTTCTTCCTCTATACCATCTCCCTATATTTTGTTGCAAACACTTCTTGCAAAGCCCTAACTTTTAACTATTGTTCTTCCCTCCATTTCGTTTGAATGGCAACTCCATGGAATCTTTCCAATTACCCTCTCCCCTCTCTAAAATTTCCCATATTCTCTAACTTTTTGTTTACAGAAGTGTGCGGCTTTTCCGTTTGGAACTGATAACACCCGAGTACTCCAATTCCTAGTAGAGCTCAAGTTTTTTGTCTTATCGGTGAACCGACGCAGAAAAGACACTTTTTTTTTGGGGGAAGGGGGGGAAGTTGAGTGTCAAGGATTATAAGTTTCGTTGGGGGTTTCTGCAGAACTTTCTTGAAGCAAAAGTCATTGTGTCTCTTTTTTACGAATTGTTGTTTCTAAAACAAACTTCAAAGTGATGTCACATGTGCTTGAAACCTGACTCTACAAGATTCATTTACAATCTACAGTACCAGTCAATAAGATATACGAAAAAGTTTTTCAGTTGAATTTGACCATTTTCAGGAGTCTCAGCTGTCAAGTTTCCGATTATTTTGAAAATAATGGAGAATGTAAAACAAACCTAGATTGAAAACTTTGCATTCACAGAATTTTCCGAAATTTCCTAGTTTTTCAGATATTTGCCGATTTCTGAATGAACCTCCTTTTTTACTGTTTTTGTACTGGAAATGTGAAAAAATGTGTCTTTCGGAAATCGGTGGTTATCTGAAAAACTAGACATTTTAAATTCATTCTGTGAATGAATTTTTAACCTGGGTCCGTTTTACGGCCTCCAAATTTTTCAAAGTAATCGGACACTTGGCAGCCGAGATCCAGACTCCTGAAAATTGCAAAAATTAACTGAAAACGCGTTTTTCATATATTTTTAGCCAGCACTGCAGATGGAACCTGAAATCTCTGAAATTAAACATTGAACTGCTACTGAACTGAGCATCTATAGTTTTAAGGATCACAACATCTGAAAACAAATCAGAAAGTTCCATTATTCTTCTGGCATTCGCAGATTACCTCTGTGACATTTCCGCTAAACTTTTTGATTTCTCACCCATTTTTTTTTATTTTTTTGGCACTTCTCCAAGCTTTATTTTAATCCTACTTACACCTAAAACCTATCATCTGCTTTTGATTCTTTTCTCCTTTTTTGTGTCATTCATTTTTGCGGTGGTGGTAAATACCAACGACTCAGTTGTAGTACGCAACGATCGGGGGTTTCGATGATAAGATTTTTGAAGCAAAAAAAGCGGCGAATGAGGAATATTTTAGTGGTTGTCACAATTCTTCCGCTTTCACTCAAGTTTTTACTATCTTGTTTCATTATGTGGCGAAGATAGTGAAATTTGTAGGAAAATGAAATTTGCGAATTGGCACGGAAAAATTTTTTATATAGTAAACAACACTGAAACTGAACTTGGAATTGTGAATACACACAGAGATGGTAATAAAACTATGAAGGAATTTTAGATAAGGGCGATGACAAAAATTTTTTTAATTAGGAATTATAATTGTGGTTTTTATAGTTTATGCAGTTGTTGGAAGTTATGATAGATGAATTTTGTCTCCTTTCATTGGTATCCAAGGCTGTACACTAAGCCGGGGGTTAGTTGTCATGGAACAATCCGTTCGTTCTTTCAATAATACAATTAGCGACTCAGAAAACATTAGGACTGCTAGGCAACCGTATTCTACCTATCTAATTGTAAGGCCGACAGTGGCAGGAATTCTTTGTCACGTACTCATAGAAATTTTATCTGACCGAGTTTTACAACTAAAGTGTACTTTCGATAGTAAGAATTCAAAAAACCATGATTTGTGAAAAGCTTTTCAAAATAAGTCTTTCCGGTGAGTTCAGTTCTCAAGATCAACTGTTTCCAAACAAAAAAAAGACTAATCCTTCTTATTCGTGCCTTTTTAAAAAAATATTTCCATTATTCTTTACTCCACTACTTTACTAAACTGTTCGGGGGACCACACTGAAAATGTTTCAAGGCCAGATCTGTAGTCTGTTTCAGAAGTGCAAAGAATCAAGAAACAAACTTAACGCCTGTTTCAGCTACATAATCAACAATTTCTCATCAAAATGACATCAACTTTCCAGCAGTTTTTCAGGCTGATAAGGTGCGTTGTCGGTGCGTAAACTTTAGGTGTGTGAAGAAGAACAAAAGGAGTTAGGAAAAGGTTAGTGTCGGGTGGTGAACTATTTTTGGAACATTGGGAAATGCTGAACAAAAATGGGTGATCGAAAAAGCTTTAAAGTTTTTCTTGGTTCAAGTCTAAGAGGTTAATAGTTCTATCTTTTCCAAACATGTACATTTTCGAGTGCAGATTTAACTTTAAGGTTTAGTTAATTACAGACATCTTTCAGAAATTTCCGGCTCTTTTCGAAAATAACGGTCCCAACGAATTCCCACGGTCTGGGAAAAACGGTCCAACAATGGGACCAAAACGGTCTAAATGTTCCGACAACGATCCTTCAGGCACTAATAATGAGAACAATTCAGAAAGAGATGTGAAGTTGAGACCATGGGACCGTGGGAATTCGTTGGAAGCCGTTGGGAGCGGCGGTACATTGCTAGGAACGTTTTTTATTGAAGGAGCCAAATGTTCTACAAAAAGTTTAATGGCCTTCAGATCTTTAGTTTGGGAATATGTGTTACTTGTAATCGGTGGTTACTGTTGAAAAGAGAATCTAAAAAAGTCTCCTTCAAGACATGACCCTAGAAAAATGTTGTAAACCGTAAAACATGTATTAGAAGAGTCTCTTTAACAAAAGGACCATTTAAGAGGGGCTTGGAAAAATTGAAGAGCCCTCCGTAATAGAAGAGCCCTCTGTGAAGAAGGACTCCCTTCAAAATGTGTTTTGAAATTAGAATATTTCGTACGTTTTCAATGACAAAATATTCCAGAAATTCCACAACTTAATAGAAATTTTGTTTAAACTATTTTTTAATGAAAAAGTTGCTAAATTTTGGTGAAATCGATGGATTTTCATGAATTTTCGACGAAACTTCGACTCACTTTTCGATGAAAAATTTCGTGAAAATTGCCGGAAAAATTCAAGGGTCCCTCTAATTGAAGGGCCCCCTGAAATAGAAGGGCCATCCGGCGGTACCTTAGAAAAATAGAAGAGTCGGCCCATCAAATACAGGTTCTACGGTATCCTGTGTGAAAATCCCTCATGAACTTATTAACACATCCTTATCCGTTCGTGTCGTTTAAAAGTATTATTATCGCACCGGATCTTATAATAACTGAACAGTGTCAGATCTTGATCTTTCTACGCAGGTGTTTTCTTTTGCAGGACCTTCCTTACCTCTTTATAATTAGCTGTTTCCGCAGCTGTTCCACCCTCCCATTATATTGCACGCTTTCCTCTCCGCACCTTGATTTTTCAGATTTTATCTGTTGATTTACGCTACTGGTTCCGTATTGTAATTACAAGAAGAGTTTGCGCAACTCCAGTTACAACCCTTTTATGATTCTGACGCCACATTTTTATGTTGCTTATCTTGAAATAAAAAAGTAGCAAACGAGGAATATGGGTAATCCATGAGGAGATGTGTTACGATTTATGTGTCCAAGGGTAAAGGAAGACAAAGGAGGTCATTGGAGCCTAATTATTAAAAGTATGGTCTAAAAGTTAAAATATCGAAACAATGAGATACATATTGTAATGTAATAGATTGTGATAATGGTGTTGATGTTGTCTGAAAAGTTGTTTAAAAATCATAATTAGGTATCCTTAATCTCTTTCGTGTAATTAACTGTTTAATCAAATTTATACAGGTCATGACTCTTCATACTTATTCCTCTGTCAGCCTTAATTGTTGTTATCGCTCAGATTCCGATGACCTGTCAACTACCGGTTGTCTTCGAAACTTTTCTCCTGGGCATCGATTTTATTCACGATACTGCACGATATCCCAACAAACACAAGAAGAAGAAAAACGAGAGGAAGAGAGTTCCTTCAAGTCTCATAAAAACTTTCCAGTTAACCTCGTGATTCCAGAAAAGAGCCATCTTGAGAACTGCAGAAACTTCTTATCAGTCCAATTCCTTTCACACTGTTTCATTTTTCTTTTACCTTCAATTTTTTCCGAATAATTTGTTCTTCTTCTTTCAGCGAAAATATGCTGAAACTAGAAAACGAAAATGTCCTTCTCCACCAGGAAATCAAAGTTTTGAAACTGAAATTATCAAGAGTCCAAAATAATCGAGATCAATTAGAAACTGAATTATCGATTATCAGAGCGGAGAACGACGAATTGAAGACAATTGTTTACACCTTGGAGAAACGGTTAACTCAAGAAACTCCAATTCTCTCTCCACAAATCGATACTCCTGTTTCCGAAAATTCATTTGAAAATGGGTCAAACAAATCTTATGGAAAGAAGGAGCAAGAACCAGAATTCTTCTCTGAAACTGGACCAGATTTTGATTCGAAATGGTACAAAAACATCTGCATTGCCAAATCCCATCCTAATTATATTGTTTTGAGAAACTGCAGTCAAGTTGAGGTAAATTTGTATTTTTTCATTTTTTCGATTATCGTAACTTTTCACAGCATCAATCCCTGGATGACTTTATTTTCTTCCGAACTGTCGATGGTAAGGAAACGGTATCTGGCTGTCCATTCCCAGAAGGCGTCATTATTCCTCCGCAATCTGAATTTACGGTATTCATGTTTCTGTGTTTCTTTTTTTATATTTTCACATTTCAGATCTATTCCGATCATCCCGGAGCAAGAAATGTCTATGGAAAAAGTTGCATTCTTCACAGATACAACACTTTCGGATCGGGAAAAGTCACTGAAAATATAATTTTGGATGAGACTGGAAAAGAAACTGCCAATTATATACTTTGTGTGTTTCAAGAATAATTGATCGATTGATTTTTGATTTCTCATACATATATTAAGAGTGAGCAAGGAATTTCAGTGACTGAGTATGACTCCGGTACAAAAAAATTTTGGTTGTGGAAGAGAAACGGCGGTGGAATTTGCCGAAGGTCATACAACGACAACTATCGTAACCTATAAAAAGCATACTTGTAATCCGGGCCTTTGCCGGGCCTTCGCGGGCCCTGCCATAATTTCTTTCAGAATCTATATTTTCGAACCAACTAAATCAGATGTGATAGAGCTCCACGAGTACTACAAAATGGTATTATTTGGAATACTGTATCTTATCTATGAACAAAGTTACAGATCATAAAGTGGCTTTTCTCGCAGGGCCCGGCAGGCCCGGGGCGGGCCTGCTTCTTTTGCTCCTTTTGCTCTGTAACTCTGTTCATAGACAAGATACAGTATTCCAAATAATACCGCTTTGTAGTACTCGTAGAGCTCTATCATACCTGATTGAGTTGGTTCGAAAACATTACCTCTGAAAGAAGTTATGGCAGGGCCCGCGAAGGCCCGGCAAAGGCCCGGATTACAAGTATGATAAAAACGTTTTTATTTTCCTGGCATATTTATAGTCAATTTTTTCAACTAAAAAAAACTTATTTTCCGACTTTCTGTTTAAACGAACAGAAAAACAGACAAAAATCAGTGAAAAACAAGAGAACAAATCCTGAAAATAAAAGAAGGCGGCATGTGTGTGATTGTTATTACTCATACACGTGCTAATCTAATAATCACTGAGGTGACCTTTTTGTAATGGACTCTCCCTGCTGAATTACGCAACACAAAGCCACCGTATATCCATTCCAAACAGTAATCCATCTCTTCTCTTCCTTTCTTAATGTTTACTAACCATTCGCCCCTTCTTCTACAAAAAGCGGTATCTCTTTTGGCGGTGCAACTTGTTCACAGCCAGTGTATAGAAGACCGGGATTATCTTGTCCTTTTTCATGACAATATTTGTCCTCACTCCTGTATATATTGGTCAAACAAATTAAACAGGGAAGTGAATACCTTCTTCTGTAAGGGAGGGTCTAATTGACTTTTGTGTTCCGCCAAAAAAGCGACAGCCAAAGAAAAAAAGGAGGCAAAATAAGCGGATTCTCGAGAATAATTACTCGCGGCATGCTTTGATTGAGGAATGAATTGATAAGTCATTGGCAGGCTAATTGGGGCCATGAAGGGTGTCGGATTTACTCTTTGGTGTTGCTTTTCGTCGTATTGGTAGTTTTGGATCCAACAGGTAATTGGGATAAAGTAAAGATTAGATTATTAAAAGTTTCAAATAAATTTATGTATGTTGAGAAGTCAAGACAAATGATTTGCAAAAGTTTGTAAATAAGAGACTTTATCCGTATTACTGTTCAAATACCGTAAATAGAAGACCACTTTATGCTTGCGCTTCGATCTCGATTATCTCAATTTCTGTGAAAGATATCAAAAATGTGTCAACTGATTAAATGTTGGTGATATTATGATAAACATTTTATCAGGTAACAAATTCTTGTTATCTCTTATGGAAACCAAGATAATTGACACAAAGTGCAACTTTCAAGCGACATAATTCTAATAGAAGCCCACCAAAACCGTCAACTTTGAGCTCAATTATCTCGATTTCTGTTAAAGATATCAAAAATGTATTAACCGACAAATTATTTCTCATAGTTTCACCAATATTTTATCTGTTAGCAATTTTTCGACATCTTTCACAGGAATCGAGATAATTGAGCTCAAAGTTGGAGATGATTTGGGTGGTCTTCTATAAGAGGAAATACGGTATCTCGTTTAGATGAACGACTTCCAGACCATTTTGACACAAGCCCAGCGCCATTTCATTTACAATATTTCGTAATACCATATTTTGGATTACACCAATTTCTTCGATTCTCGATTTAAATCTGAAGAGACACTATCACCCATTCCTTCCTCGATAGTCCAAAATATAGGATCAAGGAGTGTAATTCGGAAATTAAGAGGAACAGACAGACAGATGATAATAGGTTTATTTCGATCGTCTTCTCTGTCTCTCTACACTCCATTTCTTCCATCAACATCTGTTTTCACCCATCTTTTTGATCAGAAGCGGAAAGGTGATGCCGTTTTTGGAAGGCGTGAAATGATGCGAGAAGCATGGATAGCTAAAGATGAAGAAGGGGGAAATTGAGAAATATGATTGACGGCTTCTTTTTGATGATTTTGGAGAGTTGAATTTAAAAGCAAACAGTGCTTATTTGTCCATCGTTTTCTTCTTTTTCCTTTTTTTTCTTTCTAGTCATCTGTCAGGAGGAAAAAGCGGTAAAACCGAGTTAATTAGAGGGTTAAACGTAAGGAGCCGGGTAAGGATCTCAAGTGTTTTCTTTCGCGCATTTCATTGTGATTCAGAAATTATACAGAAAACAGAGAAGAGGTGCCAAACATAAATCATGGATGGTACCGATGCTACCAAGGACACGCTCTTCGAGTATCGCGGTTCCCTTTTGGGAGAATTGAAGAGTAGAGCTCTCTGAAAAGTGAAGCAGTAATTATAGAATTTCTTCAAGGATTTGGATGTATATGTTTTTTTTTGAGTGAACTGGGATCTATAGAGTTTTTCAGCAATAAAATATAATTTAGCTCTAGAATGGCCAGTTACAGTATTTCCTCTGATACCTCCAATCCAGCCCAACCGTCAACTTTGAGCTCCATTATCTCGATTCCTACAAAAGATATCTAAAATTTGTCAACTGGTAAAATGTTTGTCATAATATCTGCAACATTTTTTAGCATTAGTTAGCCTTCTATTTGTGTGAATACGGTAACTTACAAAAAACACAGAAAAAGGGGATAACGTTCGGATAACAGAACAACAAAAAAAAAATTTTTGGAACATCTGGTTTCGAGCCCTAAAGTTCTCTGCAACATCATTTTCATTCAACATGGTTCCTCAAGGAAAACTTACCGTAACCCTTATACCAGTGCTAGGTAATTTGTATGTCAATGATTCTAATTTGAATGATTTTGGCCTTTTTGCTACCGTACCCAACACAACCGGAGGTATATTCTTCCGAACGCCTTATTCTCCCCCATCTTGACTAACCTAAAATATTTGGCCTCCAGGTAAACTGACCGCAAAAAAGTGTGCCTTCCAATCACTTTCACTCTTGTCGGCATATCGGGGCGGAAACATAAATGAATTCGATTTCTAATTCTCCCGCCACAGAACTTTTTTTGTGGAAGATTTCTATGGGTGGTAGTAAAATGAGAATAGATTGATGGAAGTTTCCGAATACAAAAATAGAAGTTTTTAAATTTTCTTTCATTCCCAAATTTTGATGACTTTTGAGTAATCATCAAATAGTTTACACGGTTGCTGAAGTTTGCTAAAGTTTGCTTATACTTGCTAAAGTTTGTACCAGCTTAAAATTTGAGTGAAGCGTTGTACTGTGCTAAAATTTGAAGTGCGAAAATTTAAATAATTTATCAGTAAACTGGCCAAGTTTCAAACTATTTGATAAAGTTCAAGCAGAGTTATCGCTTGTGAAAGTTACTTCATCTCAGGAAAATCACAATGATGTACAAGAAACATTTCATCTTTGGGCAATCACAACAAAACCTAGACTTGAGGAATCTTTTTGAAAATTTTAGTGGCTTTGAATCAAACCTAAAACTATATTTCGACCAACTTTCGTGCTTCCAAGTGACTTACGTCTAAAGATATACCCGTTTTTATCAGTCCGAGTAATTTTACGCCACTCTCTATTCCGAAACAATTAGTATACTGTACTTTCCCACCAACACGAATTCCCACAATTGTGTTTTTTCACACCTCAATTCTTTTCTTACAGAAAGCCGCCAAAAGATTTCCGACTCTTTTTTAATGTATTTTCTCTGCTGATTTCTTTTTTCGAACCGCCCGGATTATGTAACTTCGCGGGCAGAAATGCCGGCGCCCTTTTCGGCCATCATTGCATGTCTATTAACTTAGCTAAGACTCGCTCAAGGTTATGTACCCAAGACCCAACAAGTTTCCTGGAAATTCAACAACACATATAGTTTTTTCTGGAGTTGAATAGTAAATAAATGTCTTTGCGTTCATAAAAATCTGTGTTGGGAAAAAGAAAGACTGATCAATCAATGGGAAACAGTTTGAAACTGGGAAAAGACAGGAGTGAGTGACCCAAAAATGAGAGCGACCTTGTCACTGGATTTTTGCACTAGTTTGATTGTTTTTCGAATTTTTCTCGGAAAATTTGAAATTGGAAATTGATTTTCAAAAGTGAAAAGTAGGTTGTTTCAGCATAGTTTCGTTTTAAATACTTTGGCAGTGTGAGGGCTCAACAGGAATCCTGCAGCTTGCTACAGTGACCATCCATTCTATTTCATTTCCATTCCGGTTTTTAGTTCCTGAGATGATCATGAAAGTTTCTTTGCGCATTTTTGAGTTGCCTTCATAATTGTTCTTTAGGCTCCTACAGTAACCCAACAAATCTATGAAAAAAATCCGTAAAACCTGTTATAGAAGGACTCCCAAAGTGTCAAGTTTGAGCCAACTTATCTCGGTTCCTATCGAATATCTGAAAATGCGGACAATTGATAAATGATAAACTAGCTGAAACGTAACAGTGTGGGGGCATTTCTATTTCAGGTTTTAGGGTATATAAAATCCTTAGAAACAACACTACTTTTTTGAGTCTTCTTCTTTCTGAATACATTCACTATATCGACTTTAGCAAAAACATCTGAAGTTTCAGCTTTGCTCAATCTCTCTTTTGTACCTAGAAAACTTCCATTTTTTGGTGCAATACGGTATTTTGGAGGGTGTCATCTTTTACTCCTTACTTTCTCTTGTTCTCGATATCCACCCAATTAAGCACCGCCCATCTCTCCACCCCATCCCCTCAGTTTCCCTCCCCATCCTCCCCCATACTATTAGCCTATTCATTCCTCATCCACCCTCCACAGCTACCACCCTTCCTTCCACCATCCTCCTCTCTTTTTGAGACGACGTCTTCTATTCTTTTCATTTCCCCGCTTCTCGCCTAAAAAACCAAAGCAACAATGGCTAAGAAAAATCAAGTCGCCAGAAACGAAAGAGAACGAAACCGTGTGCATCAGGTAAATCATTTGTTTATACCTTTAAATCTCTATTAGCAAAATTAAGCCAAGATTTATTTTTCTATATCTGTAAATTTCAGGTTAATCATGGCTTCGATGTCCTTAGAACCCACCTCCAACCAAAGAACCAAAACAAGAAATGGAGCAAGGCCGATACTCTTCGTGAAGCTGTCAAGTATATTCAACGTCTTCAACACATTCTGAACCAGGAACCACAGCAACAGACAGGTAAGAATAATACAAATTCTATATCAAAGCCGAATCCTCATTTTTTCAAATTTTCAGTATCATCCCCAAATACATCTCCAAACTATGTCATGTCCTCTAACAACTACCCAGCATATGCTACAAAGGATCAGTTCTCGATGTATCATTCCAACAATAGCTACAATCAAATGTCAACACATCAAATGCCGGTACTTCCCCATGGTGACAGCTTCAATTCTCCAACATCGTCTGTTTCCTCATCCTCATACTCCCCAACTCAAATGTGTTATCCTCCAGTTTCCTATGCCAATTATCAACATTCGTAATTTCCAGAGAATCTGAAGCTTATCTAGTCCATTTCATTTTTCAAAATATCTGGTGTTCTTTTTTACGGGTATTGTTTTCTTGTTGATATTTCCCTTAATTTTCTTGTTATAGCCCCTCAGCAATAAATCAATTCTTACACATAATAATCACAAACTCCATTCTGTGTCAAATCGTTTCCTCATATTAGCCTATTAAATCCGAGAAAGACCTTGGCGTCTTAGGACTCAGTTCCACCGGGAGAGACAGAAAAAGAAAACCACCCCCCAAGGGGAGCCTTATTAATAATCGCCCCCGGCTGGCACCATTTCTGGGTCAACATACAATAGACAAGAAATAAAAAAGAATGGAAGAAGGGGGTTTATGATGTGGATTGAGTGGAAATGGGAGGAGAATAAAAGTGAATAGAATGACTGAGTGACTGAATGACTTGTGTTGTTGTTTTCATTAAATTGAGTGACACTGATGCTAATGAAATTGACAGTACGTTGGATGGTGTTTAGAAAAGAAAATCTGAATTTAGAAAACTTCAGAGTCTACCTGTGCGATATTCATGAACCGGTTTTCGCGTTAATGAAAGGTGGCGTCTTTTCACAGTTTATACAATTTTTCTACAGTATCCCGATTGTAAGATGTGAACTTTTAACATCAGACTCATCTCTGAAAACACCAAAAACTGAAACTTTAACGTTATTTTGAGCAACACCATGGAAGGCCACCTGAACCGTCAACTTTGGATATATCTCATTACCTGTAAAAGATATCGGAAAGTGGTCAACTGACAAAATGTTTTGGATATTATGATTAACATTTTGTCAGTTGACCAATTTTCGATATCTTTCACAGGAACTGAGTTATAGTGGCTTAAAGTTAGCGGTTTGGACGGTCTTCTATTAGAGTGGTTACTGTATCAACTCCGTGATTCTCCGTGACAGGAATTTTTCGACAAGGCTGAGGAGCCCATGGTTTCCGATTAATTGGGTAGTTCTCATGACACAGATTCTGGAAAGCGAGAGCTAATTAATTAGGACATGGATTGTGGGATTCCGTAGATAAACTTTACAGGTTTGAACACTTCGGCCAAATATTGATAGACTTGAATGTTAGAAGCCAAGGTTTTCGGAAACAGGGCCGCGGCCGGCCGCGACCCGAACCGCGGGTAGGATGCTCCAGGATTCTATAAAGTGGAAACACCGAAACCTGAAATTTTAAACCGAAAATCTGAAAAATTAGACCAGACTGTCCGTTCTAACAGAACTGAGCTGGGCCACCCAGAAACTTCTAGGGTCGCTAGACTGCCGAATCATAGATCAGTAGAAATGAAATTCTGCGGCCCTGTTTTCGATCGCCGTGCTGAAAGTTCTCAGAGTTCTAACAAGTGGGCCACATCAAACTCTGATCTCCGAATTTTTGAAGAATCCCTAGTACATGCCTGCCTACATGGCAAAGTCTGAAAATTCTAAATCAGTCCATTCCATTTTCCTGAATTCTATCAAGCTCGCTTCCCACGACACATTCCCATAAACCCATCATGTTCGCGGATCTTGTTACAAAAAACTGACAGGTGGGTGCTCATATTTTGTGTGTGTTGACCGTACATTACCGTTCTAAAAGGTCATTCGATCTTCATTGCATGATGATCAACACGACGAAGAAATGAGGGTGAAGCCATTAAGAGAAACATAACAAATAACTATTCAGAATGGTATGCTACAGCTTCGGAACCATTAATCAATGGACATACAATGTACAAGAAGAAGCAGGTGCAGACGGTGGAATTGTCTCTCGGATCTCTCGATCTCCAATGATCTCTCATTTTCTTCGGAGGGCTCCCGCGCGCACGCAGCTGATTATCCATTCCACGTCCATGTTTACTAGAAAAATGACATGGAAATGTGTCTTCAATGTGTACATGTGTATGGTATGACATTGCAAAAAGTGACACCTTTCAGAGAAAATGAATAGGGTCAACACTCATTTTGATATATTTGGAAATGGGGTAATTCCAACATATTCATTGATATTCATTAGTCATCGTTTTAGAGATGGGCAGGTGGATTGTATCCACCGGATACAGTAGGATTGAATAGTAGGAATTAATGAAATAGGATCTTCAGACCTCTAGGAAACTTCTAGATCTGATCAGATAGTTACTCTCGATATATCATGTTATTGTTCATAAAACAAATATTGTCATTTATCTCAAAACAACTGATCCCTCATCGCCGGGTCAATCCATCATCCACTTCCGGTATCATCAAGATACCGCAAAAAGAAACATAAAGACATGTGTTCCCAGTCGGATCGATTTATTGCCCAAGATAGTCGGCACGCGGCAACTTTCAACTCAATACTGTTGCCGAATGTCTTCTTCTGATAAGGATCTCTCTTGGGTCTTCTCGATTGGGTAACGAGTACATTGGCGGCCAATGGATACTCTCTCTGCCTTTGTAAAAATGATGCCGCGCATGTTTTAGTACCTCAATTTCGCATAAAATGATGATGTTGCAAAGGAGGCGAAATGAGGGAAAATGAGGCTAGACAAAAAGAGTACAGATAATAATTCGGTGAAAATTAGAGAGATTTAATTAAACCAGCCTGTTTGCCGTGCCTCTGGCGCTTCAAAAAGCTCGCTGGTGCGCCTCCGGCGCGATTTAACCTATTTATTTTACTGTTCGTTGCTGCGCTCGAAGGTCACGTCTATCTGAGTCAGAAAACGCCGGGGACCTAATTTTTTTCAGATTTTTCGAGCAAAAAATGTTTTTCGGGGAACTTCTGCCGACCTTCCAATCCGTTGGAAAACTTAGCGCATTCTGCCCATTCTGTCTGATCGTCGATTTCTCTTCAATTTTTTTCAGGATATTGCCTAACATGACAATTAAAATCACGAGAAAGTCGCCAAGAACCATTTGGGTAGGTGGAAAAATTCATTTCCAGATCTGTTTCAGGCGAATTCTTTTATTTCAATTGAAAATTTTCAGATGCATACTCATCACTCAAATATATCACAAATACCGCAAAAACAAGTTTTGGAGTGCCTTGTTCTTACCTACTTACTGTACTTCCTCTATAGTAGCCCACACAAACCGTCAACTTTGTGCTTCTGTATCTCGGTTCCTGTAAAATATATCAAAAATTTGTCAACTGAGAAAATATTGGTAACATTATGATGAACAATTTATCAGTTAACAGATGTGTGATATCTTTCACAGGAATAGAGATAATTAAGCTCAAAGTTAACGGTTTGTGTGGGCTTCTTTTACAAGAAATACCGTATTGTATGCTGCCAAAACCCACACAGAAAATTGCTTCATTCACTTTTTTTACCACACCAAGCCGTTTGTTGACTCTTCAAAAGGGGAAAACCGAACGATTAGGTGGTCCTAATCCCATTCTTCTTTTTTTCCTTCTCCGTTATTTTTCTAATTGTCCGGAACAAGGAAAAAACGATTGCATCGTTGACGCCTTCTTGATTCGTTTCTTGGTATGGTGTCCGAAAGGATTACGTAATCGTCAAACCGTATGCCACTCACTCAATCATTGTTTCATTCAAAATATGGTCTTCTTGGAATGAGAGAGTGAGAAAAAGAGAATTCAGAATTCTTTCCATTTGCTTGTTTTCGGTTTTTACTCTCGTAAATCCTGGGTACTAAAACCATAATTATATTGTCTCGTGAGCTATTCAACCCGAATCACTGTTTCTATTGTTTCTTTTGTCAGGATTACACGGGAGAGCAAAAGAAAATAAAGAGCCAATGGGAGAGAAACAATCATAATCCCCCTAGAATGTCCACTTTTCCCTCATTCAGCCAAATGTGGAATACTGTAAAGAAAGTGTGGACATTCTGTTTGTACACTATAGTTTTCAAAAAAAAGGAATTTTCAAAATCAAATTCTTCTTCAAATCAATTATGCATCCTTCTTCTTCGATTATCTTCTAAAACAGTGTCATTGCGTGACTTGGCAGGTGGAATCAGTAGACAAGACTCATCGCTCCTTCTTCTTTGCGTGTCACTTCTTTTTCTTCGTCCCAATTTCTTGTTTGCTTCTGTTCTAATCCAATGACGAAAGAGATGGAAGTACGTATCAGATTAATTAGGTGAAGAGCTGCTCAAGAATCTACAGTAACCGGATAGTTCTGTGTGTGTACACTTGAGCGACGAGACACTTGGTTACATCATTCAATTTTAGGTACTCATAGTCAGAAGATTAGGGTTTAGGAAGTATTAGAAGCCGTTTGACACGTGTACCATTAAGGATGGCTTAATAAAGCTTGTGATTGAGAGGGATAAAACTTAAAACAGGTGTTGCAAGGAAGGATAATTCTATTTAAAGGAATGTGGGTCATTAAAATATTTTTCTCGAAATTTTGTTCGTATAAGCCTCCCAAGAAATTGAACAGGTGGAACGAGTATTGAAGATCTGAGGGGATAAGGAAAAAACCAGCAAAAATAACGGGAGGATATACCAACATGTGTTCAAGATCCTATCAATATTCAACAAGTTACCAATTTCTTCATACAACTCTATAAAAATTCTACAACATTCTAGAAGTGCAAACTTAAAGGGCCGATTGCCACCTTTTGCTGGTGGTCAACAAAATACAGTAATCATATAAGTACACTCATCGCCTCCTCGTTATTAACAGATTGGTTAAATATGGCGAGAGAGCCACGTGGTTACGTAATGCTCACCTAAATTGTGTGTTGACGAATGATTGGAAGCCAATGAGGAATGAGGCTCAATTGCGATGGTTGAGTAACGCATTGGATAATCTTAATTGAGATCATTAGAATGTATTAGAAAGATTATTGAGTTCATGCACAAGGTGTCAGAAATGTATATGGACCCAAATGAGTTTCAGTTATGGTAGACCTTTTTTGTTATGGTAGACCTTTTTGATGAGGAGGCATTGTCCATAATGTTGAATGAATAAACAGCCACCTGAAAATCTGAGAGATTTTTTTAATTCGATTTAATTCCCCAATGGTCCACACGGTGATTTTTCCGGATGATCTTTTAAAATAAATTTTCTCGCGTTTTTTTATCAACATGCAGACACAAAACCGTAAGACTCGGCAGTTCAATTTGAATCTTTCGTGTCGAGACCAACGCTGACTCAACGCTATTAGGGGGATTATTTTTCAGAACGCCTGCGCTCCACCGCACTGGTCAAATGGCAGAGTTTTTGAGTCCTGGAAACCTAGTCCCCCGCGACTTTTGGCGGGCGCGGGCGGCGGTATTTGAAGTTTAAAACAATTTTTTGATCTATTTCCTTCAATAAAACTTCATTTCCGAAGAAAAGCTATAAAAAACTATGCAAATCCGAAGAAAAACTATGAAAAATGAAGTTTTATTGAAGAAAATGGATCAAAAAATTGTTTTAAACTTCAAAAACCGTTGCCCGCGCCCGCCAAAAAGTCGTGGGGGACTAGGTTCTGCCATTTTACCAACTCTGCCATTTTACCAGTGCGATGGAGCGCAGGCGTTCTGAAAAATATTACCCTAATAACACCGCAACGCTATTAGCATTCGAGAACATTTGCATCATGGTCCGAAAAAAATCGCTGTGTCTCCATCAATCTCTACTTTCCATTCTCTTCTGACTTATGACATGTGGTCACACTCTCCAATTACTAATCGACGTACGCAATCATCGGAAAAGGTGCCGAACCACTTCACTCCCCTTACCACCCATTAAGGACTTGTGAGCTTTCCGAAAGTTTACGCAACTCACTTGTTTCCATTCATCTCCTTTGTGAGAAAGGAAACCTAAACACTCTGGAGATGACGTCGAAACTACCGGAGCCCCCACAGTAATCCCCTGTGAAATCATTGGAGCGTAACTGAATTCAGGTCAACTCACGTCAATTCATTGTTGATGGATAAGCAATTTCGGAGGGACGGGAGAAGACAAAACAGCTGAATAGAGAAAGAGAAAACATTCGAATGACAATTGTTCTAACCACTGATTGTGAGATTTTTGAAAAAGAAAAACGATTTTAACCTGTTTACATGTTTGTTAATTATGAATTTTCTCACACTATCTGAGAATGTAAATGTAGAAATGTAGAAGTAGAAATGATTCATTGAGTTAAATGAAAATTGCTTTTAGTCAGAAAGAAATTATCTCTTTTTCTGTTGATGTACTGTGTTTGATCATGAGAAGACGAAGCTAGGCTAACTGATACCCACACACGAACCCATATTGGGTGGAATCACATTCGACATCATTAATTGCCTTGGGTTCACCGATTCTCGAAATTATCAAGCAATCCTCTCTGGATTGGCTGAAAATCTATCACATCATCAAATGTTTCGTTAAGAGCAATCTATACCCCTGGCAGCAGGTCCCAGATAAAGCTGAAGTTTCAGAATCATTTAGTACATCATTTACTGTCGTGTATCCATCGGACCATGTGAACACCTGAAAAAATAGATAATCACAAAAAGGAAAACGCGTTATATAACCATACTTTACTGCTCGACGGTTCCGAACCGTTCCTCACCTCATCTATCCAAAATCCCTTGAAATCCCTTGAAAAAATCAAGTATAGCGAATAATTAACAGACTATACATCCATACTGCTTCATTTCGTGAAGCAACTCCTGTCAGCTTATATCCATTTTCCTCACAAGCCTTTATAGAGTCATTTTTGCTAACTTCCCACTCGGCGAATGCTTTCACACAAACCAATGTTGTATCATTTCTGTTGAAGAATTGCCAACCATCCAAGCATCTTTTAAAGGCCCATCCTATCTCTGTTCGTTGCCACGATTAATATTTAATATTCAAAGTAACCTCTAGTTGGTCAGAAGATGGGCAAGTATTAGTAAGAGGAGCCCTTGTCTGAAAAAGTCATTGATTCTAAAAGAAGGAGAAGAAGAGGAACCTTGATGGCAACAATCAGGCCTTTTGACTTTTTGCTATCGACGACAATTAGGTTTTCTGTTGAAATGTAGTTAAACAAAAGACATTGTTCAATTGAATTCATGAACGCCAGAAAGCAAGCTGTCTGATAATAGAATTTGCTTATGCAACTATCCTGCGACTCATTGCTTGCACTGGCCCAATTTGCCGTCGAAACATTTCCATAGATTAAAACCATTTGTTGATCAACTGAAAATTTTTAATTTGTCTCACAAAAGAATTATATATAGCAGCCAACCAGCATTTGTGTTTTGTATGATGAATAGAAGAAGCAATGTAAAACACAGAAATGAATTCGTTCTCATTTTGAATATCTTAAGAAATTCGACTTGAGAAATTCGGGAAAAAACGTCTAAAAACTTTAAGAATGGGAGGTTTCGAGTCTTCGAATCTAAGTTTTAGTAAACTTCATAAAAGTTTTGTTCTTTTTCTCAAAATTCTTTGGGACCAGACAAACAACTACAAACTTAAGCAATTCAGAAAAATGCACATAAACGAAGAAACTAAAAAGCGGAAAATTTTCAGGAGAGGATATGACTGAGAATTAAGAAAAACCATCAAAAATTCTGGACTTTCTCGGAATTCGCCAGCAGATGTGAATTTAAGCTCAAAAGCTTACCGAGGAGAAAAGTTATTTATCCCAAAAAAAACCCTGAAAATGACAAAAGTGTCTGAAAATAATTTTTTCTGAAACTTGAAACCCCTCTCTCCATTTTCTTTTTTTTTCAGAATTCCCAAAGCCCGGCCCGTTTCAGTTTCAATTAGTTTACTCTCTGTCTTTTCAAAAATATTAAACAGGTCAATGAAAAATATAAATAATTTATTGCAAAAGTCAGGAAACAAAAAAACAAATTTTCACAAAAAAAGTCTGAAAATTTTACTGAAATTTCAACAAATTTTTCAAATGTGGAAAACCCGGACAGGCTGCCGGATCCCCCGTTTTTTCAAATACCAGCCAAACACCGAGAACCATAAATTTTGGTAAACAACAAAAAACAAAACATTTGTCAACTAGGTTAATCCCCTTTTGTCCATCATCATCCGATTTCAAAGTGGTCATCAGAATCTGAATAACCTATCCAGCTGCTATTCAAAATGGTATGTGCAGAATTTCAGTACTCGATCAATGGATATCTTATCAAATGCTCCGGATTCTTTCCACCCAATTTCGAAACAGTGAGTGTTTTTAAGTCAACAAAAAGAAAAGAATGGAAAGGAAGAGAGTCGTTCCAACAAAAAAGTCAAAAATCCATAAAAATGACGACGGGTTTCGTGCGAATTTCGCATTGTTTTCGGCCTGCATCCTCTCTTTTCCGCCACACTGTTTTATCGATTTGTTTTTTATACTTTTACACCCGGAAACCGGAAGTTTATCTGTGCAGCACAGCTGGTTCTTGGAACTTTGTTTTTAATTTCAAATTTAGTTTGATTTCTATGTAAACTCCTCGAATTCAGCAACTGTGTACAGTGTCGTCGAAAACCTAATTATTATTTTTCATGTACGAAAAATTGGAGCTGTGGAAGATTAACGGCCGGTGGGCGTGGCCGAAGGTCCCACAACGAAAACTACCGTAACCTAAAAATACTTTTATTTTTGTCTTTTTTAGTGATTTTTGGTGATTTTTTGCTATTTTTTTCGAATTTTTTATAGTGAAAAATTGGTTGAGAATTGAGAAAAAATTAAAAAGTTACCCTAAAACCTGTATTAGAAGGGCCCCCTCTAATAGAAGGACCCTCCAAAAAGGGCCGAGAAGAATAGTAGGACCCCTTGTAGGAGAAGGGCGCGCTTCAAAAGGTGTTGTTTGAATTGATAATTTCCGTGCATTTTCAGTGAAAAATTATTCCGGAAAATCTGAAATTTTTCAAAAAATTTTTTTTCGTTCACAAACCTTGCCTAATTTTTGAGGAAATTGATGGATTTTTATGTATTTTGAACAAAAATTCACCTAGTTTTTGGAGAAAAAAAAATCAGAAATAATGAAGGGTCCTCTAATAAAAGGGCGTAGTTACCTTGGAACAATAAAAGGACCGACCCTTCTCATACAGGTTTTACGGTTGGATACGGTAGTTTTCGTTATGAGACCTAAAGCCACGGCCACCGGAGTTTTCCACAACTCCGAATTCTGCATACCAACTTAATAATCAAAACAACTAAGCAAATCTGATATTACAAAAAACTTTCCATACCCTCACTAGTCAGAAGACCTATAAAACATCATTATGCTAATATACAACGTCTAAAAAGGCTCATGAAATGCATAAAATCAAGAAATACCAAAAACATCATGAGGCTAACACTCTCAATTATATGTTTAGTGTTGTCCATCGCTCTGATTGGCTGATTTGCATAATGTTTCCATACATGAGATATAACTGATAAATGAATCATCTGTAGAGAATGGCTTTCTAATAGTAGATCAAACTTCAAAACTCATCCTTTTCAGTGTTTGAAGAAAAAAAAGGAAAAAACCAAAGAAATGTCAGTTTTGGGAAGTCGTTATTTCTTTTTGTTTCACACATCATCTTCCTCTTTTTCTTCCTTCTTTTTTTCTTCACACATTTTTCTAACCTTTTTCTTTTGCATGTCTCTAAACTCTCTTAATTCGTTATACACTCTGAATCTTCTCGTTTTGTGTCTCCACAATTTTTATCAGATTTATGCCGAAACAAAGCCTTTCACGGCTTTGCTCGCCGTATGGCTCTGCGACCAAATCCGGTCTTCTTTTTTTCTTCCTTTTCCATGCCTATCGGATTTCACAAACATTCAGTTTGTCACTTGACCATGTCAACATTACTAGTATATGTGTTGAGTTTACATGCACATATTTTTCCTTCTATATTATCTCCTATTCCCGAATTTTGAACACATCTGGATTTTCAGGCGGAAACGAGCAAAAAGATGAATAATCAACAAGCAGCTATCGCATCTGCCAGAAATAGGGTGAGTTCTTATCTTGATTTTTTCTAGAGCCACATACTGTAATCAATGATATGACGCCACCCAAACTATAAACTTTGAGCTAATTCATCTTGATTCCTGTGAAAGATATAGAAAAGTGGCCAACTGAGAAACATTTTTGGCATTATAATGAACATTTCGTTAGTTACCCATTTTTGACATTGATAACTTGCACAGGAATCGAGATATACAGTGGCGAACGTTAGTGAGTGTCCCTCTATACTTTTGTTCATAACTTTTCTCAAACTTGTCCAATAATTGAAAACTTTTTTTGTGAAATGTAGCTGGGTTTCCAACAAAACGTTTTATAAGTTTTTTAGAGCTCAATCTATGTTTGTGTCTTCTGAATCTTCACAGACGTGTTCTGACGGAAAATTTTTTTCTTCTGAAGTCATTGTCACGTCTGTGAAGATTCAGAAGACACAAAAATTGATTGAGTTTCAAAAAACTCATACAACGTTTTTTTGGAAACCCAGCTACATTTAACAAAAAAGTTTCCAATTATTGGACAAGTTTGAGAAAAGTTATGAACAAAAGTATAGAGGGACACTCACTAACGTTCGCCACTGTATGTGCTCAAAGTTGACTGTTGGAGAATTTATATCTGATGATTGAATCTATAATGACATCGAGTTTCATTTTTAAAAAACAGTAACGAGAATAAGTAAGGGCCACTTTAATCATTTGTTCATCTGCTGACATTTGCCCGAAATATGTTTCCAAAAAATTGAGGAGCCGAACTTATAAGAAATACTGCTAGGATAGAGCTTTGTCATAAGTTTGTCGGAGTTAGGTCGGATTCAGTGACAGTGTAGCTGACTCCTAAATCGAACCGTCAGTATTCACCTATACTAGTCCTTTAATTATGAGTCATGTGCAAGGGTCTAATAAACTTGAAAGAGCATTAGGTCTATTAAAACTTTTAAAGAACACCTGCTACGGGTTAAGAAAACGAAACCAAGTCGAAAAGGTGTTGCTTGCTCCAAATCTAGAGAGTTGAAACCATCGGTTTTAGCAAGTCGGAACCTTCGATGTTTCTGTGATGCATTGATGAACCGAAGTTTTGTCTTTCTTCCAAACCCTTGCAAGATTATCGATGGGAACTTTTGTCTACGAAGCACCGCATCGGTCCAGATCGAAACGTGTTTCCTGTATGTACATTCTGGACTCTATCATCAATAACTTCTCAAGCCATTTTTCGATACTGATCTGCGATGTCATGTGATTGTTGGTCCCCCGATGATGAACATATCAAAATCGAAGAGTTCTCCATCAGTTTCCCAATCCCTTTTTCATTCGATTCCCAAATCATCGCCGTTCCCATCCATCGTCACAAGAGAAACAGTTTTACGAGCACGGGAACCGTGGGCGTTCATTCCATTCCTCCACCTCTATTTGCAATTTCAGCTCTCTCCTCCCTCCGCGGTTCTTCATTTTTATAGTTTATGGGCATCGGGAATCGAAACGGCCCAGATCGCTTCCATTCTTTTCCGTTTTCACCTTACAAGACACCCTCCCTTATATTCCTGAGTTCCTGTGAACTCTTCTCTCTGAAATTCGAGACAATGGCTAAGAAAGATAAAGATAGCGAGTCAATCCCTTCGACTGAGAAGGTTGAAAAGAAGGAAGAGAAGGAGAAGAAGGAGAAGGAGAAGGTCCATCAGAAGTGGAAGGCCAAAGTCAAAAAGTTGAGAAAGTCCAAGTCGGTAGCCTCAACTCAATCGGAACACTTGACTTGTCATTGTGATCAGTGCAAAGAGCGTGAGGTAACTATTCTTAAGAAGTCCATCTGAAAGTATGTAACATGGCGCATAATTACCAGGACTAAAGTTTGAACTAACATAACATTTGAGTGAAGCGTTGTACCAAGTTAAAATTTGGAATGCAAAATTAAAATACGTCATCAGTGAATTGACAAAGTTTCAAATTATTTCATCAACTTTGAGCAGAGTTATCGCTTGTCAAAGTTGCTTCATCTCATTAAAATCACAGCGGCGTGCATGAAAAATTACGCCCTTCATCTTTGGACATTCATAACAATACTTAGATTTGAGGAATCGCTTTGACAGTTTCAGTAGCTTTAAACCAAACGTAAAATTATATTGCTACCAATTTTCGTGCTCCCAAGATATTTATGTCTAAAGATATACCCCGTTTTTATCAGTCTGGGTAATTGTAAATCACCATGTCCTTCGGAAATCGGGAAATATCTGAAAAACTGAAAACTTTCAAAAAATTCTGTAAATGTAATTTTGTTAATCTAGGTTCGTTTCACACTCTCCAAAGTTTTCAAAATGATCGGAAACTTGCCAGCCGAGCTCCAGACTCCTGAAATCTGTCAAAATCAACTGGAAAATATTTTTTGTATTTCTTATTGAACTGTATGTTCACTGTTTTACATTCCAACACAATTTTAAGGTTCTCATTAAGTTTACTTGTACTGCTTCTTCGGATCCTTTATTCTTCGTTTCTTACTCGCGTCACCTTCAGACGTTTAGCTGTGTCGAGTATCCCATCATTAACCAGTCAATCTCTTCTCTCCTTTCCCTTTTCTGACTAACTTTTTCCGCATCTTTCTTTTTTTGACGAGACTGAGAATACATTTATCCATTTTTTAGTATTACATAACTTTACAATTCTGAGCCAGCTCCTCTTTCCCTATGTACAACTCTCAGTGTTTTCGGGGAGGAATTCTAAAATAGTTGCAGGTCGTATTTTATAGATTGTAGATGCAAAAAACGGTTAATTTTGGTATGGATCTAAATCCAAATCATTCGTACTAGTAATGAATCTTTTCATAAGTAAATCCCCTCTTCTTATATCTGCACTAATCCAACACCAAAAGGTTTGAAATTATCTAAAAAAAAAGGGGAGGACGACAAAGAAAAAGAAGAAGAGGGAACTGGAGAACTAAAAAAGGAGTGAGGTGCCCTATTAAATCGGTGCTCTCCTCTTTTTTCCAATACACACCCAAGAGAGCTCTTTTCCTTTTCGGAGCTCACACGCGCATACACTTCTTCTTCTTTTTCTTCTGCTTCAGAAGAAGAAGAAGTGTATAGAATACGATCGTAGAAAAAAGAAGAAGAAGAAGCGGTTGTGATGTATGCGTCGCGCGCGCGCCGCAACGAGAAGTGTGCTCTTTTTGCCCCATGCAAGCCTCCAGTCAACCCATCGATCCATTTGTGTTGAGCAGGCACACTCACAGCTTCACACTGAGCCTCTACAAGAGCCGATAGAGAGAGAGAGAGAGAGAGAGAGAGAGAGGGAGAGAGAGAAGCCAGAGAGCTTCTTTCTATGCTTCTTTATTTTCACGTCTTCTCCCTTCTTTTCGCTGAACCCAGAGTTGTAGTCCCTCCAGCCAAATTATTTTTTTTTGTTTCTAGAGAAAAAGAGAGAAAGACAGCTGATAAATAAAATAACTGATAAGCAGTTTTCATCACTTTTTGGGATGCCTGCGTCTCTTTTTGGACCCCAGGGAAATTAATATTTGGAAAGAAATTAAAAATTCTTGTTGTGCTTTAATTTTTTTTCCTTGGAGACTAGTTAATCAGCAAAATAAACTTTGATCTATTAGAAATGATTTAATATTTCAGATGGCGGCTGGTGGACAACCCCAAGGCGCTGCACCGGGACAACCGGATCAGAACTTTGACTACATGTTCAAGGTGAGAGAGAGAGGATGAGGATATATTGAAAAAGGATTGCAATTAAATATAATACGATTGTGTCAAGGAAATTATTATTTTTCTTCAAGCCAAGCCAAATAAAATGGGCGGAGCCTAGAGAATGTAGTCCGAAATCTCGAGGTTTTCATACCTGAAATGTTTGTAGTAAGGAAGAAAAATGTACATGAAATTCTTTGAAGAATATACCTTCTTTTTTAACTTAATTTACTGCAAATGATCTAATAGAACGCCGTCTCTAACTTTCAACTTTGAGTCAATTTATCTCGGTTCCTGTGGAAGATATCAAAAACCTGTTAACTAAGAAAATGTTTATCATTTTATCAAATTGTTTATCATTTTATCACCAACAATTTATTAGTCAACACAAATTTGATATCTTTCATAGGAATTGAGATAATTAAGCTCAAAGATAGGGTGCGCTTCTAATAGAGCACTTCTTTGTTCCTTGGAAGTCGTGAGGTTTAAGGAAAATATCCGTTCTGAAGAAACGATTTTAAACTAAGTTATTTAATTACTTCAAATGAAAGCCATTAATTAGTTTCTTTACAGTAATCTTATAGTTTTTTCGGAACTATATTTGAAAAAAGCTCAACCGATTTCCAAATTCAAACCATTAACTTTGAGCCCGTATATCTCGAATCGTGTGAAAGATATCAAAAAGTTATTAACTGACAAAATGTTCATCATAATATCGAAAATGTTTTGTCAGTTGACCACTTTCCGATATCTCTCACAGGAATCGAGATAATTGAGCTCAAACTTGTTAGAGTTAATACAGTAGCCTTCTATCGTTTTAACTGAAAGAAAAACGTATTTTTCTGTCTTGTAGTGAGTATTCTCACTAATTACCGTTTAGAAACCTATGTCTTTCCCTCTTCTATTTTTCCCCGTAATTTCCAGTCGAGTGCTCTCTCTGCCCGCTTTCTCTGCGTCTTTCGAACCTTTTCATACTTTTTCCGATTTAGTTGGTTCAGAGAGCTTCTTCTTTTTCCTCCCTCTTTTGGTTGCTCCGCGAAAAAGAAAAGAGGAAATTCGTTGAAAAAACTTTCACTTTTTCTTTTTTCGGGGCCCCCAATCTTCGAAAAAGAAAGGAAGAATCGATGGGCTCGTGTCTGGAAGAAGACTCTCTGGTTTCATATTTTATTTGACAAACCGCCTCGCTTTTCCTATGAAAAACGAGTGAAGAATTGGTGGGAGGAGAAGAGGAAGAAAGATGAGAAGAAGAGTCGAAATATATGTATATACTCTCCATTTAGTTGCCAACGGAAATATATGAAAAGGGAAAAGTGATAAAAATGAGCACTTAAATGTACCTCGAAGAAGCATACCCTAAACCTCCACTTTGAGCTCAATTATCTCGGTTTCTACAAGAGATATCAAAATTTTGTCAACTGGTAAAACGTTGTTGATAATATGATAAGCATTTAGACAGTTGACCACTTTTTGATATCTTGTACAGGAGCCGAGATAATTGAGCTCAAAACGCGCAAATAAGTGGTTCTATTAAAGCATTTACGGTATCTAGAGATACCACGAAGTAAGTAGCAAAAATATTACCGTAATCCAGTTGCCAAGCTCTATTTTTTCAGCTTCTTATAATCGGAAACTCGTCCGTCGGAAAGACTTCGTTCCTCTTCCGTTACTGTGATGACTCGTTCACATCTGCCTTCGTCTCCACAGTCGGAATCGACTTCAAAGTGAAAACAGTGTTCCGAGGTGACAAACGTGTCAAACTCCAAATCTGGGATACCGCCGGACAGGAGAGGTACCGTACCATCACCACGGCCTACTACCGTGGAGCAATGGGATTCATTCTGATGTACGACATCACCAACGAGGAGTCGTTCAACAGTGTGCAAGATTGGTGCACTCAAATCAAAACGTATTCCTGGGAGAACGCTCAAGTCGTTTTGGTTGGAAACAAGTGTGATATGGATGCGGAGAGAGTCGTCTCCATGGATCGAGGACGTCAACTGGCTGACCAACTCGGATTGGAGTTCTTCGAGACTTCGGCCAAAGAGAACATCAATGTGAAAGCTGTCTTCGAGAAGCTCGTCGAGATTATCTGTGATAAAATGGCTGAGAGTTTGGACAAGGTAAGGATTTGTTTTGTGTATTTTATAGAACTTTGAGTCAATTCTATAATTGAATTTTGTTTCAGGACCCCCAACAACAACCAAAGGGACAAAAACTCGAGGCGAATCCAACTCAGAAGCCAGCTCAACAGCAATGCAATTGCTAGACGAAAAATCAAAAAACATCCTGAAAATTCCGAATGCAATAATATTAATTCTCTAAAAGCGCGTAGCTTCCTCCGTGTTCCTTTTTGTTTCCCCACATCTAGGCACCTGATATTCTTATCCAAAAAAAAAACAAAAACCAAAAAATATGTATTTTCCAGTTGAACTAATTCTAGGGCGTAGTTTTTGGTATCCTTTTCTGTCTCTCCTCCTTTTCTCTGTCACTTATGAATTCAGCGCTGATTTTTTCCAAACTTCCACTTGGGTTCAAGCCAATGGGTGAAAAAACGCGCCTCAAAAAAGTTTTAGGCCAGAAGAAATTTAATAATTTCCAAGTTGACGTGGATTTGACCTAATTAGTTCTAATCAACGAGTTGCAACGCGTGATTTTTTCGTGCAACGTTTAAAAGTTTGATCCTCAACAGTCTGCGACGTTTTAAAGTACAATGGACAAAAAAATCTGATTCATTTTTTTACTATATATTCTTCATGAAATTTACTAAAAATCTATGGAAAAAAAATCAAATTCTATGGACTAGAATTCGAGAAAAAAAATTCCAAAGTTGAAAGCAGCGCGCTGCAGCGGTAGTGAAAAACTCACCGTGTTTCTAAAATCTCACGTTTACTGGGGCGCGATTTTTTGACCCATTGGCTTGAACCCAAGTGAACTTCTATTAAATTATTTAATTTATTGAAAAAAGAAGAGTAAATTCTGTAAAATTCTTCTTCTTCAGCACTTCCAATTTTTTCCAGAGCTGTGTTTCTTATAGTTACTCTCCAATATATAGTTTTGCCTATTATTTCCCAGTAATTTGAGACCCATTCCCCAGTTTTTATTGTAATTCAAACCGCTGATTTTATTTAAATCGTTTTCGAAATTTTAAAATATTTTAATCTTTAAGAACTAATAAATTATTTATACAGAGATATAAAACTATTTTACAGAAATCGTTATTTTGGTATAAAAACATGCTCGGATTGTAGTAAAAATGGTTCGAAGCCGATGCTGTGTGTGGAAGGAAGCAGAGATCGAGCAAACAGTTCGAGGGGTCTGAAAATTTAATTTAAGGGAATGTAAACTTTATCTGTGACGTACTGCATAAAATCGATTCCGAAATGCTGAAAAAGTTCTAAAAGAGGCGGTTTATGAGAGTGAACTGCCATTGGAATACTGAAACTTAAACGAAATTTTGAACAACTCGTTTTTATTCAAACCTTGCAAATACAAACTTTTCATAGATATTAAACTCCCTTCTAGATGATCTCTTTTTTGCAAAAACTATCGACTCGTAGGGCAATTTGTGTTTTTCCTTATCGAGATCGTAAACCGGTTCTCCTTGAGTTGTTATTTTCAGCCACTTCCACGTGGCAATCACTTCCATATTCCAGGATTTGAATCTCTCCTTCATTTCCTCTTCAACCCACTTTCGATTTGTGATCCAAAAAACAATCAGAGCATCGTTAGTAGTTATACTAGTGATATCGAGATTGTCGATAACTTGTTCATTCATTTCGTATCTGAAAATCGGGATTACTGTAGTATTATGAAATCATAGTATTATTTACGTTTTCTTTCTTTTCACAGATTTATTGAACCATGGGGGATCAGCAACAACCAGATCGAAGAGGATATCTTAAAATAATAACTTTAAAATGATTTTTTTTAATTAGATCAAACCATTGATTGCTGAATACTGCTCAACATCTGCTACGTCACCAACATGGAATGTAGCCCCAGGAGGGATGAAAATCTTTTGACTTTCCCCGTTTTCGACCACACCAGGCTTTTCTTGGGAGCATTTTATCCAATTGCTGATTATTCCATTGCAAAGCAGTTTGTCTAATTTTTGGAATCTTTGAAATGTGATAACTTGTGTTGATGACATACTTGTAGATGGTGTTATAACACTGAGGGCTCTGAAATTGAATTAGAATCTAGTTCTGCTTATTTTTCAGCTTCCAACTTTTCCGCGGCTTGTCTGGCATTCAGATTATTATCTTGGTTTGAAGATTCTTTAAAATATCCCATTTCCTTCCCGACTTTTCGTACTCCTGATGCGATTTGCTCAATCCACGTGGCATCTTCTGATTTCTCACATCTTTTCCGTTTTTCTTTCGAGATTCCTCGCTTTTTTATTGCTTCAAACTGCGAATCAGGCATGAATTTCGAATTAATTTCATATAATTCTGGTCGAATTTTTCGGCCAATCTTTTCAAATATGTTATTGTAATAGAGCTGCTCATCCAGAATCGCAAAATCAGCTTCCACGTGGAGTACGGACATCTGAAGAGAATGTGATAAAAACCGAGATTCGACAAATCCAAGTACTACTGTAGACGCTGAATCTAATTCTTCGATGCTATCGGAGTCAAAGTATTTGTTTTATTAAAAGTGAGATCGAATCAAAGAAACTTCCAAAATTATGCATCATTGACTTGGATACTTTGGGAGACAATTTCTCACACCGTTAGAGTTAATTATGACTACAGAAATCGGAAGAGAAAATTCTTAAGATTACAAAATAAATGAATGAAAAGGGTGCAGAAATGTTATAGCCAGAAATAGCTTTAGTGGTGTTCTCCAATCATCGACTTGATGATAACAAAAATGCCAATTCCAGCCGCAACGAACAGAGACTTGACAAGTGAAAGCCACTGAGAAGAGGAGGATTTCGAATGTGCATGAGATGTATTTGCTATCACATTCTGAAAACAAAGAATATTGATTTTTTCTTTTTCTTAAATAATTGTTACATGACTATGTCCATGACCTCCATCCCCATCCTCATCTGAATGCAGTTCCATTGGAAGAAGCTCAACTAGAGCCACATGTACAAATGTTCCAGCTGCAAGACCTTCCAGCCAGTATCTCCCGATTCGTTGCCACATATCATTTTCAATTCCATCGATCTGTAAATATCGCATACTTTCCTTTGCCTTCTTTTTTCTCAACTCTTGAACCTACCATTGTGGCCAAAACCATCCCAGCGGGAATCGTAGCCGACAGAAAGATAGATGAAGTCCATGCGTACTTTCTCGATGCGTTATGCTTGGCCAACTGAACACCATAAGATACACAACAGAGAACCTCGTGAAATAGGACTGCAATCAGTATCTGCCAGAATGCATTGGTGTCATTTTGAACTCCGAGAGCTACTCCTTCGAAGAATGAGTGAACCGACATTCCGAGAAGAAGGAACCATACTCGGATATTCATTGAACTGCCCGGCGAAGATCTACAGTGTCCAGAAGACGTTGGTCGATGGAGAGGACTTGCATTCTACAGAAAAGGAATAAAAACATGCTTCGTTTCCAATTTCAAGAGTACCTGTCTGAAAACGATTTCATCAGAATCATCATCCATAGCCACTAATGGTACATGATCTTCGCCTTCTTCTTCCTGTAACATATCAATTATTGTCTTTTGATTCACAGTACGACTTAAATTACATCATGAAATTTGTTCATTTTCATGGAATCACTCGTCGCCAATGGACTATGTCCTGAATGTGAGTGACCTCCTCCAATGGAATGACCGATTCCATGAATCACTTGTTCTATTATCAGTATAATCAGGAATCCAATGATCACAAGTTGATCAGTTGATGGAATCCATCCGTAACTGTCCACTATCGTCTGATTCCCTCTCAAATGCATTTCTTGATGCCTGACGTGTGGGACAAGTCCTAGAAAACACGTGGCAATGAAGACTCCGCAGGATGCGCAACCCAGAAACGATATTGAAGTTTTCGAGGCATTTCTGTAATTTCCATATTTAGGAAACTTCAAAAATGTTGAGAAAAAACTGACACACAGCACGTCCTCAAAAAAGTGTATGGTATTGAAGTTGAGATGAGGAGTAAGATGAAAACGGCAAACGCCGACGTTGTCATGAACAAAAACTGCTCCATCATGTGTGCATTTCTCGATTTCCTCAAAATTGTCTGTTTTCTATTATTTCGTCTGTCAGTTCGGAAATCTTTTGATCGATTAGAAACGATGAAACATGAAACAGGATGAGCGATATTTGATAACAATGGTCTTTTATTGCATGGATTCAAAAGAAAAAGGAAAGATAAAAATAACCAACAATGGATAAAGTGATTCATGAAAATATAAACTGACAACAACGAAAATCAACAAAATTGTAACAACAAGAGCTAGTTTAACGTCTTCCACCACGACCACCGCGTCCACCACCACGACCACGTCTTCCGAAACCACCACGAGGGGCTCCGAAAAGATCGTTGAAGCTGAAAAATAGCATGTGTTACATCGAAACGACACTAGTGGTTACCCTACCTTTCTTTGTTATTTCTCTTCATTCCCTTTTTCTTTCCACCATATCCAAACTTATCAGACTTGAGCTTCCTCTTCAACTCTCCGGCGTTTCTCATCGATCCACCTCTTCCAGATCCTCCTCTTCCTCCGCGACGATCTCCATAAGCACTAGACGGTCCATCATCGTCTTGGTCGAGACCATGTCTCTTGACATTGTTCAACATATCTTCAAGTTGTTGCTTCATTCCCTTTTTGTGTTTTTTCACAGCTTCCGCAAGCTTCTTCTTCTCATTATTCTTATTAGCAATAGCCTCCTGAAGTTGACTTTTGGTTATTTATTCAACTTTATTTTCACCCTACCTTTTGCACTTTCACAGCGAATTTCTTTTCCTCTCGAATACGACGGAAGGCTTCTTGTCGTTCTTTCATTTCCTGGATTCCGAGGAGCCTCTTGCGTACTTTTTGCATATGACTGTCGCTCTTAGCCATCTCGGCGTAGTAGTCGGATGGTCGAAGGACTTTGATTCCGAGATTGAGAAGTCTTGGATAAGCTGTTTGTACAGCCTTTTCTGCTTGCTTGTAGCTGAAATATTAATTTTTGACTTATTTTTAATGCTTGCGGGTACATACAAGTTCAATTCTCTCTGAAAATCGTCGTTTTCCACTTTCATGTCCATTTCTGCGTGTGGTGTCACGACTTCCAAAGTTTCAACCCACGGAAGATCTTTGGTGATTTCAGCCAACTTCTCCTTCATCTCTGCACTCTTGTTGATGATTGGGCGCTTCTTAGCAACTTGAATGTTGAGTCCATCTTTCAAAAGTCCCGCGGCAAATGCTGCTTGGAGCTGAAAAAAGGATATTAATTAAGATAAATCTGGAAGCTGATATTTGCCTCTTTTTCATCATCGTCACCATCAGATTCAGCTTCTTCAACCTCCATTGCATCAAGAGGTTTCTCCCACGTCTTCTCCTCAATTGCATTGTCGAAATCAAAATCGGATCCATCAGAGTCGCTCTGAAATAAATAATTTATACAGTACTTTTGGGCCGTTTTTTATTATACCTCTGGCTCCGGTTGTCGGCTTTTCGAGTTGGCGGCCAGACGTTTTGCCAGACTATTCATTTTACGAACCATCTGGAAGAGGTACTAGATACTGAATTTTTTTGGAATAAGTATAAAAACACGATTAAACGGTTAACTGAATGAACCACCAATAAATAAATATTTTTATGTGAACAAATATCTTTATTATGAAACAATTGGTATAAAAAGTGTTGATATGGAATAATTAGCTGAAAATATATGGAAGAAAAATGAAATGAGCAATAAACATGAGATGATTGAACAAATAGGAGAATTGGCACAAATTCGAAACAAAGAAGAAATTTTCCAAAGGTTTCTGAGAATTTTTCAAAAACTTTTATGAATCGAACTTTTACGAACGGATCTGAGCATATCTAATCCCAGAAATTTAATTGATTCGTTCCATAGAATACACACATTTGCATGTTTGCACTCAATATTCAGCTGATAAGAATTCGATATTGTGTGTTATGACTCAGGTTTCTTCGTTTCTATTGTTGGTATCTTTTCATTCGAAAATTTTCTAAGAATACTAATTCAAATGAAGGGAAAAATCGACAGAACTCCAACAGTTTCGACGATAGAAAGCTATGGAACGTATGTTAACATGATGTTTTCCCTCGAAATATCGAATTTCAGAGACATGCCAAATGAGCACTACCGCTACTTTAAAGAGAGATACATTTGTGGAATTTCAGGACCTGTTTTCCTATGTTCAGTATTTATTCTAATCTGTTTTCTAATTCTACTTGGAATTTTGGCAATAATCGTTTTCGTAATTCTTCATCGTGAGATAGGAAGCCACAAAACACAATCAAACGATAATTTTCTTTACAGATACGCTGTAAAAAGTCAATTAAGGAATCTTTGAAAGAAATAAACTCCTATGAAGTCGCAATTGGCAGAAGCTATTTTTTGGGATGGAACTAAATAATTTTTATGCGAATTGGCAATATAATTGTCAAAACCAATTTTCACACTTGAAATTTTTTTTACTTTTAATAAGACGTTTGGAAACACAAAAACTTACTATATTTTAGAGCACGGAGCCGCTATTTGGCATTTTGGAAGACGTTTTTTCGTAATAGAAAACCCTTTGTTTGAACCGCCGCGCTGACTCATTAGATCGGCATGTTGAACCGCAGCGCGCACGACCGCGACGCCCCTGACGACATAGAAACAGTGGAAATTCTACAGCGTTGTTGCAACTTTTCGCGCATTTTGTACTGTTTCAATGGGTTTTTATTGATTTTTTGACCATTCTTGTGTCCTGTCTATGATTTATTCGGCTGTCTATCATATTTTACAATATTTTTTGCAGGAAAACTTGTGAAACCATGTCCTTCTTCAATCCCCCAACCGCTTATGCGGAGGAAGTCTGTACTGGGTACAATGCGCGCATGCATTCGAAACTTGCTGAACGAGAGGGATTCCATCTTGGTAACGGTTCCGATGAACCCCGTACTTTGTAAGTTTCGAAATTGTATCGATTCGCAAGACTACTTTTTTTCAGATACGTCGGAAATCTCGACCCATCTGTAAGTGAGGATTTCATCGCTACGTTATTCAATCAAATAGGATCTGTTACAAAGACCAAGGTCATACACGACGTAAGTTTTGGTTGCAGAGCTAAATCATTGCAGAGTGCAATTGTTTGCTCGCGGTACGTGTCATTTTTATACGCTTTTCTTTTCTTTTTTTATATATCTGTGACACACTATCATGATATTTTCTAATTTCACAGGACATGGGGTACCTGACTACAAATGCACACGGCAGCAATCAACCCTCACCGACACTAAAACAGTGTATACCTTTTTATTTAAATTTTGTGTTCTGACAGTCTAGTATCTAAATGAAAACGCGTTTTGGAGATTTTAGGATATTAATCAAGCAGCATCAGCAAAACTTATCAAAATATTATCAATTACAGGGAGCTAACGATCCATATGCTTTCGTTGAATTCTCGGATCACGGCCAAGCTTCTCAAGCTCTGCAAACAATGAACAAAAGGCTACTTCACGATAGAGTAAGTTGGTTATCAGTCATAATTAGTATTTATTGTTTTTAACAGGAAATGAAAGTCAATTGGGCTGTGGAACCAGGGCAACAACCGTCCAAAATCGATACTACTAGACATTTCCATGTGTTCGTTGGAGATCTCTCATCGGAAGTCGACAATCAGAAGCTTCGTGAGGCATTCATACCTTTTGGAGATGTTTCGGACGCGAAAGTCATTCGTGATACCAACACCACAAAGTCGAAAGGATATGGATTCGTTTCCTATCCTAAAAGAGAAGAGGCTGAACGCGCTATTGAACAAATGAACGGACAATGGCTTGGAAGAAGAACAATTCGGACAAACTGGGCCACCAGGAAGCCGGGAGATCAAGAAAAGCCGAGTAATTACAACGAGAAGTCTTACGACGAAGTTTATAATCAAACTTCTGGAGACAACACCTCCGTCTACGTCGGAAACATTGCCAATCTCACAGGTGCGTTATCCTTCACCAGTTTTCAAATTCATCAAGCTTTATGTATTTTTTCCAGAAGACGAAATACGCCAAGCGTTCGCAAGTTATGGCAGAATTTCTGAAGTTCGCATCTTTAAGATGCAAGGTTATGCTTTCGTAAAGTTTGAAAACAAGAATGCCGCCGCTAAGGCCATCACTGAGATGAACAATCAAGATGTTGGAGGTCAGATGGTGCGCTGCAGTTGGGGAAAAACTGGTGATGTAAGTATTTAATGTATACTTTTTTTGTTCGAATCATCCGTTTTCAGGCCGCCAAATCTGCTGGGGGATCTTATGGTTACGGATACGGAGGACCATCATCCGGTGGAAACTCTCAACATTATCAAGGATACGGTGCAGGTGGTTACGGTGGTGGTCACGGAGGAGCTCATGGTGGTCCATCTCAACAGCAGTCAAATGCTAATAACCAATATTGGCAATATTATGCTCAATATTATAACAACCCACAGCTTATGCAGCAGTGGTCGAACTACTGGCAGCAGCAAGGAGGTGCTCCTCAACAACAGCAAAATGCCGGAGGTCATCAATAAACCCCCATTCCCTTTGCTTCAAGTTTTCATACTTTCTCTTCTCGCATTCTAATACGCTTCCATTCATGAAGTGGCCTCCTATGTATTTCTTATAACAATTCTCTCCTGGAACAATCTGTTGATCTTTTAACAATCTACATACCATACTTTTCTTCTGTTTTTGCATCGCTTACGAGGTCATTCCCCCACCATCCACCCTTATAATTATTCTCTTATAAAATATTTTCTGATTCAAACACAAAACACTGAAATTTCACTGGTAGATCTATATTGTTTTCCCTTTTTCTTTTTTTATGATGTGTTTCCCATTTTGGTTTTATTCTCTTTAATAGCGCAATAATGAATGTGAGAACATATTTTTTATGTCGTGACTTGTTTATTTTCAAATGTGGGCCAAATTTTATACACGTTTTCAGAATGGTTGGATCTCCAGCAGAGACTGGTTGCACAGGACAAAGAATAGAGAGACGAAGATGACTGTTAGTTCAAATCAGTTGACTAGAAAATGCAACAGAAAGAAAAGATCAGAGTTTGATGAGAAAAGAATGAAAGTGCTGTTTATATCATGTTAATGTCAATTAAAAAGAAAGGAAAAACTCTTCAAGTCGTCGACTCGTCGGTATCCACTTCGGTTATTGTGCTCCGCGCTGAGCTCATCGACCGGCAACTCGGATGTTTGTCGAAAAATGATGATTTCGATGGTTGCAAAAGGACAGTACTTATTAATGTCACACAGAATGCTTCCATTACTGTGAAGAAGTTCTTCCAATCTAAAAAAAAGAACGGTTTATTAGAAATTCAACAAATTTTTGACAAGGCGATTTTTTTCGAACCGTCATGTAAATGCGCTCAAACGCTAATGTTTCAAAAAGGCTTTGGTCTCAACGCGAAAGCTTATAATTTATTTATGCGTCCTGTCCGGAAAAATCGTCTTGTTATTCAACTTACAGAAAGAAGTCTCAATCGCCGGAAGTACTGTACCACACCCGAATGCACCGTATCTGGCGAGAAAATCGAAAACTGGCTGTTGAAGACCGAAAACCATGAAGAAAATATCGAGAATTCGGAATACGACAACGTATCTGTACGATACCAGTTCATCCTGAAAATAAAAATTATATTAAAATTAAAATTTTTTGGTTTTTACCATTCTCGAAACAGTAGTCACCAGCATATGTGTACCGTAGATTCCAGCCAAAAGAGATGGAAGAGTTATAAAGTCCAAAACTTTGAGAGGACTGAAGAAGCGAGTTTCAGAAAGACAATTGATTAAAAATTCTTACACTAGGCCTTGATCTTGATATTCGAAATATATGATTAATGAGACCAGAGTGGCAAACAATCGAACGATCGGCGCTTGAAGGACCATCAACTCACACAATCGAATCTTTTTTCTGAAAATGCGAAAAATTAGGCCTTGAAGAACACAAAATCCGTGCAGGGATTCAAAAAAAATCTTCCTGTCAATTTTCCCCAGTTTTCTTCGGTTTTGTAATGGCAAATGTAATTTCTACTTCAAAATTTGAATTTTAAAATAATCAAAAAATTCCGAATTTTTCTAAATCGGAATATTCTGAAATTCTGAAATTTCGATAATCAGAATTTTCGACATTCCGAACATCCCTGAATCCGTGTTCTTACCCTTCCAATCGGACTTTCGGAAGACATGGAAATAGACAACAAAATGGAGGTGTTGCTATTTCGACATACTGTAACCTCTGCATCATTTTTGTTACAAGGGCATGATGCCCATCAAAAATGTGCAAAAGAAGACAGATGATGACCCAGAGAGCGAAGGAAAAATAGAGGAACGAGAGTAGATGAGACAAGAACCAGACACGTGGCATGTACATGGCGACAAGGGCAAGAATCGAGACGAGCTGAAAAATCCTTTGAATTACTGCAGCTGTAATTAAAGGCTCACCGGCGCAGTACATGCCAGAAGTACAATCAGAAGACGTCTGTTTGAATGTGTGATATAAAATGAAATGTAGGCAAGATGAAGTACTGCGAGGCATACTGTACCCACTGTCACTGCTGTTGCCACTGCCAACGAAGCAATGTAGGTGGTTGTCAGAGCTGAAATTTTTAAAAATTATTCAAATGAAACAAGAGTAATCTCTTACATCTGAGAAAATTCTTCGAATGAGGCACGTCTTCATGTGTTCCAGTACAGTTGAGTAGTGAGTCGGTTAGTAGTTTGACCAGTGTTTCCCATGGTGATATTTCCAGCATTTTGATGAGTTATTGAATGTTCAGTTGATGATAATTCTTGGGCAATGCGATGCGATTTTTCTAGAAAATGCAAATTTGTTGTGAGAAAGTGGGAATCCAACGATTTTTCTGATTGAAAGAGACGACAGAGTGACACGGGAAGATGGAGGGCAAAAGAACGAAGAGAAACATATTTTATTTTCTTGAAACTTCTCTTCTTTTCTTTTTCCTGTCGCTTTTTTAGCTATCAAAAACATTTGAAAACGTATCGGAAATCGAAAAAAAATATGAGAAAAAGAGGAAGAGAGAGAATAGGAATTTTTAAGTTTTTTATATCCTCTGGAGTAATCGAATATGAGCCTGGGAATAGGAAATTCTTTTTATGATGTTTTAAAATGAAATAATAAATCTAATTTTATTCTGAAAAAATTCATCTCTCACAGGTGCAAATTTTGAGTGAATGTATGAGGAATATATGATAAGGTATGAATACAAGGAGTAGATAAACGAGGAGTCATAATTTTCGAAGGGAAAAAGGATTTTTCAGATATTCCCCACCTTCATAAGATTATCCCTTCTTTCCACTGTTAAATCCGCTTCCCATTTTATAATCAGTTTCAGTGAGGGGAAAAAGGAAAACAAGGATTTTTAGATGCCTGAGCTTTAGATGTTGAAAATTAAAAAATGAATTTTCAGAAAACAAATGCAGTTTTGAAAAACCAAAAAATCGAATTCTGACATTTTCAGTCCAAAACTTTCAACTTTAAGACTCTGAAAGCTAATTGAATATTGCTGAATTGTCCTGAGAATTTCAGGATACATAAAGAAAAAATACAATTTTATTTTAGTGAAACTCTTTCAAAGAAGATATCGTAAATTCGAGCTAGTTTATCTCATTTCCTGTCGAAGACATGAAAAAGTTGTCACTGATGAGTTGTTTGTCATAATATCACCCAAATTCACACATTTTATTAGTTTAGTAATTTTTGATATCTTTTATAGGAGCCGAGATAATTGAGCTCAAACTTGACAGTGTGGGTGCCCTTCTATTACAGATATTACAGTAACAAGGTCGCTAGGAACGGGGTGATATTAGACCTTTTTTACAGGCCCATTTGAACTCATATATCTCGATCCCTGTGAGTTTCCTGTATCAAAATGTAGTCAATTCATAAATTGTTTATCATAATATTGCAAACATTTTACCAGTTGGCACTTTTTTGATATTTCTTATAGGAACTGAGATAATTGATCTCAAACATGACAGTGTGGGGGCCCTCTTTGGTATGGCTCCACTTGAATGCAGAATAATATATTTCTTGGGTTCTAGACTCTCTTTATACTCCTATAAATTTATATTGAAGATAGAACGTACCTAGACAAGAAAACTAACAAACAGATGTCACATTGAATCAAAAACGAAACTATAGGAAGAGTCGAAACGCCCCTATTTTTTAGTTTATCTTTCCACCTAATGGACCAAAAGCCGAACGTGGTGGGCAAAAAAAAAGACTGAGGGAAATATTTAGGGGGAATGGTGGGGGCTGTTTGCGCAACTGCATGAGCCTTCGTGCTTGTTTGAATCTTCTTTCATGGGTGAAAAACGAACGAATAGGAAAAAGAAGAAGAAGAGCAGCGAAAAGTTGTTTTGACGGGCTAAAAAAAGTGAAGAGAGAAGAAGAAAAAGAAGAGCAATGCGCATAGAATAACTTAATTTAGAGCAGAAAAAGAAGAAGAAAAAAGTGAATGTTGAAAATTGTAAATTGAATTTAGGAGAGCAAATGAATAAAGCATAGAATGACATCAAGTAGAATCTGAATACTTCAGCTGTTGAATAAAAAAACGAGAGAGAGTTCAGATATGATAAATAGTTCCAATTGATAATCTTATATTGACAATAGAACTTTAGAGCAGACACAAAGTAAAAACACATTCTTCAGTAATCCTTCTCTGTTCTCAAGAGACAAAAAACTCACTCACCGAAGAAAATCTGTGTTCCGTTTTTTCCTCAACCACCTTGAGCCATGGAAGTGGGCGGAGTCTCTGTTCTGAAATAAAGGAGTATGGTGTGCACTTTTTCGCTAGGGAGGCCAAATGTAAAAACCGTTTTTCGTTTCGGGTCACGAAGACAATCGGAGAAGGAACGGACGAAGAAAAGGATTTCTATTTGTTTTTGGTAACAAATCGGAGAAACATAAGAAGGAATGGACGGACGGAGATAGAGAAGAAAAAAGGCATAATTTTGGATGAGAAATAGTTTAGACCAGAAAAGAACAATTGAGGAGGTCAAGAATGTTGTTTAAGTCGCTGCTTTTAGTTTATCAGTCAAGTTTCCGGAGAACGTGAGAACTTGGCGTAAGCTGAAGGATGGAGGCATGAGCAAGTTAAACATTTGAACTCGATTGTTACATCATAAACTAGACTGTGGTTTATCTCGCCTCATTAACAATGAAGCTGCAAATACAGGAAGCTCAGGATAAACTGAAAGTTTGTTGAATGTATACTTTCGTTTCCGGGCCCTGACGGGCCTTCGTGAGCCCTACCATAGTTTCTTTTAGAATTAATATATTCGGACCAACTAACTCTTGAATAATAGAACTTTCGACAAATACTACAAAATGATACTACTTAGAAAACTGTACCTTGCCAATGAACAAAGTCATAGGCCATAAAGTGGCTAATCCGTGCCGTGAAGAGAACTGCTTGTTTTTTCAGACAATTTCGTCTGTAACTTCGTTCATAGACAAGATACAAGTTTTTAAATAATACCATTTTTTTGTACATGTCGAGTTCTGTCATATCCGATTCAGTTAGTCCCAAAATATTGATTCTAAAAGAAACTATGGCAGAGCCCGCGAAGGTCCGCCAGGGCTCCGTTTAAAGCGGGGTAAGGCTCAAATCGTATAGTAATCGAGTATTTTATATTCAGACAAAGAAAACCAGACAAAGGAGGGAACTATAAAAAAAATCGAGAAAAAAGTATATGAGAGGAAATTAATTGGATCTATCTCGTCCAATTCTCATTTCCCATTTCACCCCGACGACATCAAAACGATTCATGAGAAAATAAAAGAAGAACTGACCGAAAATCAATTCAAGAAATTCCCTGAAGGACATCTTTATCGCCTTCAGACAGTACATATTATTATCATTATTTTTGTTTCATTGGAAAGATAAAAAAGGGAAAAGAGAGACGAGAAAGAAATGATATAATTCAGTTGAACCGAAAACAGGAGTGTATGATTATGGAGTGTGACAGGAAATTTGCATATTTCAGTACAGTTATATTTAGTGCGACTATTTTGATTTTCGAAAAATTTCATAGATCTAGGCGAGGAAAAAAATCAACTGGAAACTTCTCGCAAAAGCGGAAAACGGACACCCTACGGAGGGGAAAGAAACGGGGAGTGAAGTGAAGAGCACTCACGGGAGCACTTAGAAACGGTTGTCAGGTCATAAATAATTCGTCATCGCTAAACTGGAAAATTCGGAAAGGCATACGGTAGCTATTTTGGAATAGAACATGAAACTTTGCTCACAGAGTGTGCAATAAAGCTAGAAAACAATATTGTTGTATTTCATCTCCGGATGCGAAAAATTGTTGTTTTAACATTTAGAAGGGAACAAACACGATTACGGTAGATTTGAAACTTCAAGAAGAGAATTATCGTTGTTTGTGAATTCAAATTTTTGTATTAATAGTCTGGTGAAGTAATGTCACAATCGGAATAATCTGAATAACAAAAGAAAACAAAAGTTGGAATAAATGATGTGAAGTTCATAGATGAAGAAAACAAAAAGGTGGAGGGACATGAAAAAAGAACCGTCTCCGTACTTGTGATCCGGGCATTTGCCGGGCACTTCGCAGGTCTTGGCATAGTTCGCAGGCACAGTTTCTTTTAGAATCAATATTTGGACCAACTAAATGAGAAATAATAGAACTCGACGAGTACTACAAATTGATACTATTTGGTATACTGTATACTGTCTATGAAAAAAGTTACAGGTATTAAAATGGCTTTGCCCGGACGTCACGAGTCGGGCGGGGCTTGCTTTTGTCGATCCGTTTCGTCTATTACTTTGTTCATAGACAAGATACAGTATTCCGAATAATATCATTTTCTAGTACTCGTCAAGTTCTATCGTATCTGATTCAGTTGGTCCGAAAATATTGATTATGAAAGAAACTATGGCAGGGTCCGGATGGCAAGCATTACTGTCTCTATATTTGGCTCTTATAAGTCTCTCGAGAAGTTGAACTTGTGCGATCTCGTCGACGAGTATTGAAGGTGCCGCGCCACAACCGACTGAGCCACGCGGGCGAAACAAGAGCGACATGATTGCATATATAAAACCGGAGGTACGATAGCTGTAGAGATTGAACACTAAGCATTGTACACCGTTACGTCAGAATGCATACCCTCTAAATCAGAAAGAACTTTTTTTTTAAATAAAAGTGTTCGAAAAAGAAAAAAAAGCTGAAATCGAATCGAAACAAGAAGAAGCATGAAGAAGAAGAACGAAGTTTACAGCTAATGGTATTCTGTGACGTAACAGATAAAAGTGAAGAACGGTTCGTCATCGGATGTCTATCGGCAATTTGCAGCGGAAAGTGGAAGGAGAGGTAGCTTTTTGGGGAAGAATAAGAAGACAAAAGAAGGAAAAGAGAATGAATAGAAGATGAGTTATTCTTGGAAAAAGGGAGGTCCTTGGAGGGAGAGAGAGAAGAGAGAAAAAAAGACAAAGAGAAAAGGAAGGTCAAGGAAGGGAATAGAAGTTTGGATTATGCAAAGTATTCTTTCTTTTCTTTTTCATGTTTCCCGATATTTCACACTCCTCATATTTTTTCTTGAAGAGCCCTTCACTTTTTTCAACAACCGTTATTTTATTGTGACGAGAAAATATGGGACTTGCTGTTAGACATAGACGAAAAAGACGGAAAGAGTTTGAACTGACCATCGGTCAGTGCCTCTCGATTACACAACGAAAAGCGGGAGAATAGGATGAGGAGAAGCAGGAAGAGAGAAAAAGGAATAGAGAATAAAATGGGGAACAAAATGCGAAGAATGAAGCATCTCATCCCACGCAGAGAAGAAGAGGGAGAGAGATGGCATGTTAATTAAATAGCTTCATTCGTGTAAGCATGTGAAAAACGACTCACTAGAGATTTGAAATCGAATGAAAAAAAAAGAAAATCTTAGTGGTGACTAGAAGAGGTACAGTACCCCTCTTACTATTCCAGCAGAAAGGAGGTCTGAAATTTTCATAGTAAATAAAATGCCGCGCCTCCGGGGCTTCAAGCAGCTGAGTTACAAAAAAACTTTACTACAAAAGTCGACAGAGGTCCCGCAACGACAACTACAGTGACCTAAATTAATATTTTTCTTAATTTCTCGTTGTTCATTGACGTTCGCCGATGTTCGTTAATTTTTTTCAAAAGCAAGTCAGCAAATTAAAATTTTTGCCAGTAGAAAATTGACTGAAAACGAAATCGAGATAATAACACTCAGAAAATAAAACATTTCTAGGTTACGATAGTTGTCGTTGTGGGACCTTCGGCAAAGGCCATCCGCGTTTCTCTTCCACAGCTTTAATTTTTTCGTACCGGTATTCTTTTTTTTTCGTACGAGTATTCTGATTAATCTAGCTGGAAAATATTGAGGTCTGAAAGTTTCAGAGTACATAAAACAAAATTAGAGGCAATACATTTTTTAATCAGCAAGTTTTTATTCGTACAATTTTCAAATCATGTGGTTTTCAAACCTGTCGGAGAAAATATAATGACGTTCACAGATCTTTTGATTAATTTGAACTGAAAAAGAATTCCTCAGGTTTTACAATTTATGTCGCTGAATCACAGTTTTTTCAGAACGTCTTGAAATAAAGCCTGTGGCTGAAATTCTGTAATATTTCAGTTTCGAAAGCTATTGGCTTTGAAATTCTCACGAAATAACTTTTACCGAAAGATCAAGATTAACACAAAATGAATCACAAAAAGCGCATTATTCCCTAAAGAGAACTTTGAACTCTTTTCAAAGCTTTTCAACCGGAAACCTATTTTGAATAGATGATATGCGAGTGTTAATTAGAAATTTTGAAAACTAAGAAAAATTTATAGAAGATAGCTAAAGACTGAACCTGGATTGAATACAGCTAACAGGGACTATACAAAATTTGTATTTCAAATCTGTTTGAACCGCGTTCTTCACGACATTTTTAATCCGGTATAGTACAGAATACGAAAAATTGTGGTATTCCTTTGTTTTCAAGAAGGGAAACAAATTTCACCCCTAAGACAAAGGATGCCGTGAAATCTGTAATACATAGAGGGACAATCTAACTTCTAACTTTGAGCCAATTTTTCGAGGAATCAAGATAACTGAGCTCAAACTTGACTTTTATTACAGGTTTTACGGTAATTTGAAATTTCAAAATTCAACGCTTCGATAGTGTCAGTGAATTTCAAACGGACGGATCAAAGCAACTGCAAAAAGCGGAACAAAAACGAATAGGACAGGAGGAAGGGACAGCTGATGAGAGAAAAGAAGAAGAAGGACGAAAAGATATATCTTTTCGGTTCAATCGAATTTTTCAAATTCTTTTACTCTTTGTATCGATTCGATCGGAAATTCGGTTAACTGAAAGAAAACAAATGAGAGCGAAAACACAAAAAATAGAAAAGAAAACAATGACACAATGAGATACTGGAATCGCAATTTAATTGACCCTAGTGCCAAAAGCGGAGAGAGAAAGAGAAATAGATTGAATGGTGTTGGGTACGAGAATAGGGATTGACATACAGACAGCAAAAATGGACGATGACGAGTGTCAGCGACCGGTTTCGGAACACACACATCGTCAACGCTACGTCCTCAAAACTTCTTCGTCTTTTTTTTCCATTTTTGCAATGTGTGTCCTTCCGAAATAATTTTGAATCGGAGAGAAATGGACGGCAGAGGACGAAAAAGCTATTCTTGTCTCTGTTTTTATTCGAAGAATCTCTGGAAGATTCTATGAAAATCGACGAAAAAATGATTCAATTATTTCAGCCATTATTATTCATTCTCTTCCAGTTCGTTGCACGTCCAGTTTATAGGAATGGAATGAGGAGGCAGAAGAAAATAAGAAGAAGAATGTTCGAGAAAAAGGATTATATGTACATAGAGTTCAGAATAATGATTCATCATATAAATATACAGTACCGCACGCTCTCCCACAGAACAATTCCGAACTGCAAATTAATTTTTGATCTACAGAAAAAAGTTTGGCGCGATCACAATTGCAGGTCTAAAACCATAATTTCAGAATTTTTTATCTGATTTTGTGGAGTTCCAAGATGATTTAAATGATTTTTAAAAAATTAATTAGTGGTTATAGAATCCTGTATGGTCCTTTTCCAGAAGAAAAAATGTCAAAAATGGTCATTTTTGAAAGTTTTTTACAGAAAAAATCTATCTTCTCTTTCAGTTTTTGACATTTCTAGGAGTTCTATAGCTCAAAAAAACCGCAATTACTTTCTCTACATTTTCTATGGATGAATTTTTAATTCGTCTGATAAAACTTTTTTTATAATTCAAAAACCTCATGAAATTGCACAAAATCGCATTTTTGCGCTGGGGTACCGAGCTCGAAT